CGCGCGACGGCGGGTTGTATACGTATTAAAATTACGTTCACGGAATATGTAAATTACGTTACACATGGTTTAAATAAAAATAGCGAGCGTAAATCATTTTCAATACATGTACATACGTATAGGTAACATCATTATTTGCATTGAATCTGCAAAAATATTTGATTTGTATGTATAGAAATATCTTACAACCTGCAGTAAAACGATCTCAATGTGACATATCTCCGTGATTGTAATTTTTTAATTGGCCAACTTTCAAGGTCAATTTCTTTTTGGTACTAGGACCAAAAGTATCCACTTTTTGTACAGTTGCCATGGTGAAAGCGATTAATCCGCAAAACGTCAATTTTAGGTACCGAACACTGTCACAAAATAGCGTCTTATTCAGGTGGTTGGAGAAAAAAGAATTTTTTGCGCATGGGATTTACATAATATATTCTGACTATAATAAGCAAAAATAAATAAAAAGTGCGATTAAGACGTGGAAAATATTTGCTTTTACAAAAGTTACAGCGATTTGATTGAAAGCTTTCAGGGGCGAAAATTAAAGCTGGAATCTTTGTTTTCCCTCAAAAAAAAAGAAAAATGGAGGGTGATATTTTTCCGCGGTTACTTAGCAAAGAGGAAAAAAAATCCTGGAACAGTTTTAAGGCAATAGTCCATGGTTTCCCGTTCAGTGTTTCCTGGGACACCATAGAGCTGAAAATTATGACGAGCTGACAGGATTTGGTTTTGTATCATGGGGTATAGAATGTCTCTAAAGGATAAAGATGCACAGGTTACATTCTCATTTAGATCAATTTAAGGATAATATGGGAGCTTATTCGGAATAACAAGGACAACACTTTCTCAAGACAATGGAACTTAGGCACCTTCCCAAGGCCAGGAAGCTGGAAGCATGATGGAAAATCGTATTTGGGGGGTTGATAAGAAAAGAACATGACAAAAACAGCAAAACTGTTCCATTTTTAAACATTTAGACTCTTAAGATAAACAAATTATAAATGTAGAAACGTTACCATTTAATAAATCATGCCTATGTAAGTAAGATTTTATAGGTATTTTTATTTTTTGGTTTTTTGCATTTTTTTCACACAAAAACACATAACCATTTTTTGTTCTAATTCTTATTTGTGGCTATAGAAGCAATAAAAATAAGGTATATATGTCCCATGCGCAAAAATGCTGTAGACCGGTGTAATTTATCGAAAATTTTAAAGGATTGGTCGATAAATCTATAATTACCGATAATCTATCGATTAATCTCACAACTAAACTATTAAGATAGATAATTATCGAGAGAATTTTTAACGACATAAACTTTTCAATGTTTAGGTATACCAGTTTACTTCCAACAAAAGCTATGTAAGAGCATTGTGGAGTTGCCATATGATCACAATTCACAACCTACTGCTGTACTCATTTTTGAGGATTATCGTCCACTTGATCACCTTTGATTTCAGAAAACTTCAGCATCAAAAGATCCTGTTTTATTTAAATTATCTCTCGCAATACCAATACCAAAAAAACAAAAATGTTAGCGATGTACGCATGGATGATGTATATCGACTGAGAATATATATCGAGGAGATTTATGAAAAAGTATCGATCGTTTTCTCTTGATAATTTCCGCTACTTATCTACCTATTAATCGATAAATATCAGAGATAGACAATTTTCGACAAGTGGCAATAATAATCGATTATTATCAGCAGCTAACAATCATTATTAATTATTTTCAAAAGTTATCGATAATTATTATCAAACGTTATCGATCATTATCGAAAATGATCGTTACGATTTATCGATAATTGTCGATTATTATCGGAAGTTATCGATAATTGTTTGAAGTTATAGATAATTATCGATAGTTATCGATTAACGATTAATCGATTTTTTTTGATCGTTTTTTAATAACAAAATCTCCCGCTTTCAGTAAAAATAAAAAAATGTCGAACCTGCCCATTGTGCTGCCTGTGAATAGAATGTATGAAATTGCATTCCTTCAAGGACAAGGACTGCAAGCTTCGTTCGTCTAAATGTATTATTATTTACATTACAAATTTACGCAACGCTTCTTAAGGGATCTATTTTTAGAACATTCCAATCCTATTTATAAAACCATTCCGATGATAACACAAAAAACATCCCGAGTTCCTGACATCTAACGATTAAAAAGGAAAATATTCGAATGGTCAAAATGAATGGTTTGTAATGCTGCCATCTAATGTCAATGTAACGCTCCACTTTCGATCGCACACGGACTTTCAAACGATCGAACTGCCCCTAGCGGCGGAAAGTTCGCATATGGTCACAAACTGTTATATGAGATCCGCGCTTCTGATAGTTATAAATTCAATGGAACTACGTAACTTGGGTGGGACCCACCAGTAAGGAGCTACCCGGGTCGGCGTAAGGGCGATCGACTGAAAAGTAGGTGCCAGGGTGGTTACCGAGGGATGTCCGAGATGGGTGGCCAGCGCGTTCAACCCATTGAAGAGTGCAGGAGGGAAGGGACATTTCCGACTCTTCTGCAGAAATGGGCCTGGAGTCGCTACTCTTACATTTGTTGCACCTCTTTAGAGCCTCCCTGGCTTTAGGGTATATCCCCGAATGCTGGAGATAGGTAAGAGTTGTGTACATAGAACAAGTTTGTTTGTTCTGGAGTTGTGTACCTACCTCCCTAAGCAGGGTCGTGCTAAATATGACATTACAGACCATCAGCCTATCATCGTTTCTTTTCAAAACGATGAAGGTGGATGCATATACCTATATTATAATGGGGTACTGGTTCTTAAATCACTACATCCGTTCCAACACAGCATCGAGTTGAGGCTGGAAAAGGGAATATCTGCCCTAGGAGCGTTTTTAGATATCGAAGATGCGTTTAACATCACGTTCGATTCAATCAGTGAGGGTGGTGAAAGCTCAGGCAGGGGACTCTTGAACAGGTATGGATATAGGTGGTGTAGTGGCCATGACCTTTCCGTTAATCCGGAAAAGACCAAGGTTGTTTGTTCCATTAACAAATAGAAGGAGTCGAACGGACCTGAGGTGCTCACCCTTCGAGGGGGTCAACTGGGTCTGACCACGTCAGTGAAATATTTGGGAGTCATCATAGACTCCCGCCTGACCTGGAACGGCACATTTAGTGTATAAGATGTTTATGAGGATGTAAAAGGCCGGGCCTTTGGTTGTACGTACATGGGGCTTGAACCTCGACTGGTATATTGGCTTTACACTGTTGTGATAAGGCCAATAATACTGTATGGTGCACTTGTATTGTGGCCTGCAATGCGCAGGCGGGAGTCACTGGAGCCCTGAAACCACACCAACTTTGGCCATGGAGGCACTTTTGGGACTAGAGCCCAGAGGCGTAACTAGGGTACGGCAGGCATGGCTCATGCCATTGGCATCAATCAAGGGGACGCGGTATTAGCTATTTATAAGTATCACTTTTATATACATTGGAAATGTTTATAATTTCATAGGTATATTCGTATAATTACCTATCCAGTATACAGTTACGAGTTTTTCATTCAAGCAGAAAACACAACGGTGTCGCATCGAGTGACGATTGTGTACTCGACCGTGATGGTAAGACCCTGTCAGCAGACAGGTTCCGATCGGCCACGGCGCTTGATTGCAGGCGAACTTCTTGATCTGGGTGCCAGCGCACTGCGGAAAGAGGGGACAACGAAAGGGCGGAGGAGATGGCTCGTGAAGGCAGTAGTGGGGAACTTTGTCGAACCCGAGCCCACCCTGGCAATTGCTCCCTTCTTTGTCAGGGCTAGGATTACAGTCTGTTGCTAGAAACCGACATTTCAGTTAGTTATACATTTCTACGATCAGTCAATTCCAGGCACAATGGCAACAAGCAACCGAACTCAGTCGGCCCAGGGCCTTTTTAACAGAGTCCTTTGGCAAATCTGGGTGCTTTAAGCTTCTACTAAAACTGAATAGAAGTCAGATTAGGAAGATCACCTGTGTACCTACTGGGCACTGGATGGTCAACTATCACCTGCATAACATTGGGCTTATGGGGGAGCTCACGTGCAGGTTGTGTGACGAGGCAGATAACCTACCTAACATGTAGTCTGTCACTGTGACGCCTTGATCAGAGGCGGACATCAACTCCTTGGAGACAGCTATCTGCAACCAGGGAGGGTGAAGCAACTTAGTCTAAAGATTTAGACTATTTATTGAGAACCAGGCTCTGAACCTAGTTGCAAACGGAAGGGAGTAGGTACAATAGGATTTTTTGTAATGTTTGTGACCTTTTTGAATAAATCATTAATATTTAAAAATTTAAAAGTCTTTGAAAAAGCCACGTAGTCTAACTTGTTATTTAGACGGTTACACATACCATAAGAAAATTCAATCTCTAAAACTGGTTTGAAATATCTCTTACCGTTTTCGAATAATAAATTTTTAAAATTACCCCTGCAAATTCAGTTGTTGACATAAAAACTTGAATATCGACGAAGCCCTTGGAGGAAAGGGTCAACTATGGGGTATCGTTGTACTCCAAATTCGACGTAAAATCCGAAAATGTAGACAAAATAGGGAGTCCCTATTTAAAATAACAAAGTTGATGGCTACTTCCAGTATTTGCGGAAGTGGCGCCATCTAGAAAATATTTTAGTTCAATTCATCATGCGCCAAAACCCTTATATCTTTCTAACTGGCGGTCGTCAAGAATGACCCTACATGGGGTTTCAATAACTGTTCTGGTAGTAGTGCCTGTGGTTTTCCCTTTCTAGCATGAACATAGCGCCGTTCATATGGTTTGCTATCAACTGTTCGTCGCCAAAAAAACATGTACGTACGAACGAAAATACAAAGAAAACAATTCAATTGGTAAAAACACACAGAAATGAGAAAAGTATGCAGAAAGATAAAAAGCACAAGATTGACAGTTTTCAAGTCTTAATTTTTGCAATGTGGCGCTCAGACCAGAACAGTTATTGAATGCTTGTTACTTAAAACACTTAGACAAAACAATGCTCTAAAAAATTTAATTCAATATAGTAATAACAAAAAAAAAGAGAAAAAAGGGAATGTACAAAATGAATATCACAGCTCTGTTATTTAAAAAAATATGCTATAAACTACCATCTCCAATTACTCAATCGTGATTTCCTGAGTGCTTGTAGCGCTAATTCAGTTTTCTGCTGAGCTTCCCATTTCAATTTCATTTGGTTCTCTTTCCTATCTGAACATTGAACAATTGACTCATGTTCCAAAGCACCTTGAACACCTGTAATTGTTCAACAATTGGTTATTTATTAACTGAAAAATATTAAAAATGAAAGTACCTTTTTTTGTGAATAATTTTTCAAGAACATAGTCGTCTTGAGAACTTTTGCTACCGTCTTCCCTATTCTGATGCTTTTTGGTTTCCTTTTTCAGTAATCCTTCCACAACTTCTCCATCAACTATCCCTGATGTATCTACCTTAACGTCTAATTTCTTCCTACCCTTTGACTCTTTCTTTTCTTGGCCTTTTTTAACAGATTTCGGTTCCTCCACAATTGGTAACTCTTTTTTATTATTCTTCATTTTATGATATAACTCTGAGGTTTTCTCTGACAAGGCCAGAGCATTCGAGAAACTAACGTTAGTGCCAACATCATCGATTTTATTAACCACCTCTTCTTTCTTCTCTAACTTATTTCGATTTAATAACCTAAGTTCCATGGGAGACAGCTTCTTTAATACTTCTTTTTTTTGTAACTTTTGTAACCGTACCGCCTCTAACTCCTTTTGCTGTGAAGTTTTCTGTATTACATTACTTTCGGTGTTTTTATTACTAATGCTCTTTGCGATTTGTTGTGCTAAACTTCTCATCGCTTCTATCTTTGCATCTGAAAATTGCACGGAACTTTCGCCTTCATTTTTCTTCTCTTTCATTTTTTCTTGTAAACTGACCTACACACCGACATTTGAATTCAACATGCAATATGAATGTGAACTATTTACCCTAGAGTTGTGAAAAATATTCGTCGTTTCTGGATTCGAGCCATCGGCTGGCTCTGTAAAAGAAAATAAATCGTACAGATTGTTAGTTTTAAAAAACTTCTGGGTTTTTGGATCGAGCAGAACTTTGTTGCTAAGTAGCTGCTTCCACACTTGTCTCTGATACATCTGAAACATTTGCGATTAAAGTTAAAGCAACTTATGTCTCCATGAACACACTTTTTCCTCTATAGTACCGGCTGAAATGAGACGGTAGACTGTAACCTGTTTCTCTTGTCCTATCCTCCATGCTCGTTCCCTAGCTTGAGTGTCCGTAGCTGGATTCCAATCAGGATCGAATATTATAACCCTATTTGCACCCGTGAGATTAACACCCAATCCGCCAACTCTTGTTGTTAAAAGAAACACATCATAAGTGGAATCCTAAGGAACAGAAATGCTCAGGGATTTTGCTATTGTTTGATTATACCTCATTAAATTTGTTAATTAACGGCTGCCGTGAACTGATGCTCGTACCACCATCCATCTTCAAATACTTGTAACCTTGCTGATTTAAAAATTCTTCAAATATAGCTATCATAGTCCGAGCCTGCGTAAATAAAAGGACACGATGCTTTTGTTTTTTCCAAATTTTCAACAGAGCCGAGACGACCACCATTTTACCCGAACGTTTGTAGTAGCCAGGTTTGTCTTCTACACTTAGTTCACTGTTATTCTACAGTAGAAACAACATTTTATTCTCACTCAAAGATTATAATATAATATGTGTTAAGGGATTAACAGAGAACATAAATCATCTAAATTACGACACATTTCATTTGATATTAATACGCCGTACACCTCCATCAGCATTTAATCGACTACAAACAATTAGGTTTAAAAAAGATCGTTGGACATTTCTTCTCAGGCTTTACACTAATGGTCAAATAAAAAAAAACATTGTGCATCTCAATTCACTTGTTTTTCTGATTTGACCACTGTAATACTAAGAATAAATGCTTCATATTTGGTAATTTAACTGACTTTGTCGCTCCAATAAATTAGCAATAGTTCCAGCTTTAATTAGGAGTAGTTGTAGTGTAAGATATAGCAAGAATTACATACCCATGAATCATCATCTCCCAAATATAAATCTGGATGATTGCAAATTTTCCTTAACATGGTAATGGCCACTAAGACATTGGCACGAACATGATTTTCAGCAAACCAGTTCTTTCCCCTTCCTTTCAAAATCATTCCCACTTGATCACCCTGTACAAAATTTAGTTAAGGTTGGCCTTCAGCATCACACAGTTTACCATTAAGTAATTCTTATATAAATCCCTCTGCTCATCTGTCAGCGAACAGAACAAAACCTGTTCACTTTTATTAGGCAAGTGAATATATTTCTGGACCTCTTTCTTTGACCTTCTAAGCAAATGAGGTGATATCAGATCTTTTAGTGCTGTTGCTACAGACAGTGCAGTAGCTTCCTGAAAAATAAATCCCACTCACATATTACAATTCACATGTGGCAACACTGTCATGAACTTACCTGCATAGGCGTAGCATTAGTATATCCTCCCTGCATAATAGGAGTGGCAACATGCTCCATAAAAGTAGTCAAATTTCCCAACATACCCGGAACAATGAAATCAAATAAACTCCACAGCTCTTGTAAATTATTTTGCATGGGTGACCCAGTAAGCATAATACGATGGGGAGTAGTAAGCTGCTTAATCGCGATGCTCACCTGTAATGTGAACTTACAAGGTGCAAATATTTTACACAGAACTAACCGAGGAACTAACCTTTGCATTGTGATTTCGTATCTTATGTCCCTCGTCTAAGATGAGGTAATGCCAGGGTAATTCCGACAAATAGCCTTTGTATTTTAAAACTCCAGAATAGGTGGTAATCAGTATTCCTTTAGATTTGTTTATCTCTTTCATAAGTTGAGATTTGTTACCTGTCATTAACTAATTAAAAATATTTTGTGTTTGCTTTGATTTTACCAGTAAAGCTCCCTGACTGATGGAGAACAGCGACGCGAAATTCTGGAGCCCAATCGTGAAAATGTTTCACCCATTGATGAATAACGGTGGCGGGAACGACAATCAATGTTGCACCGAGGCCTGTATATCTAAATAGGTACATGCAATTACAGTAGGGGGAAATATACAATGGTTTATACCTTCCATGACTGGAAACTACACGGCTGTATTGCAGAGCTGCTAAAAATACAATTACTTGTACAGTTTTGCCTAAGCCCATTTCATCGCCTAGTAATCCACCTGTTGATTGTTGATGTATGTTCCATAACCATTTTACACCTTTTTGTTGATAACTGTAATTACCAATATACTAGAAATCCTTTTAAACATTCTACAAACTACACGAGTCATGTGTAAAATAGGTATTGAGGTATGTATGTGAACTCAAGCCTAGGTTGATGATCCAGGGTATTTCCTTACTTAGCTAATGTAACTCATATATGGAATTTTGCTCGGAATTTTGTTAGGTGGCTATGCAACACCAATTATTCCACTCAAAATGACACAGGAATTACACAGGGACATCAAAAAAGAAATTCAAACATACAAGAGACTCTCTGGGCACCGTAAGCCTCAGGTCACTACTCTAACCAGCGTACCTATATAAATCATTCCACATTTTATAAGGCACTTTGAAGCTAGCACTTATTTGAACATAATCAGGTGTTTCTTCACTTTGTTCCCTTTGCGTTTTCTCAAGCTCCTTGTAATATTCATCAAGTCTAGACTTAAAGAATTTAATGCATCCATCATCCCGAACCCTCTGAACATTTATATTTTTCAGTTGTCTTTGTTTCGTTGCTGTTGGCAGGGATTCCTGCTCCTCACCTAAAAAATGCCACATATCACAAACACTCTTCCAGTATGTATTCTAAAGTTCATTCTGATCAAAGATGGTGAACAAAACCACCCAGTAAAGAATGAAGTGAATAACATCACAAATTGCAGCTATGAGCTCAACATACCAGAAGATAAACAATCGTCAGACGGTTCATATTCGCTTCCTGAACAACTTGCTTCTCTATTGTTTCTCGGCTTTTTACATTTCTGCACAGTAATATGTTGAGCTTTGCGTTTTGTACCTGTTGATGTGCAACTCTTCGGAAGTGTAGAAGATGCTGTTTTGCTTTCATCACTTACGGTCCGACAACGTCTATATTCATGATGTTTCTTTAATTCCTCCTGTCTCTTAATATACGACTTAATATCTAAATTTAAGCTTGTTGTGGCAGTCTTAATTAACTCTACGGATTGTATTTCACCATCCTCCAATTCACCATTGGTGGCCGAAGTAGCATTATTCAATATTTCTAGTTCTTTCAATGCTTGCTGTTCTAAGACCTCTTGTGATTCTCCCCACACATTTAATTTTTGCAATTCGTCCATCTCAATAATCGAGCCATGGTCGTTATTCTGTAAAAAGGTAATTAGTGTGTAAGGGAGTAAACTGTGTAACTTATCTCTTGTGTATGAACACTACTAACCTGAGAAGCAGGAGGGATAAGTTCTGACATTATTATTAACCAGAGTAATTAACAGCTGTCATGAAACTTCACCATTCGCGTCTGCTAAGATTAAAGTAAAAATTCTGTGCTTGTGTTTTAACGTATTACACAAAATACTACCAGTTGAAACTTGAAATTGAAACAATTTGAGGTTAATATTGCACGACAATGTTGCATTCATATATATAAGAGAAGTATATATGGTTGCATTATATACATATATATAAGAGAAGTATATATATGATTATATATATGCCATGTTGTTGTTGCTACATGCATACAAGGTGATCTTTTATATACTCCGCAGGATTTATACAGAACAAAAACTGGTATAAGTCCATCATATCATTTGTAAGCAAACTCGAAGCTAAGTTCTAACACCTTGTGACACCATAATAAAGCAGTACTGCCTCAACAAATTTGATACTTAGTTATGAGTCTTTTGTTAGAATGTTCAAAATTGACCTGTGAAGTCACAAACAAATTTATAACGAACTGTGTGAAATTCACGAACCTCTTTTTTTTTAAGAGGTCCGTGGTGAAATTGTATTGGGGATCTTAAATATAGAAAACGTAACCACATTCTACTGCTAATATCTTCTAAAAAGTTAAGAAATTATAGCCCGTATGAATAAAAGGAAGCAATAAATGCTTATACTTGCAAAATTCAAAGTAAATTGTAATGTTCCCTCTGATGGAGAGAACATTTAGGGAAAAGAACCACTCTTGAAGATGACTTAAAACTTTATTTACAACTTAACACCTACCTATATCTACTACATTACGATTATTACTGACTGCACGCAACGCTTTACTTAATCAGTGAATTAGGTAATAATTAATTGTCACGTCATGCGCAAATCAATATTTTATATTCTTATTCCATTACAAAATACTCGTAACTGCCCCTTCATAGTGGTCTGTTTAGCATGGTTTAGCAGCGCTGCACTGCGTCCTGTCCTGCTGCTCAGCAGCGCTGCTAAGTTCCCCAGTGTGAAGGAGAAGGAGCACTTACGAGTATTTTACTTTTATTCATACGGGCCTATAACTTGAACGATTGACAAGTTTATTTAAGTACTATGCGATCAAAAATATGAGTAGCTGTCGAAGTACCTTTGGAATTTTTGTTTACATGGAAAATCGTACATACTTAACTTGACAATAGAATTCGACTCGACAGCAACTCATTTTTGAAATTTTGATCGCCCGTTATCTACATTATAGAATACAAAATCTTGACACTTTGGATATCTTTCATATCGTGTCATACATTTTGTACCTATAGTAATGTAGTTGGCATATTAATTGTTTTAAAAGACAAGTTTGTAAAAATGGTCAAAATAGAAATATTTTTTAAAATTATTGCCTTTATTTCCACTGTTAAAAACGTGTCTGTACATCCCAGTACAAAGACATTCGTCAGTGCTCAATAACACTTTTTTTTAGCAAAGTTTATACTTCAGTATCAGTATAATCAATGGCAAGAAGTGAATGGTAAAACGACCCAATTAATTCGTTATGTTTGAATCATCCTGTATAAAACTGATTAGAAAGTTGGTGGTGGCACTGCAGCTCCATGGCTACTCGCGGCAACTTCATGTACTTCCTTTTGGTGCGTCTATACGTCAGGTAAATGTTTTGTTGTAGAACTTAATCCGAGTTATTTCAAGGAATTTAGGAACATCGTGATTTATTTATATTCAAATTAGTGATATATAGTTTAGAATATCCCAGTAATGTCTAACTTTCGTTTTATTTCAGATAAATCACAATTATGTCGGACGCTGAAGTGTGAGTACTTTACCTAACCTATAAGCATTTCCTGGCTTTCTTTCCATAATGATGAGATAATTAGCAGGCTCCCTCTACTGAGGAACCCGTTATTATTACCATGCTGTAATTTCTGCTACCTGATGTTAAAACTAACATAAATTATGTATCGTTGGCGCTTTGCATGTTTGTTAAAGGAAATTGTACTTGCAGGGACGAAACTACGTACTCGAGACCCACCAGTGGGGGCTCCATGGACGTAAATCAGGCACTGCAGGAAGTTTTAAAGATTGCTTTAATTCACGACGGTGTCCTGCGTGGTTTACATGAAGCGGCGAAGGCTCTCGACAAAAGGCAGGCAGTCCTATGTATTTTAGCAGAGAATTGCAATGAACCCATGTTCAAAAAGCTAGTATCAGCTTTGTGCGCCGAACATCAAATCCCTCTCATCAAAGTGGACAACAACAAAAAATTGGGCGAATGGGCTGGTTTATGTAAAATAGACAACACAGGCAAAGCGCGTAAAGTTGTTGGATGTTCGTGTGTTGTTATAAAAGTGAGTACTTTTTCAATTAATAGCAAAATTAGTTGTAGCGGGTAGATTTGTTACTACCTAAGATACTACAATTATATAGCTTCAATCATTCACAAAATTGAAACATTTTTAAAGACCCAGCTGTTAAACTTGACTAAACAGTGATTTTTTTTCTAGGATTTTGGTGAAGAGTCGCCAGCACTAGATATCCTCCAGGAATATCTTAAGAATGCAAAATAATTGTTTTATAGGATTTAATAAATTATAAAATACCTGTATTTTTTTATTTATATGGTTTTGCTACCTAAAACGATATTGTTGCTTGCTGTAGTTCGTAAAAATTATTTAGTAGTCCAGTATTTTTAAACGTAATAGATATAATTATTGTATTTTCAACTGTTTTGCAGTTTATGAGTTCTGAAATACTGTATTATATCGCATTGTTCCAAAGGAAGAAAGTAGCTTGCATTTCTTCATCAAATTTGAAATCTAAAATTGGACCATGCAAATGGCTTTACATTTCTGAGAGCCTGTCCATGTTTTCTCAAGTGATTTCTTTAGTATTTGTGAAAATGACCACAATTTCCTGTAAAACGTATTGGACCTCTCTCACTTGTATACAATGGGTCGTATGAATAAAAGTAAGCAAATGCTTATACTTGCAAAACTCAAAGTAAATACTCGTAACTGCCCCTTCATACTGTTCTGTTTAGCAGCGCTGCACTGCGTCCTGTCCTTCTGCTTAGAAGGGCTGCTAAGTCGCCCAGTGCGAAGGAGCACTTACGAGTATTTACTTTTATTCATACGACCCAATGTATTGTTTTACTTTTTGTACTTCCTTTCTATAACTGGGGATACCGAGTTGGTAGAGTCATAGGCAAAATATTTGTTGGTAGTGCCTTTGTTTAATCATGGAAGGTTAGTACCAAGACTGGCCTGGTACCTTGGGTGAAAAGTAGTACAGGGCGCCGACATGGTCTGCACTTAAGAGGGTGAGAAAATGGTTTAATATTTGTCATCCATTGCTTAATATTCTCTGGTGTCCTATGAAGAGATGTAATTTATAGGAAAATAATATTTTACGAGCGTATCCTTATATGTTTAGGTATGGGTTAAAGTATGTAGGAAAGTATATTTTTAAAATACAAAAAAACATCATCGAAAAGAAATAATTATAGATATTAACCTAAATCATTTATTTAAAAAATGGATTAAATAAAATTAACAATGTGACCATTCTACACTCACACACTAATTTCCCCCAAGAACATTCCCTCTACCCCAATTGTGTCCCCCTCTAAATAAACCACCTCTAGTAGCGGGAGGAGGACGTGGAGCTCTTTGAGGAGGTTGTCCGAATCCATGCACTCCTCCGAAATTGTCTGGAAACCACTCCTTAAGAATAGATGGCGTCTGGAGTAATACTGGCCCTCCGAGCTCTTGGGGATATTTAAACATCAGGAAGAAGTATAGATGGCCAATCAGAATACCAATTATTTCGTACAGACCACCACCGGAAATGACCATGTTAAATGCTAATAACACCCATGGCAAATACATCGCCTTAAATCTTGTTCCGAACCAGAAATTAACAATTACATCTTTATTAAGTTGACACCAAATGTACAGAATCGATAACACCATAGGATCGAGTAATAACTAAAAGAGGTGATTTGTTTTAATGATTCTTAAACGCTACCGACTACTTACCGGTATTTCTGCGATTAAACCGACAATCACGCAGCAAATCCAATTGAAAATCAGCATAAAGAAATAATCGGCTGGTTTACCACTGTACTGATCTGAAACATGAAATAAAAATATATGGGTGCTTTCTAAAAACAGTCTGTGTATTTCTTGTATAGGTGTTCTATTAGTCGCTTATTTTGACAATATTTAAAGAATCATAATGATTTTTTGGAAAATTAAAAATAGTCAACATTAACTACATTATTAACAAAAAATGGACGTATTGGGCGTATAAAAACAAATTAAATTTTTTGGTGAACTTCATTGGACAAATAGCTGTGTATCACAATACAAAATTGCCTTCTGTAAAATTTGCGATCACTAATTGTTTTTAAATAAAAAAATTATTTGAATATATCAAATAAAGGTGTCGAAGTTGTTAACGAACATTCACACACTTCTTCTAACCGAATCATATTTCAGTGTTCCTTGCACCAGACGGCCTTGTTTGTTTAGAAAATTATCAAAACTTACAGTGACAGTAGGATTGGCAACGTTTTTATCCTATACCCGTATTACGTACTACCATCTCAATGTGAATACCATTATAGTATTTATAGTTAGTTAATAAACTGACGTTACTTACCAGTTTCTAATCGACGAGAATAATTGTAGAGAAAATATAAATTAATCAAAAAATGAAATCCACTTCCCGGACTAAGAGGATAATAAAATAAACATGTGAACAACCTCCATATCTGAAACCGTGTCAATGGTTCATATAAAAGGATCATAGTATGCGGCCGAAATATTCCTATTCGTCCGGCTAACGTAAATCCCACGGTTAAAGTCAACCAGTACCTTGTAAAGAAAGGTACTGATCGAAACCAATCTCCCAAATCAGACATACTTATTTTCTAAAACAGATTGATTATAGATGCAAATCCAATGATAATTATTCACTCACATTTTCTTAATAAACAAACTTCACTTATAAATCTCTTGGAGTGTGTTTCTCATAATAAAGTTTTCAGATTACAACACATTAGTGCATGTGAAATAATAATTCCGCAGGGACACGTGTATGTCAACAGTTGGTTGTGCTTGTAAAGAAGACACTACAATTCAGCTACTTATGCGGTCTATTCGGTTCGAAATTAAACTTTGGTGGTTATCACTAGCGTTCATTGATATGCATTTACAATAAATTTTAAATCGTATAAATAAGATCAGCAATAAATTTTAAAAAAAACACATAATTCATGAACTTTCAATATGACCAACAAATTTTCTTGACAGCTGATGTGGAAGTGGAACTGAAGCTGGTGCCGGAATTTAAGATAAAAGTGGAGACACCAATTTAGCAAATGCGGCACCCATGGAGCTTTACGATCATATACAGGGTGGTGCACCCTAAGTAGGAACATAGATTTAACATGGGAAATGAGTTTTATGCAATATCCTGCCCTACTGTACATTTTACAGAAAAAACTGTAGAGTTTAAAGTTGTTCAGAATTAAAAGGTGCATATAACACTGTTTTTACATGTTTTATGAAGCTTTTGGTAGGTATGCCTGAAAATTTAAAAATAAATTTGACTATTCAATTCATCTAACATTTGTCACATTTCGACCAGTGAAATGTCGAGATTTCAAATTGTTGAGCCAATGGGAACGAATTATAGTGACAATTTCACGTGTGGTATTTCAGCGACAATTCAACTCATGTATAAAAAAACGCATAAGCCGCGGTGCAATTGTCACTTTGACAGTGGCAAAAGTTACCTGCAACTTTTCCAGCGACAAATGCACTAGTGGTTTTTTCACTATTCATTTTCGAACCAATTATCGCATTATCCTTTCCCATATGACTAGTTTGACGTCTGTCAATAATTGATTAGTTTGGTGAATTTCTTGTTCGTTAAATTGTCCTGCCGAATTACACTCGAGGCTTGTATTTAAACTGAGTAAATTTTTGTTGTTGCAATTCAAATCTGTTTCCTTTTAGCAATTGGACTCGAAAAACTGTCAACCTAAAAATGCTCCACCTGCGGTGTCGCATTTTTATTATTTGACAGTTTTTCTCGTCTAATTGCTAGGCAACAGATTTTCATTACCTAAACAACCCAAATTTACTCGGTAAAATACAAACCTCTTGTGCAATTATAATTTCTTGTTCGTTAAATTGTCACTTTGACCGCAAAAGTTACCTGCAACTTTTCCAGCGAGTGGTTTTTTCACTTATTCATTTTCGAACCAATTATCGCATTATTTCCCATATGACTGACGTCTGTCAATAATTGATTAATTGGTGAATTTCTTGTTCGTTAAATTGTCCTGCCGAATTACACTCGAGGTTTGTATTTAAACCGAGTAAATTTGGGTTGTTGCAATTCAAATCTGTTTCCTTTTAGCAATTGAACTCGAAAAACTGTCAACCTAAAAATGCTCCACCTTCGGTGTCGCATTTTTATTAGTTGACAGTTTTTCTCGTCTAATTGCTAGGTAACAGATTTTCATTACCTTAACAACCCAAATTTACTCGGTAAAATACAAACCTCTTGTGTAATTATAAGTGATAATTTCACGTGTGGTATTTCAGCGACAATTCAATGCGATTATTCAATGACATTTGTCAAACTTCCACCAGTGAAATGTAGCGAAATTTTGTCGTATTAACCGGAACATTCTGCTTAGTTTGTTAATCAATTTCGACAACCGACTTATCACCACATCTTTTAATTTAATCACTCATAACGAATTAGCTTGGAGCACAAAAGTTCGAATAGAATCAATAGCAAAATGAAAAGCAACTTCCGTAATTTATTTTGACGTTTATTGTTGTCATGGAAATACATTCGCGTGGGTAATTATGCTTAATTTTTCTTTGGATTCATTGAATAGTCCTCCGAATACCATTCGTAGTCTAAGTATTTGTATATTATTTTTGAGCTGCTGCTCCACTCATGCTAGTTACGCTTTTTAATACCACTCGCGCAAGCGCTCGTGGTATTAATCAGCGTAACTAGCATTCGTGACAGCAGCTCAAAAATATTCGACAATACTTCGACTACTTATGGTATTATATATGAACATTTCTGTTATTAGTAGCAATTCATAAAACAACAAAAGTCATGGCTATTGTTTGAATGTAACCAATTCGAGTTAAGGTACTGTCCAGATTTCTATTTTATTCTATTAACTTACAAGGAACATGAAAAAAAATCTATAAAGGATTTAGGAATTATATTTGACTTCAAATTAACATTCACAAGCCATGTTAACTCAATAAGTAGTTAATAGTGCCTCAAAACTGTTGGGTTTTATCTTTAGGAACTGTTCGACATTCCACAACGTTAAAGCCTTGAATACGTTATATTTTTCGATTGTCAGATCTAAGCTGGAATATGAATCCTTAATTTGGAGACCGCATATATTGTACATGTTTTGGAGCGAGTTCAGCGGAAATATTACCCCCCAACAAAGCTTTGGTTATTACAGGCCCATAGCCGGGGGTGGCCAGATGGGGCTGACTCGGCCCGGCTGAGGCTCAACTAGAACCGTGATCTTGCCCCCATACTGGCTATTACGGTTTTTATTTTACCACCATCAGAAAGCTGAGAAAAGAGAAATTGCATAATTAAGTGCTAAATTAATCACTTTTGCTGAACACATTTATTTAAATTAAACCCGGCATTCTACTAGTTCAGGGCGATGGTGCAGAAGCAGAACACTATTCCACAAAGGTGCCAGAAATAACAAGGAAGCAATGTGATTAGTTCGAATTAAGTGCTAATTGAACTACAAATGTTAAAATAGATAGGTAAGTATATAATTATAAGTTTTTACTTCTATTGCAGTGGAGAACGTTATCTGATATTTTTCGCCTCTAACATATCATTTTGGAATTAACATTTGGTTCGATGATCTACGAAACAGCTCACGAAGACCGTAGGTACCTCTTTGTATTTGGGTCACCTTTATTGAAGTATTGTGCTGGCCGGGTTTGCTCTACAGCGTAATAGGGTACAATTTGGAAAAAGTAGCACCAGAACTTCCTAAGTTGTAACATGAGGGAGGATTAGAAACTATACTTTTAGTGGGGTGGGCAATTCAATTGTTGACAAAGGTACCCGTACATTTTTATAGGTAGTAAGTACCAAAAACGACAACGAAATTTGCGTGCAAATGAGCTTCAAACTTGTACCTAACATTACTGGAGCATAAATCTGGCGATAACAAAATTCCTTTGTGATTTCTACGTTTGTTAGCGTATAGCACCTAATTCCCTTCCCCTAATCGTCACGTGATAAAAGATAAATATTATCATGAATTGGAACTTGATCAAATACATTTATCGCAGGTAAACTCGCGCATACCAAACCTTGCTATTTGTACCAATTCATGAAGTATAATATGAAACAAGCGTTGTGTTTCTGTTGTTACAAAGGTAACAATGACAAAGACGCGATAATATATAAAAACAAAGGTGGTAAGGTTTTTCATGCATGTTACTTTCAGTCTGTAATATTGCAATTCAAAGCAGGGGTCCAAGTTTCTAGGAACAGTGGAAGCTCTGCATCAGAGGTGTACGAAATGAGTACCATCCCCAATGGTATTTCACCAAGAATGAGGACGCAGTCTAATTCGTCAACGTTTAGCGCCAAATCGTTTTATAGTGCCAAGTCTACATTAACAAATGATGGGGATTTTTACAGTGTGTGCAGTGGCGATTCTGTCGAAACATTTAAAAATTCAAATCTAAACATTAAGTAAGTGAATATGGCTGATTAAAATTAATACTCTTGTGAATGTCCTAGGTAAAACTTCTACCTATGTAGTTCACACGTTTTCGATATACGTTGCAATCGAAGATCTGAAAACTATCAACACACTTATCTATGTTCATAGTTCAAAATCTTACCTACGTTCGTAATAATAGATAGTAATAAATATTGTGATACAGGGAATTAAAAGTGCAAATGACTACAGAACATGTTTGCATAGACTAGCATATTGTAAACAGGCACTATCTTATAGTTGAATCCTGACTGGGAGATCTTCCTTTTCTGAAATAGGTGTATCTGTCTACCACGCTCAGTCCAAGGGATTTTCTAAAATTGTGTCGGCTCGGATATATTTATCTATTTTGTTTTGAATTAGTTACTTGTAATATAATAGCAAAAGAAATGGAATTCAGATTGCGTAGGTAGGCAGGTACAACATACCTCGGTATGTTTCTGAAGCGCTAGATTAGTAGGTTCTATTGAATACTGTATCAGTACCAATCACGTAGAGTAGAAAGTGTCATATCATTATGGAACTTTCCAAAAGTCCCAATAATGGCCAAATAAATTACAATTTATGTACTTATTTGCATTAGGTTAATTTTAATTAAGTAGTAATAATTAATTGTTAGAATAGATATATAAAGTTACAACATTAGAAATTTATTATTTTTGAAGTTTTAAGCATTTATAACTATATGTTACGGAATCTAAGTACATTACCCCACAAAAGATGTACGTATAATACGCACATAAACTTGCGATTTTTTTAAATGCACACCTCATATTCCAATATTTTACCTTCTTTTCTACACCACCGGTCTATCAATCCCGAAATTTCAAGTGACTGTCTTCCCAATTGCAACTTCATGGTAGTAAAATGTTTGCTTACTGCACACAACACATAGGTACGTATTTTTACCGCATATGAACTAAATGAAACCCGTTGGTCTATTAATTCGTGATACTGCATTTCAAATGCAAAATAAATCGACCGTTTTATCGCATAAAACTTTTCCGTACTCATGGCGCTCTGGATTCTGTGCCCACAATTATATATGGCAGACTTCAAATTCGTGGCTCTGTATTGGAAAATTCGCAACAGTGTGGACTAAAGAGGGCAAAGTTGCCCCTTTCTGGTGACTAAAAAAACGCTTTTCAAGTTTTTGAAAAATTTTTGAAAATAATTGAGCTGAAAATGTCAAATGTTGTTTTCATTTTCTCTATATTAAATGATCAGAAAGGAACGGTTCCCGTTAGCACCTTTTATGGGCACTTTTCCCCAAAGAATCTGAATTTATTATCAGAATTTCCATAGCACGCTCGATGTAGAAGCTATTAGTTTGTTATTTCTTTTGGCGCCATATTGGATTTTTACGGAGTGAAATAGAAGACAAAAAAATAAAAATAATGACGTGTCATAAATATACCTAAACATAATTTTCAAAAAAAAATAGAAAATACGATTTCCTATTTCATATACCTACTTATTGCAAAGAGACTTGTTCAAAGTAGCTATACCCGACCTCTGCTGATCCGCACCGCACCATTTCATCTTATAGCTAAAACTTTTCATACACTTCATTGTACAAAAATAACACGGAAAATAGTGATTTGCCTAAATTATAGTTTAATTTTAGCATAGACAGCTATAAAATCTTTAGTATCACCCACTTCTTGAAAGTCGCACAATTCCCACGCATCTTTTAATTTTGGTTTAAACGGATCCGGATCTGTGTGAGTTCCACGTCCAGGACCTGGTCCTATAATCATAATAACGTTTCCGGCATAAGCATTGACATAATCTTGAAAAGCTGGACCATTGTTAAAATAGCAGAACAACAATGCGTGGTCTTCTTTTAAATCATTACTTTGTATTGGCATACTTGGGAATTTAACTGGAATGAATTGGGGCATGGAATATTTACTAGTCCACCATTCTTTATTTACTTCAATTCCTATTACCGAAAAATCTGCAAAGTAGGTGAATTAGTTTTTTTAATCCATTTGCGAAATATATGTACTTACTACTAAAGCTATGAATTAACCATTCCAGTAATCCCGTTCCGCAACCAATTGAAATAATTCCTTTAAGATTGTATTTTTCAATTACACCTTGAACAAACTGCAAATTTTTTTTAGTGGGCCATACCCATAATAACTTTGTAGTAACCGCATTTTTCGATTCGTCACTTATATCCAATATTCTTTTCCAATTATTTTGGGAATATAAAGAAACTATTACATCGATAACATGGTCTTCCATTTTACAGTTAGATATACCTACCTATGGTACATACGTAGGTAGGTACTTAAACAGAATGCGTGTTACTACAATTAAATTGGCAAAACTTTTGACCCTGTACCAATACCTACCTACCTATGTTACATGATTAATATATTTAAGTCTAATTTTAAAACATCGAACGATTTGGCTATTACTTGATTCTAAATATACCTACACTTAATTACCTGAACACGTTATTGAATTGCATTTCATTTTCAACATTTCGGATAGGTATACACGGAGCGCTTACACTTCCAAGCATTGTAGATGCATAAAACAATTATGCATACCTAACTTTTGCATCTTTATAAACCAACTTGATTTTATATTGTCCATGAGTAATTTTGCGATTGTAGGATGATTCGCCCCCGAAAATTCGCCCCGGTAAATTCGCCCCTGGAATATTCGCCCCCAAGAAAACTCGCCCCCAAGTAAATTCGCCCCGGACTGTTCGCCCCAGAAAGATTCGCCCCGGAAAATTCGCCCCCGGCAAATTCGCCCCCGACAAATTCGCCCCCGGTGATTTCGTTCCCGTAGGATTCTCCCCATAAGATTTATTAATCATTGGAGGTAACAGGGCCAGCAGTTCATAAAATGAATGTTGTTTAATTTTAATTTTTTTTTGTAATAACTGTGTATATAAAGGGGTAGAATAATAGCACTCAAATACCTGTTAACTAAAATATGAATAGGTAATTAAGGTAAGGTTGAATAAAGTAAATCTGAAAATCAAACTGACAACAGCAAAAAAGGAACTCTTATGGCATCAGTAATCCGTATTGTCATTTTTATACTTACATAATAATAGGACACAAAGTATTTACTAAATTTTTGGTAAATGGTCAACGTTCAACATTTTTTGATCTCTAGTGGATACTTTGGACATTTTAAAACTTTTATGGCATTTGCACATTTTTTACCAAAATTCTCAAATTTAAGGCTGATCCGACGGGCTGAATTTGGAACGAGTACAAGAGTACCGTATAGCAGACTAACTAATATAAATATATAAGCAAAATTTTTTTTATATTTTAAAGAAATGGGACGTTTCGAGTTAGATTTTTTTAGATTATTTTAATTATGATTTGATACTTCAGCAAACTTCATCAATGTTGGTGTTTTTCAACACAAATTTACATCAAATCTGGGCCAATTTTCAAATGTAAGTCTAAAGAAAGAATCATCCTTTGTTTATACATTGATGCCAAAAACATTTCAATACATCCATAAATGGCTGAGTATTTATAGACTCCTTTGTAAACGCAATTTGTTGTAAAATGTATTGTAAACATATGGTTCACGTTGAACCGTTGAATCAGCCTTTTACAGGTGAAAAACGATTGAATATGAACAATTTCGAGTTGTCAGTCTCGTCGTATTGAGTTCCAAATATCGTCATTTTTGCAAATATTTATTTAATTAATTTAAACCAACCTATTACTTCCGAGGGTTAATAAATGTAATGGGGCGAATGCTACGGGGGCGAATTTGTCGGGGCGAATTTGTTGGGGGCGAATTTACTGGGGGCGAATATTCTGGGGGCGAATTTACTTGGGGGCGAATTTACTTGGGGGCGAATATTCCGGGGGCGAATTTTCCGGGGCGAATTTACCGGGGCGAATCTTCCGGGGCGAATTTACCGCACACCAATTTTGCGTATACCTAAGCTAAAACTAGAGCTCAAACTTTTAGAAGAATAAATAACTAGCGCCTTGCCTGATGACATCGAAGAATGTTTACAATTGGAAAAATCATATTTCCGTATTAAAATATTAAGAATTGTAGGTGTAGCAATGTTATGTGTTGCATACCGTACACTCTACGACGAACCGGCACGTTAGTAACTTCATCATCGACAAAACTGTTTTTCTTTTATCATAGTCCATCGCTAGTTAGACAAAAAACTCGTGAAAACAGAATCTTTATAATTTAATTTTTTCGCGTACAAGAAGAGGTAGAATAATCGTTTCACATGATTTCTATGTAGAATTTATATCTCTATAACAAATATTTTTGCGTAAAATAATTAGGAAACGTTTGCGCAAAGAAAAAGTAATTTCTTATGTTAAACGCCTATGTTCCACTTTTCGATTTACACCCTGTACATCGTTGTAGAAAATAATAATAATTATATATGTACCTAATTGTATTAGTATAGGATAGGTATCTAATTTGGAAATTGTATGGTATTAGATTTAAATTATATTTAGTGCTCACTGTTGATAATATAATTGTCTGCTCGCATAGCTTTAATTTTATTTTTTTAATACACAGAATGCCACGTCCTTGCAATTTACCCTGACGGCTAGCTCGAAAATGCAAAACATCCACCACTTACTCCAACAAGGGTTTCTCGCTAATGTTTAAAAAACAACAACAAATCCACAATCTTGAGTTTCAAATCTGTGATGTTGGTATATTTTATATGAAAAAATAAACCCATAGAGCGTTGAAAAAGCGGCAGAGTACCTCGGTTTAGCGCTACGGGGTCATTGGATTTGACCCATTTTCAATTGGCTTGCTACATGTGTATATATGTTAACTGTGCAAAGTTTGAACGGAATCATGTCATACACAAGTATATGAAGCGCAAAGTGTAGAAATAAATTGCTATGAAATTGTTTTACATAAGGCAGATAAATAATGCACTAAAAAACTTTTAATAAATTTATTTAACATGTACTTTTGGAATTATAAATACATTCAATTACTATAAATCTGTGTAAATGGCAATGCAAAAATATATCTGACTACAAAATGTGTTGACAGGTAACATGTAACAATAATCTCTAAAATGTACTAGGTATATAAATTAAGGTAGAGATATTTGTACAAACTTTACTTCATAATGGCACTTTTGTAATAAATACCATTCACAGTAATGCAATAACGTATACAAACAATTGAACAAAATAATAAATAAATACACTTATAATAATTAAATAGAATCTAAGTAGTAAATGACGCTTATGTGTATACCAAAAAATTGGGCGTGTTGAAATATCTTGCAGCAAAGGATTTACCTATATCAGTTGGTGAACTAAAGGCAAGTTCATCTTTGCCCATAATATAACCATAAACGAAATTTGCTCGCAAACAGTTCAACAGTGATGTTGCAATTCCTTTTCTTCTGTGTGCTTGTGAGACCCAAATACGACTTATGCCACATTTAATAGGAAACTTGGTCTCTGAGCATAGATCTATACCGGTATTGTCGGAAAGTAAACGATAAGCAACAGATTGATATTCGGCAATAACGCAGCCTATTATCACTTGTTTATGTATGTACAAAAATGCCTGAAAGATAAACAATTTAGAATCTGATTAAGTCAACTGTAATATATCTTACCTGAGCATTATCTAAAGAAACGGGCATTTCATAATATCCGAGATCTCGATTGATTACCTCCAATAATTCCTTTACTTTTTTCAACCAGGCTTTGGGATCGCTCGGTACAACTTTTATAATGCGATCACTGGATATTTGTGATACTACCCGTTCGTCTTTCCATCCCTGTAAGATGCACAATGTACAACTTTTTTCGAAAGTGAGACAGTCAGTTTGTAATTGTAATTTTATATATTGACAAAAAACCGAATGCGTGCATAGCCAATTTGAATTTTTGCGGTTAGAAGTAGACGTAGGCGCCTAGTCCCATGTGAAGTTACTGCATTTGTGTAAAAGTTGTCTCTAATTGTAATAAATCGACATTTAAAAATGATGTATCTATCTCTCATGGGGTATGTTCCAAAATCATGTTAATCTATGCTACTGCCAAAATGAAGACAATAAAAAAGCAAAAGGTTATCTCATGATAATAATAATAAAGTTTATTTCCCTACAGAGTATAATCCAATTAGAGATCAAGGCCAACATAATAATTGTACTGTTTCTTAAAAAAAGTGAAACAAATAAATCCTAAACTTACCTTAAAACGAAAGGAAATATGACCATATACATATTTCCTCATTTTTCTACATTATGCATTATTATTGATGAACATCTTTTTAATAGCATAAACAAAGAGCTTTCATTGTACAACCTTTTAGAAACGCCCAGATTAAAACAAAATTGCAGTCCCTGATTTAGGGAATGAAGACATATTGATAGGACTATGATAATAATAATGCCTTCGATTGCGTCACACAGGAAACAATATGGAAAAGTCTCAAAAAAATAGGGATAAGAGGGACGTTAAAGGTGTAAAAATTTTAAAATGCCTTGAGGATATTTTTTTGCAAGAAAAAATCGTATCTTTAAAAATGTACAGGTTGAGTTAACCGAGGAGTTAACCCCGCTACTCCTCAGTCAGGTCTGTGTGTTTGGGTATTATTGGAGAAGTATTGGACAAGTTTACAGCGTGCCTCAAATATCTATCCAAAAATGTCTACCAACTCTCCTACTAAGAGTACTATTAAATAAACTATGAAAAGCGAGATGAAAAGCTTTAGAAAGGTCTATAAAAATTTCTCTAATCGCTAACGTGATCTCCTCTTTCAACAATCAAATAGGTAGTGATGGCGTCTGAAGTACTCCTTCCGCCCCGGGAATGTTTCGCAAGCAAAGAAAATTTGGCTCTTACTCAGTAATAGAAAAATACATATTTGATTGATTTTTACAAAATTGGAATGCTGTCTATTTTTTTTTTAGCTAAGCCACCCACATTTTACACTGCATTTCTAACATTCTCTTATAATTTATATAATGGCGAGGTGGCCATGCAAAAAAATGAAACTAATGTCAATGACTCATGACATTGGGAATTAAATTAAATCCATTTTGTAATCAAGTATTTTTAAGAGTATTTTTACTATCAAGTTTATTCTCCAGTTTTTAGACTCAGATTAGATCAGATGGGAAATAGGTGAGTGTACAACCTCGTATACGTCATTATTAGCAACAGTTGAACGATACCAGAAAAATCGAGAGAAAAATATACAAGGTGTTCCATTTTAAAAAAGTGACATTTTTAATATCCAGTTTTGTAACTTTGGACCTACAAACAAAACACCCTGTAAATTTATTTTTAATTGTTTCATAGTAGATGTAATATTTACTTGACTTTTACTTTACCCAGGATAAAAGATATACAGCCTGGCATCAAAATTTAAGTAGTAATTTTGACAAACTGACGCTTGAAAATGTCAAATGTTTTTTATAAATCGAATTATCTTTAAAACTAGTCCTTCGTATATTAACCATCGAGTTAACCATGTAATAAACAAGTAAAAAGGTTTTCGCCCTAAGGCGATTAACTTCAGCGCATTTTTCATAAATTGATCAATTTACCTTCTTGTTTCCAATCTCTAAATGAACAACTTTTTTCCAAGAAACTTAAAACTTTTTTACGCGAAAATCCAATATATAACATCCAAGAGTTTTTAGATAACGACCTCAAGACTGTTTAACGCCTTAAGTTTTTTTTTGTTGTTTGTATTTTTTGTTTGTTTGTTTGTTTGGTTTAATTGTTTTATTTCTAAATGATTTTTCATGTTATTTAATATTGTTCTATATGTCTCATGTATTTTATGTGTTTTATGTGTTATACGATTTCGACGGACGAGTGTAAGCATTTTTTAAATGTATTAACACAATAAAAATTACTTACTTACTTACTTACAATACTTCCCCATAGGCCATACCTATGTGCGCTATGTTTTTCATTACTAGAAGCATATATGGTTAAAATTTTAAAGAAATATCTTCATAAATAAGGAAGTTGGCACTTACTGCGCAGTTGATATTGAGCGTCCTGCGCATGCGCTTATTAATATTTACAATATGCAATACGTTTGCTTTTACTATTATAAGCATCTTTGGTTAAAATTTCAAAGAAATATCTCCATAAATAAGGTTGGCGTTGCACAGTCTGCGCATGCGCACATCTGATTTTTACTATATGCGATATATTTGCCTTTACTACAAGTATCTGTGATTAAAATTTCAACAAAATATATTAATAAATAAAAAAGTTAACATTGCGCACTGCGCAGTTCAATCGTCAAGATTTTCCTTGACTCAGGTGCCAGAGCGATACGCTACTGAATGCAAAAAGAACGAACTAAATATCTTGAAAACTGTAGGAGTAGTTAAGGCCTCGGACAGACGGACGGACAGAAAAGTGGCTGTAATAGCGCACCCAACTTCGTTGGAAAATGCGCTAAAAAAGTAGTACGTAGAATTAAATAATGCATTCAAATACAGGGGGTTGCATATCTGGTTTCATAGTTCATTTGAAAAGTATCTAAAAACTTTTCTGGTAGAAGTAAAAGAGTGCAAGTGGAATTTGAAAGCAAATTAGATCAACAATTGATCACATATTTGAACAGTTTTACTTACATTGTATCGTAACACGTTTCCCGAGTTGTGGTAGTTGAGGTGTATTAATTCATCATTTGGATCTCCCATATGGTAGACAAATTTGCAAACAGTACATTGAGTTGCTCCAAATTTCTTCTGTCCGGCATCTAACAGCAACTGGTTCTTGGGCAAAGGCTTAATTTTCTTAACGAGAGGATTTTTAGGCACTTTAAAACAGTTCGGCGAAACGTTTTGTTTCCCACAAAAAATGGGGTAGAGCTTTAGACAATCTGCATCTCCATTGCCGCCGTTCACTTCTCGGTTTCTAGTAGGACTATTTAAAGCTAATCCCGAAGTCATGTTGCACATCTGAGACGTTGGCGATAGTAAGATCGATTTTTCTATTGCGGTTTTCCTTACTGGCTGATCTTCAGTGTTGGGGGAACTTTCGGCAGGTACATGTAGATGGATGGAGTTTTCCGACATGGTCACGGAATTATGAGCCTTCAATATCATCTGTTCACAATTCGGCATCTGCACTTCATCACGCAATGTACCTAAGATGTTGTTCAATGTCTCGGATGATATTAAACTGTCCTCCGGTGCAAGTAAGTCCGATACATCTAAATTAATGTCAAACTCTTTAAAATAGGCGACTTCATTGGTAGGACTCAGAGGATCGGCTTTTTCTTTATCGAGTTTGAAATTAAAATGTTTATCGACGACTATAGCGGAACTTCTCTGAGATTTAAAGAATTTTTTATTTTCGTCTTGCAAAGGATGTTCAGCTGGCCGTTTCTTCGCCACAACGATTTTGTTTTGGGCCGAGTGTTCCAATTTAGCTACACCGCTGTTGGAGTGAGCGCTGGGCAATGGTTGAATTTGCGTTTTACCATATTCGGCATTAAAATTTTCAACACTTTTTAAATACTTATTGAACGCAGTATTCGCAGTGATATCAAACACGGCCTCTAGTAGCTGCTCGCTATTTACTTTTCTCGCTTTAGGCTTTTTTACTTTATGCCTCACACCGGCGTTAATTTGACCAAATCTCTTTTTAGTCCCCCGATGACACAGATAAATTGAAGACTTATTAGTTTTCCGTTGAGTACCATTTGGAGATTTATTCTCGTTAGTTGGTGGACTATGCTCTTGGACAGGTTTCGGAAATAGCTCCATCCGCACTTTTGAATTTTGATCGAGTTTTTGTAGCTTGTTCGACTGCGATGAATTGGACAAACCCATTTTACGTTTGCCAACTTCTGGTGCCGAGCAAGGACTATTTTCCTCGGCGTAATTTCGAATCAATTTAGTCGCGATGGTATTCAATGCAGATGTGTCCTGAGGCTCGATGCTATCGGGTGATTTCGGTTTAAGTTTCTTTGGTGAGAAAACTACCGATTGTGGAACAATTTGCGGAGGACTTAGATGTAAGGGAGCTGCTGTTGTATTAATCTCTGTATTAATAGTTTGATTGAAAAACTTATCATTTAAGGGCGTCTTAATTACATCCGGATTATTGTCGACGTCTGAATTCTTTAAAGGATCGTGAATATTTTCAATTATAATATAATCTTCTATGGAATCCCCGCTGAAGAGTAATACATTTTCCTCTTCACATTGCTGCAAAGAGCGTGAGTCTAAAGGTGTATCGGTTTTAGATGAATATGACGATGAGCCATTTGCTGTGAGGGGGGTCAATGAAAAATCGTCAAAATTATCTTCTTCAATTGATGGAAACAGTTGTCTGCGACTGTGATGTGTATTACTTTTGGAAGACTCTTTAGTAGCAGAAAAAGAAATGGTTTCTTCATTGTGTAATGAATGTTCAAACATTATGAATGTAGATCTTTTTTAGTACATAAAATGCTTCATTTGTGGGTCGCGAATTCCATAATGTTGTCAGTTTGAAATAATAATTTCAAAAATCTTACCAATTTTCAACAGAAAAACGGTCAAACATAGTGCAACACACACATTTAGATTTTCGACTGTTACAACCGTTGAATTAAAACAAACAGCTGATTCTAACCTGGAAGTTATTTACCGCCAATTCTTCTATCTCTCTTGCACTCTTACGATATTGCCAATTTTACGAAATCGCAAATGGCATATGCGGGTTCCCATCATATAATAGCATACAAGGTGTTTCCAAATTAGATTTCCATTTCTATAAAACACTACAAATACGTGCAGTTTTCACTACTTTAGAGCGAGCTATGAAAATATTCGCATAATAATACAATAACCATTTCAGAACAGTAATATTATTGCTGTGACTTCGAATATGGGTACGTCCATAAACTTTGATTTGATTTGATGATTTTTGATATAAATTTTCGATATGCCAGTATTGTTTTCTAGACGTTTTGAAGCCCACTCCAAAAAAATCAAAATAAAGGTGCCAGAGGCCAGAGGGCATTTTCTAGATGTACAATATGCCCATCTTATAAGTAGTCGGACATCCTTTGACTCCCATAAACCGACCAATTCCGTCGTTCAAGGAGCTCCCGCGTCGGACAATATAGCGACCCCCTCATTTGGTGTCATTCGAATGCAGATAGACAAGGATTTAATAAAAAGGTTCTTCGGTGGAGGAATTTTTAGGGAAGCGTCCGAAAAATTGCCGAAGTTTTAGCACTTGCCAGTCGACATCTTCAGGTATTTTTGCTATTTCGCTAAGTTGGGAAAGTAACACCAGTCCCTCGCGAGCAAATCTGAACTTAGAGTCGAATTCGAAAAGCAACTTCTATCTGTCCCAATTAACCACTTTTAGAATTTTTCAATTACATTGTGACTTCTAATTAAAGACTACAATGGCTATACTCAAGGTACCAATTTTTGAAATGTTCGTATTAATTTTGAAACAAATTTTCGAACATAGTGCCCTTCTGCTGAAATACGTATTCAGACGACATTTAATAGCATGCGACTCTATACATTCGCTTGCTAATGGAACGCAGCCACATCACATCCTAACCGCATACTTGCAGATGTGTTCCACACTGACTCCCTGTACTGCGCAAACGCAAGCGCGCTAAAATTTGAATTTGCTTTAACGTGCCACCGTTTGTTTTGTTTATAATACCAGTTCCTGCTGACTTCCATATTACAAACCAAATGTCGCTGTATTTTCGGAAAGAATATGTTCTTCTTCTCGAATTAAAGCCTTCGGTCACTACTGTGAATTCCAGTTAAATACATTATAGCGCCAACTTGAAAGCAAACCTCTACTTTAGCTATCAGTCTTGATCCTTGTGGTCCTGTTTTTTTGTGATTCGTTCAGCACCGGACTCTCTCTTTACCATAGGTCAATGTTGGTCTGTAACGTTATTGCTGTAAGTAAATGTCATTAACTCTTTCTAATTAACTATTACAGTACTTATCGAAGCAGTTTCCTAATATCGCCTTTGGCATATTCTATGACCATGCACTCCAAATGTAGATAACAACAAAATTCATCTTGATAACATGGCATTTTCATATACCTACTACATATAATAGGTAAGCAGGTAAGCTAAATTATCTTCAGTTATAACGTTTGCAGGTTATGTGTATATTATTTACCCCTTGCACTTGACAGCTGTACACAAATTCAAATTTTAGCGCGCTTGCGTTTGCGCACTACAGGGAGTCAGTGTGGAACACATCTGCAAGTCTAACCGCATAAGTCACGTTGAGATAAAAGGGCTAAACTCCGTACAATCTGCGCATGCGAAAGAAACGTCAATGTTGCAATGTTATTAATTAAAATGTAGGTTAGATTATTGTTTTCAATGTTTTCATCACAGGCCGTTATAATGAATAAACATATTCGTAAATCGTAATGTACATTTAAACTCGCACTTTTGAGGTTGTATACCAAGAGCCATGTTTCCCTGCAGCAGTATAAATTCCGAAAAGGACAGTATAAGCCCTATGTTCACAAATCGTAACCCAAGACATTTCAAATATCTACGAATCGCTCATAAACCGGACGGCTACTACGATGATAAAACTGGAACGCTCCTACTGGCATAAATATACAAATTTGCTTTCCTACCGCCTCCAATAAGATAGCCCGATTGTAGATGGCAATCGACACAAACAGGCCGTCACGTAACTTCATTGTTCGTGCATTACTTCAACGGACCCGACACTCACCGCTAGCACAAAGGAATGGGCCATCAAAACCAGGCTGTATAAGACCATGCACCAAGTCATTGGCGTACGTGAATGTCACACGGTCACGTCCCTGCATTCAATTTAATGTTTGCTACTTGTAGATTTCAGTTGTTCGTACAAAGATGCCTTGCAAGCAGTCCGACAGATTTTATGTGCGATTGCAAACCCGAACACAACGTCAGTAAGGTCGCAAAGTTTCTAATGTGCTTCAAGATTTCAATTTGAAATTGCCAATTCACTATAACTAAGGTGCCCTTTTTATTATTGTGTAGTTTATTATTTAATGTTTAAAATATTGGTAAGCAATAAAAAGTTTACATATTTATCAAATTTATTGTTCTTGAAACCCATTAACTTCTTAAAAAATCAAATAAACGGTTTTTCATGCAATCTAGAAATTAGTAAAAAGCACCTTTTTTGGAAGAACCTTTGAGAACAGGGAAGCATCTCGGGAAACTGAACGTAGGGCTTTCTATCACTTCATTGGAGCGACCCAATACTCAGCCTTCTCTTTACAGAAACTATGGAAGCATGGCCCATTCCTTCGTGCTAGCGGTGACAAATAAAACTTTATTGTAAATTATGCAGCTATCTACCTAATAGGTACACAATTTAAGGTCGATTCACATTATCTGTCAAGTCAGATTATATCCCACGGTTTTGGTAATCTTTCTCTCGTCCACGGCTCTCTTGACTATTCCGGCTCAGACAATTTCAAATTGAAATCTTGGAGCACGTTAGAAACTTTGCGACCTTATTGCCGTTGTGTTGGGGTTTGCAATCGTATATAAACTCTGTCGGACCGCTAGCAAGTAGCAAGGCATCTTTGTACGAAGAACTGAAACCTACAAGTAGCAAACATTAAATTGAATGCAGGGACGTGACCATGTGACGTTCACGTACGCCAATGACTTGGTGCATGGTCTTATACAGCCTGGTTTTGATGGCCCATTCCTTCGTGCTAGCGGTGAGTGTCGGGTCCGTTGAAGTAATGCACGAGCAATGAAGTTACGTGACGGCCTGTTTGTGTCGATTGCCATCTACAATCGGGCTATCTTATTGGAGGCGGTAGGAAAGCAAATTTGTATATTTATGCCAGTAGGAGCGTTCCAGTTTTATCACAGTAGTAGCCGTCCGGTTTATGAGCGATTCGTAGGTATTTGAAATGTCTTGGGTTACGATTTGTGAACATGGGGCTTATACTGTCCTTTTCGGAATTTATACTGCTGCAGGGAAACATGGCTCTTGGTATACAACCTCAAAAGTGCGAGTTTAAATGTACATTACGATTTACGAATATGTTTATTCATTATAACGGCCTGTGATGAAAACAATAACCTAACCTACATTTTAATTAATAACATTGCAACATTGACGTTTCTTTCGCATGCGCAGATTGTACGGAGTTTAGCCCTTTTATCTCAACGTCATAAGTCAGTCCTTCATATGTCAGTCTTCTTAAAAGTTTGGTTAACTCAAACAAATTATTTAAAATTAAATAGGTATAAATTGAAATATGGGCGATAGATATAACATACACAGTCAATTGGAACATCTACAATCAAAATACATTGGAACAGGCCATGCAGATACTACCAAGTACGAATGGTTGGTCAATCAACACAGGGATAGCTGCTCCAGTTACCTTGGTCATCCTGACTTGCTGAATTACTTTGCTATCGCCGAAAACGAAGCAAAAGCAAGAGTCCGATTTAATATAATGGAAAAAATGTTGCAACCTTGCGGTCCGCCGCCCGATAAGCCCGAAGACTAAGTTTGTAGATAGTAAAACATTTCTGTAACAATCTAATAAACGTTTACTTTATTTACATCAGTCTGTATGCTGTTACACTTGGAAAGCTTTATAAACTTAAAAATGAGTAATTCTACTAATAATTCAATACAATTGAAAGATTCTACAAGTAATTTTGGCGCAAATACACTCCAGACAAATAAATGATGTCTGTGTATTAGGATTGCCGTACAAGTTGTCACTAAGGTTAATGTCCTAAAAAATATAGAAATCTCCCATACTAAACGGGAATGTGTTGTTATTGTAAATAGTGTCACTAGCACCGGAAAAGTGTATGTATGGCAAACAATTTGCAAGAACACAATACTTGGCACGTAACTTTGAAGGCCTACGTAACCCGAGGCTACATCAACACTAGCAAAGCTATTACCATTACCCTGAGCAAAAAAAAATACTTTGCCAATCAATAAGGTAATCATTGTGATATGCAATGAATTTTTTAAATAATTTTGAACTAAAGCGCAGCTAAATAAGCAAATGGGTATTAGCACCAAGTTGTGGGGGCGAATCAAAAGCGAACACAATAAGATCCAACAGACCACAAATTGGTCGGCATAATTTTTAAAGCGATATAATTCCAAAAGGAAATTGAAACCAATACCTAGCCAGATAAATTTGCCTACAGTTGGACTTTTCTCAAAGCATGTATGAAACACATAAATAAAAATTAAAATCAACGGGATAACCAGAGAATGTCTCTTGAGCAACTTATTACAACAAAAATAAATCAACATTAAGCTACTGCAAAACAAAATTTGGTAAAATACGTAATTTTCTTCTAGCACAAACCAGCTTGATAGAGTTGGTAGGTGGCTCCATTTATCACCGGAAGGATTCATTGTTCGTATGAAACGAATGAAAATGAGTATCGGTAACATTTGAAAATGTTTCAGTTTGTAGCCTTTGAGTAAAATGCACGTTCCCAACATGAAATACCACGTCTGATGCTCCTCCTCTATGAAACTTGAAGATTGCAAACTTGACAAGTACAAAACTGTACAAATGATAAATATCCCATTATCGTTAGGTTTAACACAGCGGGCTACTTTTACTACGTTTTGTAGCAAGAAATAAAGCAATAGTGCTATGCTTAATACAGAAGTGAGTAACAGTGTTGGTAGTAGTTGAATTATTAAAATTAGTGTGACGGCTAATTGGGTCGTGGTGCCATCTCCCAAGAAACACAAGTTCGAGAATACCACACATAACAAGTTTAGCAATGCCAAAATAGACACGAGCAAAGTATAATCGTCTTGTACAGCTGACACGTGTAGTAAATTTTCTGTTACCATATTTATGTAAGCTTGATACTGAATTTGTGCGCTTGTTGCGTCTTTTGTGCTATTGGAAACCATAAATTTGTAGTGGTAGCTGGTGGCATCATTCAAAATCTCCTCATATTGGTCGGATATAGATTTTATTAGTGAAGAAACGTAATTTAAGATGTATAGTTGGCGATCTTGAGAGAGACCAACTAACATATTTAAAACAGGCCGTCCTATACTTGATGAAGGTAGTTCAAGTCCCAGAAGCACAGACAAAGTGGCTGGTATGTCAATTTGTTTAATAGACCCGTTTACACATGGAAGGCCTACTGCAATAAAAGGAACGTAAGTTTCCGCATAGGTGGCACCACCGTGCCCTCCGCTATCTTTCATTCCATGATCACCAGTAACTACAACTAAAGTTTTCTTGTTCCACACCTTAGTTTCATCATAAATTCTTTTAAACACTTTGTCCATCTCTTGCAGTTTTGGTTGCACCAATGGACTAAACGGGCCATGCACGTGGCCGATATGATCCAGACCGAGGTAGTGAAGAACCATAATATCCCAATCGGAATTACTCAGTTCGTTTAACACGTTACTAGTTACATTGTTGTCGACTTCAGTGTAGTCATTAACAAAGAAAGATGTAACACCCTCCCATCGTTCAAACACATCCGGATATAATTTTAACCAAGTATCGTCGCCGTAAAATATAATCTTTTTTCCCGCATTTTTCGCTTGGTGTAAAATACTATCATTTAACTTATTTGTACCTACCAAATTTAGAACGACATCTAAAAACTGAGGCACTCGTCCTGTGGTCAATGCTTTAATTCGAGGTAGCGTAACGGTCGGCGACTGGACGTGCACTTTATGCATGCACCCATGCTGATGGAATGCGGGAGCTAAGTTGGGAAAGTTCTGTTGCGTGATAAAGTCCCACCTTAATGCATCTATGATGATGAATACAAGACGGTCCACTTCAGGTTTGTAAAGCTGCTCCAAGTTAAATTCGATTCCATTTAATTGGGTTGGTCGCGCTGAATCGTTTCCCGACGTGTATTGTACAGGAAAAAATCCACGTAAAAACAATATCAAGGAAATAATTATTAAAATAAAATTAATTAAAAACTTGTCCATTAAAGAGATCCAGCTCTAAACGGAGACAAGAGAGGTTATGTTTAAGTGGCTAATTTAAGGTTATGCGGAAAGTACAAATTTTTGTTTACATTTGAAAAATGGGCACTAATTTTGAATGGTTAATAGTTTTGTTTGTATAGTGAGCAATAGTTAATAATAATGTTTTAGGAAAACTCTGATTTGCAACAAGCCACTTCCCGAACAAGCTACGAGGGTTAGTGTACATGATCATCCACTAAAAGCCATGGTATCTAATGTAAGTTAAACAAACGTATTGTGCATATTTCTCTAGGATTGCCATGACTGGAACATGAGGGTAAAAGCAAAGACAATATTTGAGCGACGAAGCCTGTAAGCATATGGTACTATCTCTACAAAACTGCCTACTACATTATTATTTTCTATTACAGCAATTGTTTTTTGTTTTTAGGGTGGGATTGTTACTTTCATATTCGCAGACTCTGAGATATCAAAGTCAAAGTTTATTGAAACCAATTTTTTGCGACCAGGTTTAGGGAGCAAGCAAAGCCATTGTCCGAAAATAAAAAAAATGTTTAGAAAATTGGAAAAGATAAATCTAAAAACCTAGAATAAGCCATTTGGTCCATCCTTGTCATTTGTATGTGTTAACATAGTTACTGAGAAAAAAATTAAATGCATATTTTGGCACTTAAGAGACATAGTTTAAAACCGAGTTTAAAACAAAGCATTTTGACTGACATTTGAACTGTCTGGTTTAATTTTTTGTAAATCACACCGTGATTGTTGTATGCGATGGTCAAATCAGCTATAAAGGCACCACTAGTCTGCACATTAAGCAGAAACAATTTAATTACTTAGGCAGAGGCTGTAATTTTAAGTTTATTCGTACTAAACTTTAGCAGGTCTTTAGCTCTGTGCACAGAGGGCACTGTTCATATATAGAGCCTTGGCTTGTCTTTGACCAAGGGTGTTCCGCCAGTATTTTTCATGCCATTCTTTCATTTCCCATTTCCCATCGTTACATGTGCAATTCGACATACCACTTCAGGTCCTATACAAGGCGTCTGTGGACTTTCCCTAGTTAGTCAGTCAATCATTTCATTACCCTTAATGGCAGTACGCCCAGACGCCCCTATCAGCTTCACATTATTGCTGGCTCAAGTTTTAATGCACTCCAGCACCAAACCACAGTTCACATCTTGCACTCCTAGAGTTTTTATTGCGGCCGAGCTATCTCTTGCTATAGAGATTTTCCCTTGCCAAAGATTACTCTCTAATATGGGCTCGGGCGAGGGCGCAGGAGTTAATACCAAAAATCGCTGTCTGGAACGTTGTAGCGTTACGGCCGAGATCGAGTGATAGTCTGTATCCCTCCGCCCCATATAATAATAATAATACACGTGGTAGCACAGTTAAAAACACAAAAGTCTTGTCAGAAACACACCACGTTAACACAACCTACTCGTATTCAACCCAAACGCAAGGCCAAACAAACACATACTCAATAAACAATGCCACTTGATTAAATTGCTAAGCTTGTAGGATTTTTTTGTTTTTTTTTTGGTTTGACAGCGTTGACTTGACCAGACGAACGACGTACAGACAAATACTAATCGTTACTCGATTTTAATCCGTGGGATTAGTTAACCAGCTCACAAGAAACACCGACCATAATAATTATAATAATGTCTCTGATTGCCTTTATTTAAGGATTAAAGAAAAAAAATGAATAATTTAACTCTTAAGCAATCAAGTTTACAGAGCGAAGTTCAGTACGACAAAAAATAATAATTTGCCGTCTGCTCTACCACTTAAAACCTGTATCTGCGGCGAGAAGAAACCTCTTGTGCGCATAGAATATTGTACAGTATTATTGACATGGTGCATGAATAGTCACAAATTAATATTGAAATGTTAGGCCACCCTTTATCATTATTTTCCTTTTGAATATACTCCAACCTCTTTGCTTTACCCCGTTCCCAGTGCTCCCTTCTGGATGTAATTATATCACTCTTGTTGTGACTTCCACTTAAATAAATTCAACTCATCGAAACACGTTGAGCACAAATAAAACGTAAATGTAATTTAAAAGATCAATGTTTCGTAAGGGAAATTATGTAAAAGTTGGTCACTCCCAGTGTAGAAAGTACACAAGTAAAAAGGTTTTCGTCCGAAGACCAGTATCTTCAGTGCATTTTTCATTTGATCAATATTTCCCAAAAGGCCATAGCTATGTGCGGTATGCTTTTCTTTACTAGAGGCATCTATGGTTAAAATTTCGAAAAAATATCTCCATAAACAAGAAAGATGACGTTGCGCAGTTCGCGCATGCGCACATTTCATTTATGCGATATGTTTGTTTTTACTACTAGCGTCTATGGTTAAAATTTTAAAGATAGATCTTCATAAGTAAAAACGAAGTTGGCAATTTGTAGTCTGTGTATGCGCGCATTTGATTTTTACTATGTGCGATGTGTTTGCTTTTGCTAGTGGCATTTGTAGTTTACGATTTTTACTACATGTGATGTTTTTCTTTACTAGAAGCATCTGTGATTAAAATTTCAAAAAGACATCTCGATAAATAATACATTTTATACTGCGCATGCGCACATTAATCTCAAGGTTACAATAGGCGATACGTTTGCTTTTACTAAAGGCCTCTCTGGTTAAAGCTTCTACTATATGGGATCTGTTTGCCTTTACTAGCAGTATCTGCGGTTCAAATCTGAACAAAATATATTAATAAATAAGAAAGTTGATATTGCGCATGCGCACATTAATCGTCAAGATTTGTCTTGGCTCAGGTGCCAGAGCTGTAAGCTACCCAATTCCAAAATAATAAACTAAATATATTGAAAACTGTAAGAATAATTAAGGCCTCTGACGGACGGACAGAGAAATTGGCTGCAATAGCGCACGCAACTTTGCTGGAAAATGCGCTAGAAAGTGAAACTTAAAATTGAACGCAAGGTGTGAAGCTTCGCAACTTTAATTAATAACATAAATAAAATTAAATTATTTCATTTGATGGTTATTACTTAAAACTATGAAGTGATATTTATAAAATTAAAGGATATTAGTACAGTAATTTTGTATTAAATGCTGTGTAGGTTGAACACGTTCCTCGTAAAATCCTGGGTTCTCAACCAAGCACGGGATCATCGACACCATCTACAACCCCTGCTGCTTATCTACAACCGTTAAGTGATGCTCTAGAAGGTTTGGACCCGTTAACACAATTTGCCATTCAAGAAGTGGATCCTTTGACCCAAATGGCTCAAATGGTAGGACTCTTTTGTAATACTTTGTAATCTAAAAAACTGGAGATAATGGCCAACCTCAGTTTTTGATGTGATTTTCTGGAATACAGTAATTTAATGTTTTTAGCAACCTGATTACAAAGAAGAAGTAGTAGTAACGAGTAAAAAATCAAAACCACGGCAAATGACTATCGATATGGAACCTTGGAGTTCCAGGAAAAACATGATACTTTCCAAATTCACAACTTCAGAAAGACTAACAATCGTTAGTAGTTTTCTGTCTGAAGGCGAGAAAGGTACCTACCTATCACACACATACACATAACGGCCAGAACACTTATTGTTTTCATTTCAGTTGTTTTAAAAACGCAAAGTACAGCAGTTGACAAGGTTCAACACCGTCTAGAGCAGTTGGATTATTTCGATGAAGGTAGCCAGAGAAAATTAGATTTGTCACAAGCCGAATATGTGGCGAGAATAGAGATGTTGAATCGAGAATTAGTAAGCGCTTGGCATTCTGAACAAAGAGTCAAAGCCCTAAAGATTGCAATTCAATGTGCTAAAGTATTAGCGGATTCTGATGTGTTGCGATTTTATCCAAGCAAGTTTGTACTAATTACAGATATTCTGGATATATTCGGGCATCTTGTGTATGAACGCCTGAGAACCAAAGCCGATTACTATACGTAAGGAGAATTATTGTCATTTTTCAAAGTCAGAGGTAATAACTTTACAGGTTGGGCAGTAAAACTCCAACGGCTCTTCCTGAAGATTTTACTCCGAGTATGGTTCCCGAGTCGGCAAAGGAAACTTGTAGGAATTGGTTTTACAAAATCGCGTCTATTCGGGAATTGGTACCACGATTGTATGTGGAAATGGCCATATTGAAATCATATAGCTTTCTCACTTCAAGGTAACAACACCGAGGTATTTGTTTTAATAAATAACATTACTTTTATAGTGAATATTCCGCAGCTCTGTTACGATTAACGCACATGATACGTGGAATAGGGAATCCGTTAGTTGCTGTGTATGCACGTTGCTATCTCTGCAGAGTTGGAATTACTATAACGGCTACTGAGAAAGATTATTTAAATGAGAATTTTTATGATTTTCTTGACAGCTATAGCCAGGTAATTAATTATAAATGTCCCATATACTTTGATCTATGTCTGTTCTTTCCCCCTTCAAATCATCAGGAATTTGTTCTCCTTATTTATTCAATTTGTACGTTCTGAAACCATGAATTATGGAATTTTCTTGTTCATTTTGTTGATATTCTGACAAAGGACCTCTTTGTCACAATATAAAATAACAATCAGAGAAAATGGGCGAAAGCCATTTTTTTCTTTATTACAGAATTGATGTTCAAAATTTGACTTAGGTATATGGTGCGCCGGGTTTTTAGAATAGTGAAAAAATACACAGAATGGAAGTTCTGTTGTAAGAAAGAGCAAAATAAAATAAAATGAAGTAAGACCACTTTTCTTATTTGATAATTGTATTCGGAAGCGCCATAATCATACACTGATTCAAATACCTACTACGACCAAGGGGTTGAAGTGCTATCATCCCCTTTATTTATTTATTTTTATTTATTCACGTCAGGAAATATCTTCATAGTTAGTACTACTGTAGTCGAAGTTTATTGTCCAAACACTGTTACCAATGCACCAAAACCCACCACAGGTTCCTCGATGACCATTTGAATTAAACCTTAACATTTGTAGGTATTTGGAAGATACGCGATGGAAGGGTTAAAAATACAAAAAGTGACATTAGAAAGTTACTTAACGTTATACACTCCTGCGCTCGATTTTATACTTCAAGCAGTTGCAAGTGGTGCAACTGAGAGTTTATTGGGAGAACTATTGGATCGTTGTCGAAATCACAAAAACAAGTAAACTTTATACTTATTACTTCGAAAACAATAAGCCACAGTTGTATTTCAGCGCTCTCCTGCTAAACACTATAATGAGCGCGTTCAAACCTATGCACATAGCGTCACGAGCACTGCAGTTCTTAGATTTAATATCCGAAAACACAAGTGAAGATTTTCCGACTTATATATTGCTACGAACTTTAGGTTTGTGCGTATGCGTATGTCCACCCCCAAGGGAACACCGTCGACAAGTCATAAACAGAGTCTGGCAATCAATAAGCGATTTGAACAATTCAGAACATTACATTAGTTGCGTTGAGGTATGGATCGAGTTTGTGGTCCAACATTTTACTGTAAGTATCGCATTCTGGTTGCAATTCTTAACCCCCTTATTTAGTTCCGAGAGGTGAATATAATTATCGGAGATATTGTCGCCCACCTTTCCCCTAGTAGAAACTACGAACAGTACTACAGCCAATTAAAGAGTATCGTTGTAAAGATTGTTTCTCGCATGCAAGAATTCGAAGCCCTTTTAGCTATGGTCAGTATATTTGTATCAATTTGATCTACAATTTACATTTCAGGATAATTTTCTGCCACTGATAGATCTTTTTCAACAAGAATCTTGTAAAGTAGAAGTTTGCAAGGTGATTTTAAATGCATGTAATTCTCTACAACATACGTCTGATGCGGTTATTACCAACACATTGTTGTTTTTGTGTACCACTTTACATGATTCTGTTAATGCTCTTACAGTCGAGGACGAACGTAGACAGATAAGTGAACTGTTGTGCAATGTTGTCAAAACTGTTGATTATGGCCGGGATTTTGAGCAACAATTGAATTTCTATGCCGAAGCAAGAGCTGCATTTTCAAACCTAGACACAGTACTGGCTCAGTTGGTGCAGGTGATCATATGTTCACCAGTAACTTTTAAACATATTCTTTGCAGTGCGTCAACACCTTAGCGGTCAATACGCGCAGAATAGTAAAAGGGCATCACACTAGGAAGACAGCTGCATTTGTTCGTGCTTGTGCCGCTTATTGTTTCATTACAGTTCCTTCAATTACATCAGTTTACACCCGTTTGGAATTATATCTTTTATCTGGACAGGTTGCATTATTCAATAACTGCTTAGGACAAGGTCTGTTTTATTTTGCTTGAGTAGGTGGCCAAACTCAAATTTTAGCGGATGCTTGTTTTAAGGCGGCATTAAAGTTACTCCCTGAACTAATGTTGGACGACAATCAAAAGCAAGCCGAAACATTTTTAGTGTCATATGTGCGAAATTTTCTTTCCGTCTTATTAATAGTTCCGGACAGTCCGGATTCGGGAGTATTAAGTTGTACGCGAATTCTACTCAACACTCTACCTACAATTAAGTGGAATTCCGAAAATACAGTGTTGCCAAACTTGTATCTAAACGTTTTAGATATGCTGAGTGCAATGGCACAAGAGAGTTATCCTTACCACATAGACAAAGGTAATGAGCACGCTTTCCAGTGATTTTACACATTTCTTTTGTAGTGGAATCAAACGATTCTCTCTACGGATCAGACCCAAAGTTTTTAAGCGAAATTGATAAAATGTGTACGTTGGTACTCAGAGAACTTTTATCGCAAATGAAACATTTAGGTCCAGGCCGTAGACAGGCAGAGATCGCATTAGAATTACTGGTTAAAATTACATCGCTATCCAATATAAGCCACAATGGATTAATCAATTTAGCTGTAAATTTGTGGCAGTTGTGTCTAAAGCAGGGCACTGTGGATCCTAATTATATGGTAATTAAGTGTTGTTTGCAATAAAATACTGCAAACGTTTATTTTTAGACAAGAACTAAAGATTATTTAAGCGAAAAGGGTAATTCTACAGATAACAACACTTTGCAGCAATTGGTAAGGAAACTTTCCATGTAAGGATACATACTCCAGCCAATGATAAAGCATTTATAAACTTTTTATTTTATTAAAACTAAAATGTTCAACATTCATGGTCGTTTTTATTTGCGTGTGAGAAGTTTCCGCTTTTTTAAAATACCGCTATAAATGAAGTTGCAAGCCTTTAAAGTTGCGCTTCGAAAAAAACCTTCGTTTCAGCGTGTGACGTCATTTGACCTATTCACTTAGGTTAGTGAGATTATTGATACGCGGCACCGTAACTCACTCAATTAGGTCAAATGACGTGACAGGCAGTACAGAACTAAGGGGCTATTTCAAGGCAACTACTTGTTTAGAAGTTTATAAATATCATTGCAGAAATCCCAGCGTTGCCAAATGTTTAGTGTTTGCTTGTACTTATTTAATAGGTATCTATTATTCCTTGAAATGTATGATGTTTAGAGATATGTTATTCCATTCTACGCTTATAGCACAATTTATTAAGGTCCGAGCACTTGTTGGTTTGATTCATAGGTGCGAATATATGTTCTTGGTTCTTCGTGTAACAATAAGCGGTTTTTTGAGCGGTAAATAATAGATTTTTTAGTGTGTATTGTGTATTCCCAGTAAGCGTGAGTAATAAGCTCGCTTTGATTACGTCTCTGCCCTTTGTACACACTGTTCGTCACCCTGCCGTCGACGGACGTATGGAAAAGTCGACCGAACTAGATCGTTTAGTTAGAGGAAGTAGTCTAACCATTGAGTAATTAAATATGAGCTCAACGGTCTAACGAACGATATTTACTTCCGACTTGCGCGGAAATAAACGAACATTTTTTCAAAAAAAAAGGCCAATAGACGTTTTATAGCATTTATTGTACAAATAATAAGATAATGAAAGATTCCCGGAAAAAATGTTGCAATTACTTTTTAATTTTTGCCGGCCAAACTATAAACAATATAATAAATCCAAAATAAACTGCCTCAATTGGATCATAGTTGTGATCAAATGGTTCAAATCAGTTAAAAATGTGAACTGTGGACCAACGCAACCCCTGACGCAACTGAAAAACTACTTGACCGATTTGGACCATATTTTTTACCAGTCGATGTGACTAATGTCCCCTTCAATCTCATTACATTTCAGTCCGATCGACCCACGCATTCCGGAGATATTTAAACGCTCCAGAAACCCTATATTTGGAGTGGAAGCCAATGTTGTTTTCAAAAATGAGAACATACACTGCATTATCAATCGTTTAGATGGATGAATCACTAGCAGAGTGCGCGGTGGCTCAAGTTGAGGGGCAAATTTAAATACATATACTTATGAGTTATGTGTTTTTTCCGCTACTAGCCAATGGTGATTGAAAAACATGCCTATGACGCTTAGTTGCTAGGAGACCGATGCGCGCTAGTGCTGCAGCTTAAAATGCGGGTCAAGAGTATTTTTTTAATTGAATTGTTTAAATGAGAATAACGTGTAAATATTTAATTAAATTTATTCGACGGGTGCAGATTTATTAATTTATTATTTAACTGCACTATATATTTTGACTGATTATTGGATTAGACTGATGTTTTTTTTTTCTGAAGACATAAGGATTATTGCATTGTAATGATTGATTGTTAATGATTAAACAACTCAGCGTAAGGCATCTATACAAAATTAAAGCAAACAAAATTTCCTGTAAAATAATCGCTATGCTCATCATAAAATTCAATTTTATGAAATATGTTGTTTACTTTAATTTGATTGTAGTAGACGATCTAAAAAGGATGGATAATAACAAATTTAATTTACATTTTTACAATTGTACCTGTTATTGGTTATTAAATTAAATAGTAATTACTGTCTATGCAATAGACGCCAACTAAACAGGAAAATACCAATGTAATTAACAATAGGTAGATACTGAATCGTTGCTGATTTCTTTTATACTTAAGTAATGTTTTCTAATTATATCATGTCCACATTTTATACAGCCAATAAGAAAGAAAATTAAATGTGACAACCGCGCAAATATTTTAAACCGTAATTCTATAAAGAATTCTGTAAATTTTCAATACCCGCCAATATTTAAAGAGGCGGTTAGTTCTGGCCACCTCTACGCGAGGGCCCGCTTTTGGAATCCTAGCAGGCGAGTTCTTATAGCCAACACGCGTTTATACCATTGCGCTGTCTTCTCTTATATATATGTATCTCTTATAATGGGTACTCTTTGGTTCAACTATTGCATATATTTATTTGTCTAAAAGTTTCACCCGAATATTGTTAATTAGAAATGATTAACATAAAAAGTATGTATAAATTATATTGAAAAGTGTATAAAGTACAACAAGAAAAAAATTCATGCAAGTTCTGTTGACAATATTTTATTTTGGTCTTCCTCTTCCTCTGGCACCACCACTACCCTTGCCTCGTTTATTAGCTCCATCTTTCTTGTCTTCTACCTTTCGTTTCGCAGGTGTGGTAGATAAAACTTTAAAGAAACCATCCAGACGTCCTTGGGTACTTGTGCCTCTAGCCTTTAGTAATTTTTTGGCACCATTTCTTATACGCTCTTCGTTAAACTGTTTATCGCCGCAAAGGTATTTCACAAGTCCCTCTTCATCAGGGTCATTCCATTTCAACTGAAATTTAATCTTTCAGAATTTATTCAAAGGGAAAAAGTAGATACTTCGATAGTCTCTGGATCGGCTACTTCCGGCGTGATAAACAATTCACGTGCACCTTCGAAATTCCAATCCTCTGGTGGTGAATATTTGCTTTTATCAATATTGTCGAGAATGTTTTCAATACTTTTATGTTGAGTAATGAGATCGATTGCTCTTTTAGGACCAATACCACGAATACTGTCTGTGTAATCACAACCCAGCAATATACATAAATCGATGAACTGAAATAAAATATGAATTAACCACAGAATGAAAGAAAGGTAAAAATTTGCATGGACGAATTATTGTATTCTTTACCTTAATTTTAGGGTATCTTCTTTAAAAGTCTAATCACATCGAACAAAACATTGAATAGTTTAATACGAGGTTTAATAGTTACATATTAGATGGTTTCATTTCAAGATTATAATTTTGACTTATTTAATTCGATATATTTACCTCCTTGTGTGATAATTTTAAACCCTCCAAGACTTTATCTAGATGAAATTCCTGTATGGGAAGTTTTCTGGCTTCACTTACAGTTAAATGACGCAATAAGACATTTGATCCAAAAGTTAATGCGTCCATGTCTTCAGTGGCTGTTGCAAATACCTTCCCGGCACGCACCTTCAAGGCTAATAATGAAAAACTGTATACTCAAACAGAGTACCTACCATCGCTGCACATTGAGCTTCGGCTTCACAAGGTGCCTCAATATACGGAATACCCATTAACGACAGCAAGTGCTTGGCTTCTTTTGTATGCTCTGAGGTCACCTTTACGAGTCTACGATTAAATTTCTCCATTTCTGTAGCGTCACCAGCCTCGGTTGCTTTCTCCAAAGCTTTCTGAGCTTCTTCGCGTCTTTCTGCACGTTTATTCAATTCACCAGATTTGAGCTTCGGAGGTTTTCCATCAAATACATAGACAGGTTTGATACCGTGTTCCACCAGCCGTATTGTACGATAAAATGTTCCCATTAAATGTGAAGTTGTCTCGCCATCTACGGTTGTTAACTGAGCACCCTCGCTACGAACTGCTATCAAAAACTGGTATAAAGACATCGAAGCGTCTATAGCAACTTTTCTGCCTTCAAATGAAAACAATAATTTTTATGGCATACTTATAAGAGCTTACCAAAGTAGGTCTTAATTTCATGTTCTTTTATTGCGTGCGGTGCAATATCGAGTAACAATTTGGATAGTCCTAAAATACCCATTTTTGAGTTTTTTTTGCTTTGTAAATGTTTATCACAAAACCCACAGTTTATAGGTTAAGAGCAATGTTGACTGTTCGCCTTCGCGCCATTTGGGGTTATGGCGTCAAAAAAGTACTAAAAGCTATACAAGTTCAAATTACATACAAAGAAATGTTTTATACAAAAAAATTCGCATCAAACAACCGACAAAAATCACTGTACTGAAAAGTGCTCTAAGCGCTTTCCTTTCCCAGGCAACCGAACGATTTTCAAAGGTTTCAAGCCCGTGCCATTCTATACTATCTAAGAACCCACGGATCCATAATTCCTTTACCATAAAAGATGCCGACGAAAGTCAGAGCAAAATTGTACATAGGTAATTACCAGTGGCGTATCAAATTTTCATTTTTTAATAATAGAATATCCTATATTTTATTACCGATTTTGTACTTGAAGTACTTGAAAAATACTTATTTTTTATGTAACATGTTATAAGGGGTACGATTCCGCTGTGATAACCTTTTTCCCTCAAAATTTGACAGTTTTTCCAAATTTTTTAGAGAAACTAAATCGCGCCGGCGAAGTTTTGAACTGAGGCACAGGCGCACAGGTCACAGTCACATAATTTTTTTCAGTATTTTATCGAAAAAAAGATCTTAGAGCAAAATAGTACACAATTACCGTCGTCAGTTTCTAAAATATTTTTTTGGTCACCAGGGGTGTACCGTAACAATCTCAAAGAATAAACACCATTTCTGCTTGGAGTTGGAACATTTTGCAACGTTGATTAAAAAACAAACGTCCACTATCGACACTTTATTGTTAATTGTGACAATTGAACATCCTTTGTTTCATCATGGCAGATTTGGGTACGGAAAAGAACGAATTTGCCAAAAGCATTGAAAAAAAATTAATTTTTTATTCAATGTCGAAGGTCAATCAAAAATTTTATTTTCTGTATTATTATTATTATTATTTACATATTATTTTGGTAATTGAATTATTATCTCTGGCTACACCCTGTATATTGCTTGGGACTGCAGAGTAGGCTTTATCTATTCTATGAAAATCAGATTTGATCTGTCAAAACGGTTTGAGCTTGAGCTGTCAGAAATCAGCACAATAACAAAAACCGTCTTAAAAATAGTTATAAAGTACAGAAAATATGGCAACTTTACCAGTAGTGGGTCTCACTACCCATACAAGAAAAGTTCAAAATCTTTACAAGAGAGCTCTTAGAAATTTGGAATGCTGGTTTGATAAAAGGTTAGTAAATATATGATCTTCGCTGTTATGTAATTGGTTTGCATCTGTAGGCATGAGTATCGATATGAGGCTGTGCTTATGCGCGAAAGATTCAATGAAAATAAGGATGTTAAGGACATGAGAGTGGCCAGTAACTTACTGAAGGCAGGCGAGGAGGAACTGTTTTTAAAGCAACATTGGGCACCTCGAAAATGTGAGTAGATATTACAAATTACAACAATTTGCATCAAATTGAATGGTGATGCTATTCAAAGCTCAGTTCGGGAGGGCACAATAAATTATAACCACTCAATTAATTGCTAAACCTCTACTCTCTAAGTCTAAAGTATGGATACGGTCATCAACTTATCACTAGTAGAGGCAAATATTCAGTCGAATGTACATATAAACAATATAGGTGCTAACTTACATCGGTTCAGTGGTATAAAAAAATTTGAATGCGAACACTTTCAATTTCATTATCAAGGGCAATCATGATAATATAATACTATGATTGTTTTAGATTATCTTAAGTCTATTGCATTCATTTTCCAGTCCCTGACTCTCCAGGAGGTGTGGCTTATAAAAGAGAGGTAATACCACCGGATTGGGTCTTAGATTATTGGCACCCATTGGAAAAGGCTCAGTATCCAGAGTACTTCGCTCGGCGCGAACTTCGTAAACGGGAATTCATGGAACAATGGGAAAAAAAGTATGGGAATATTGATCACAAAGAAATTCATTAATTTGTAAAAAAAAGTAAAAAATTGTATTAGAGAGTAGTTCATTACATTAAAATTGTTATTACTGATATGTCTTATTCCCAATCAAATTTGATATACAGGATGACCCTTTCAAATTGACAGCACACGGGCATTGTGAAAGTAACCATGAAAATAGACGGTCAAGCTCTCTCAGAATCTAAGGAAATAGATCGGCAACCAAAAATATGTGCAGGTTCTGTTGTTTTTCTAATGGGCAAGCTTAAGTGCAAATAGAGCTACTTCCTGAATTCTAAGTGCAAGATCATCATTGTATTTTTGCCGTATCGAATTGCATTTTCAGGGCATGCAAGGTCAATGACCCCATTTTTTGTGGTGTCAAAATACATGTTCAAGGTCAATGATCTCATTTTGAAGAAGTGTCACAGATCATCCAAGGTGTCGAATTACATTTTCAAGGCATAGAGGGCCAATTACCTCATTTTTTGTAGTGTTGAATTACGCTCAAGGCCCATGAAACCATTTTTGCGGTGCCAGGTTATACTGTCAAGGTTATCTAATTGCATATTTCAAGTTAATTCAAAATGTAATTAGATACCACAAAAATGACCTCGACCATGTTTGACACCGGAAAAATGGGCGTTGTATGTCCTTGAAAATGTAATTTGACACCACAACCATTGACCTTGAACAGTATAATTTGACACCCCAAAAAATTAAATATGATAACTGAAGGTTACCTCGATCTACTTTCCAAGGTCACCGCCATGTGGCACATCACCTTGACCTACTTTCCAACCACCTGATGGCGAGCGACCTTGAGCTGGTCCAGATTCGCCCTTGTAAATCTACTGATATCAATCACCCTGTATAACAATTGTAATTTCATTGAAAATATTTTTAGGTTGTAGCCTTAAAGAGTCCTTCAACATGCCCAGATAATGAATTTTAAATATGTGCGTTATAGACCGACAATCTTCCACCCAAGCACTAATGACCCACACAAAAATTAACTATATCAGAATAAAAAATTAAAACTAGTGTAACGCCATAAAGAAACATAACATCTCGATTTATTTATTGTGCTGTTAAATATCACATTTTATGCCATTGTAACCACAGAAACACTTCACACTCCAATTCGTTGAAACATTAGTGAAGATACTTTAGAAACTTGGCCAATGCAACACACAACTTCTAACAAAGTGCAGAATGTAACACAATTAGAACACTCCTATCCATACAATTTCTCTAGAATTTGAGCGGGCGCGTCAGCTTGATATTTAGAGATTTGTTTCAAGAGAGCAAATTTTTTTAACCTTCCCTTCGACGATTCCATATCATATAAGGTACATAAATTCAGTAACAGAGACTCCTGCAATGCCTGAACTGGACTAGCAGAAATTGCAGACTCTAGAACGGATATTGCATCCTTTAAATGACCCCATATAAAAGACAAACGGCCATATTGTTTAGTATCTACAACGCATAATCACTAATCAACTTCACAGGTATCTGTAACTTACCATCACATTTGACGGCTCTAAAGCACTCGCTTGTTGGAAACATGAATAGGCATCACCAAAATTATTTTGAGCAATTGCTATTAAACCGCGGTCCACTAGTTCGCGGAGGCCTTCGTGTCCACCAGAAATTTCGCGCGCCTCGTTAAAACAAACTTCCGCACCAGCCACGTCGCCTAGCTGCAAATGCAACCGGCCCAACGCCGACAGTAATGAGTGTCGTGGAGCGCTCTCTCTGTAAAATTTGCATTAACACACCAATATTGGAATGCTAGCAATACCGTTCCAGTAGTTGTCCCAATAAATCCATCGCTAACTCGTAGTCCTTTAACGCTAAGGCGCAGTTAATTATTGAATGCATTATTCGTCCTTCTCGTCCATACCACAGACGAACTGAGTCCGAGCGATCGGCTGAATTAATTTCTGTCGGGCTACCGTCTTCACACAGCTCGTTTTTCAAATTACCAAGCATCTAATGAATAACAATAATGATACAGTAATCACAAATGACGGTTTGGGATACCTGTCTGACTATAGACAAAATATGAAATAATTTAGTTAGCGATTCCTTTGGTTTGCCGCAATGCATGGGTAATTCTGCCAGAAGTAATCTGAATGAAAACGATGCAATAGAGCCGGGCCGACCGCCATACATCTCAGGATAAAACTGAAAAGAATAAAGAATAGTTGTATTTTTTCTTTTTTGCACAATGATTTTGACAAACAGTGTGCGTAAATAAAGCAATATTAAACGGGGAAACGTAACAGTAACGGTACAGTTGCAGAAAAAAGCTGACAAAAAGAATTCTGTAATTTCCATGTTCAACATCACATCTTTTTTCAATAATAATTTAATTTTTCTCGTAAACAGCCCAACAGGCAACAATATACACCAGTAAATTTTATTTAAAAATGGCTTATCTCCAAAAGTCCTCTAAAAAACCAAGAGTTCAGGTGAAAAGTCTGTAGGTGTAAGTGTAGCATCTGTGTTTCCTACGCAATAGATCCATTTGTCGCAATTTTTCTTGAGTTGCTGATAGTGTCAGAATATCAAAAAATTTTCGACTATTTCAGATTTTAAAATATTGAAGAAATATTCCGTATTTCTGTTAACGAAACTGTTATTCACGCCTATTACAAATTTTAAGTTTTTCAGATGTTTCCGAAACTAGCAAACATGGTTAAAATATCATAGATAGATGCACAATAAGAGTCTACCATAGATCAAAGATCAACATGAGCAAGAGAAGAACAAGAGAAATTAATTGGGAAGAGAAAAACCACAACTTGCTTAAAATAGATACGTTTTCACACTAAAGGACATACCAACTACACAGTCATTTCATTTACCTGATAAAATAGATCGGGTTTATCTAATTGACCAAACGGTTCTGCTTCTGCTTGAGCAAGAGTATAATTTTTAATTTTAACTAAAAGGGCGATTCGTGTAAACCAAAGCTGTAAAGAGTGGGGCGAATGTTTTGTCGCGTGGCCTGCACGCCCCTTGCCTTGTCCATAAATTGTTAACAATCTTGCCGTTAAATTAATACCGGCCCTATAAAATAAAATTGTACACAATTGTAATCTAAAAAAATCATTCGATTTCAATATTAACCGCTTACCTGTACGCTCCTGCCTGGACCAGTTCTCTTAATCCTCTTTCGTCTTGGGTAACATCTGCAGCTGTTAAAATTCTTCGTTGTAAAGCTTCGGCTTCGCCCAAGTAGATTGTGACTGCTTCGCTGACTGTGTCAGTCTGTAATTAAAATTTGAAATAAATAAAGTAACATGCTAATACACAAACACACATGAGGGTTTGCTTTACTTTTTATCGCTTTGTACACTCGATATTGACGGATATAATAAAGGAAGCCCAGCGTACAGAATATAAAAATGTGAACACATCGGCGCGGTACGACGCAATTGACTTGGCGCATGTATCGATTGGTGCGCGAAATAGCAGAGTGCGACATCAACGAAAAAACAATGTGGCATATTTGGGTTGCTTTGAAGTTGCTGGAAAATGTATAACCACCATTACGACAATTAAAAGCAGACTTTCTTTTTCTCACTGGCTAGTGCTTTCTCTACCTTGCGTAGCTCTAACTTCAAAGTGACAAGGGCTCTATAACTGAACATGGGTCTAATTCTATTGTCCAGTGTAATATCTAGACAACTGGGGGCATGCTTCCCAGTAGGTATCTGTACTGATTAGGGCTCAACATATGTAAAACCGAACATATTGTGGCTCTTATCTAGGTCGTAATTTGGGCTCGATTAAACCCACAATAGATCATTTGCACCATGGTACAATATTATTATATTATACAGGGTGACAATTTGAAAACTTACCACCCCCCATATCTTAGCAAATGAACAAGATATTTAAAAAAATCAAAATCCGTTTCGGTAATTCGGAGGGGGAATCACAATTACATAGTTGGCGACGCACCCCCTCACACTCCTTGCGCCCCAGCCACCCCAACTTTTAAGTCTTAAATAGTGACCCCCCATGTGTGATATGTCGTTGGAAAGCGCTGAAAAAATGGTTTCCAACCATACCAATAGCATTACATTTAGGTTAGTAATTATCGTGCAAATCAAAAAATAAACTAATATGATACATTTTCTAAAGTTGGCTTTTATTTCAATAAATGTTCAAAATGGATTCCGTTCTTGGTAAGACAGTATTACTATGCGATCAAAAATGAGTTGCTGTCGAGTCGCCCTTTGAAATTTTTGTTTACATGGAAAATCGTATTTAACTTGAACATCCAAAGCCGACTCGACAGCAACTCATTTTTAATCGCCAGTTATAATCTATTCTCAAACTCTTGTCGAACCTTTTCAAATGTTGGTTTTGCAATATTTCGACACTCTTGAATTATTCTCTGTCTTAGTTCGTCTATGTTCACCGGTTAATAATAATAATAATAATAATCATTTATTGTCCAACAGAATATTTTCCAATAACAGGACAATGTACTTGTGTACTAAATAAGTCTAGTGTACATATATGAAAATAAAAATATTCAAAAAGAGAACTTAGAATTAAACTCAATAGAGATTCACAAAGCAAATAATAAGTTAAACGGATATAATTACTAATTATCAAATTATACAAAAAAAAGAACAAAAAAAAATTATCAGAACAAGTGAGCAAGTGAAAATATTACAAAATATTACAAAAAAAAATGACAAAAAAAAAGCGCAAAAAGAGAAAAATACTTTATTGTGAAACATGCCTTAATATTGTCGGTAAGCTACTAAAATGTATATCACACTTCCGGCATACTGAATTGTTGTGTTTGAAATACGACAGATTTCAAATGTATCATATTAGTTTATTTTTTGATTTGCATGATAATTAGTAACCTAAATGTAATGCTATTTGGTACGGTTGGAAAGCATTTTTTCAGAGCTTTCCAACGACGTATCACACATGGGGGTCACTATTTAAGATTTAAAAGTTGGGGTGGCTGGGGCGCAGGGGGTTGGAGGGGGTGCGTCGCCAACTATGTCATTGTGATTCCCCCACCGAATTACCGAAACGGATTTTGATTTTTTTAAATATCTCGTTTATTTACTAAGATATGGGGGGTGGTAAGTTTTCAAATTGTCACCCTGTATATGGTATAATATTATTGTACCATGATTTGCACATGAAACAAATTTATTCAACATCATTTAATCAAATAAACTGAAAAAAAAAATGGTGCTCAGGGCCAGGTAACGCACACCACGCAACTACTGACAAACGGTAGATAGATCTCCACACTAAACTTTTTTGTAAACGAAACAAGTTGTAAATCAGCATATGCATGATTAAAGCGCATTTTTGGTCAGTATTTTATTAGCGAAGTTTAAAATTATCGATCTCACGAGTAATTTTGGCTGCGTTAAATAATTAATTTTATTTAATTTCAGTTGAGGGTACGTCTTTATTTTGTAAAACAAATCACAAAGTCTAAATCTAACGGTAAAATTATAGCACCTCCGAAAACCATATCGAAATTATTTTCTCAAATTATCGATCTCACGAGTAATCTAACTCAAAATAGACTAGAGCCTGCACATCTACACTATAGTAGAAAGCTTTTAGTGAAAATTTGAAGTCTCTAGCTATTGTAGTTGCTGAGATCTCAGCCGGACAGCCGGCCGGCCAGCCATAACGATAATAGCGTATTTTTTTCGAAAATGCGCTAAAAACACGCTTCCTGTTAACATCCACTTATGTCACGATGTAAAGAAAATCCTTTAAACGCTCTTTAGCTTTCTTCTACACAACTTTATATTTAAACAAGACAAACTGTCTTTTCAAATGCGCTCAAATATGGCAATACACCAAAACAAACAGGTATGCTTCGACGTCCATCACCAAAACAACAAACTTGATCGAAAGCCCTCGATTATCGTCTTCCTCCCCTACTTAAGGCAAATTCCCTTTCTTTTCCACTTTCCTTATTTTATTAATGCGTCGTCGAAACAAACATCTATTCAACTATAACAATAACACGTGCTTATCTTGAGACTAATTAGCTTACGCCGCGATAAATAGTCTGTATCCCTTTTAGGTAAGTAAGAAAATATATGATCATTCTGAAATTGACAATTTTTTTATTTCTCCGTATCATTTAAGTGAGCAAATATCTCGGTAAATATTTTCAAATTTTGATTTTACTATTTTAAGTTTGACCCTATAAGTGACGAAAATGAGACATCGCGTACTTTTTATAATTATTATTGATAATTCATGATGATGATAACGATTTTATCCTTGCAATTTTATTTGCACTTTCCTAATTTAATTCTTGATGCACTTTGCTGGAGGACATATTTAGTTGAAGCTCTTAAATGAGTGAAGTAATGTTTGAAAAATAAATTATCCCTATTACAAGGAATACTGGTATTTATAACATTAATAAGTAAACTGCTTAAATTATTCAAACCTCATCACAATCACTATTCCTTGCTATAAATAGAATAGAAGACTGAAGAGGTCTCTCACCTTTCATGGCATTAGTAGGTAATCATAAATTATTAACATTAATGGCTTTTCGGTTGTACGTCAGCACATAAATCCTAGCTATCGATCAACACCTGCTAAATTTAACATTGAACCTACCAAATCTTCTTCTAAAAGAACCCCTGGCATAGTTAGGAGCTCCTTTTCGGGGGTGTAAGTACCAGATGGAGAGGTGGCACATGCGATTAGGCACTGACGTGTTTGTTCACTTGGGATCCATGCGTCCCGTCTTCGATCAGCTTCCGTTCCCAAACCCATCCTAGGATTAAAATTGTCCTGAAAACATTACCTTACACGTACGCACACAACTATGACGGGCTTAGACATACATCACCAATACTTATACCTCCCGTGTTGCTGATCAAATCAAAAAACACTGCTGTTGGATCCTTCGGCTGTGCCGGTGTTTCCGCAAATAATCGGCAGACTTCAGGTTCGTTCTCCTCTAAATGTAGACTATGTATTTGATTTATTGTGTCGGAAATCTCCTCGGTAACAGGTACCGTTTTCTGTTCTAACGTTCCGAAATACTGACTTAAACTTGGTGTGTGATTGTCGGTCATTTTAGTATTTTTTTATAAATTATCTGCACAGACACTCATTCCCACAAATTTTAATACACAGTCATAGTACTTCTTCGCTGCAAATCGCTTGAGGAACGTAATTTAAAAGGGAATAGGCTGTCAACAGGAACAACATAGTAAACACAATCTACCCCCACTACACTTGACAAATAAAAAAAAGTAGGGCATCGATTAACGTAAAAGTAGACACAGACAACAGGGTGATCATGATCATTAAAGAATACAAAACCACGTGGTTTCATAGATTTCAAATGACATCGAGATCCAAATAATCTTAAATTCCTTCTCTGGAAACAATTAAAAACATACAGGATGTTCTATTTAAAAAGTTTTTTTACACTGTAAAAATGGGACACCCTGTACAGTGTACATTCATAAATTATTCAAGTATTGGCCGTTTGCACCGAAAAATTTAAGCGGATCTTAGCTTAAACTCTATGGCAACCATTGTCTCAATAATCGTTGCCATAGATGTTAAGCTACGGTTAAAGCTAAGCTCTACTTAAATTTGTCAGTGCAAACGGCCATAAGTACCTTAATATAGATGCGCAACCATCTAGGTATAGTTAGCTATAGTTCCAGACTGAAAAACTTTTCTGAAATTTTTGCGACTGTTGATCAGTACTTCCGTGGGCCACTAACGAATGCCTCCAAAAATGTCTTCTTACTATTCCCCATTTTATTATTTTTATAATTTGCAACACCCTATACAATTTCTAATATGCAATGCCTAATTCATTCTACCTTTAGAATTCTCAAAATGTCTACACAACCAAATTTGAATGCAATTTTGGAACTACCATTATCTAATGCAGTGTATTGGACATTCGTGGTACAGTTGAGGTATTAGAAGAATAGCACCATAATAGATGCGTATTCAAAGTGTGATACTTCGTAAGGTATATCAGTCCACATTAATTCATATTGATGGGAGTAGGATTGGCTTATAATTTTATTAATCTTAGTACAAACAAATGTTCGCCCAGTATTTTACGTTTTTTAACAACACATGCATTAAAATTACATGACATTTTCTCAATTATTTCATAGGGTTTGTTTTCCTTAATAGCTACCATATAACATACTCCTTTTGGTTTTAAAACATGTTCCAAATGTAATAAAAAACGATCAATGATTACCCTACCATCTAAACCACCAGCCCAGGCTCTGTTAATTCCTGGTGAAATTTCACTCATTTCCGTACAAACATATGGTGGATTAAATATTACAATATCAAAAGTACTTTTAAAGTTAAAAAGTAAGTCCATATTTATACAATGGACATGAACATTATTTAAACTTGCAGTCTTTAAAGTGCACAAGCAAGCGCAAGGATTAATATCTGAGGAAAAATATAATGCTTCATTTTTAAAGAAAGATGCTACCGAAGTAATAACAATTCCACTGCCACTGCCAACCTCCACAATCAATAAAGGTTTCAAAGACTCAATGTATGTTAATTCACTCTCCAAAGCATCTAAAAGTAAGAATGTATCCTCACTGGGTTCGTAAACACTATTAAACTGTTTAAGGTCATAAAGAGGTGTACGCAACGACATTGTATGAATTATTGAATATCACTGCAGGCACCTTCCAATAGAACTTTCCTTTTCACTGTTTCACGCTCAATCGACTGATGTATTTTATTTAACCTCTCTTGTGCACTTTGCAGCACATTTGTTAGAACAGTAACTCTATGTTTAGCATTAATTAACTTTCTCACATATGCATCTAAATCTATTGTCACTTGTTGTGCTTCAGAAATCTTCTTCAGTTCTTCCGCTAACGATTCTATGTGTTGTTTTAACTCCAGTTGTGAAATTCTAAAAGTAAATCTAAAATATTTGGGGTGGTTCATTGGCATACGAACCTTGTTGTTCTAACTCTTTCGTCTAGTTGGTCAACAGTGGGTTTAATTAAGCCCATTAACCCTTCAGCTAATGTGTCTCGGGTTGGATTATTGCAGAAATTTTCGGTATTTTCATCTACAGAAGTGGTAGAACTTTGCGAATCTTCCTCCATTTTTCTTGTGATAGTGAATTAAGGTTAGGTTATGTTGTCACTGAGTTGTTACAGTAAAAGAATGCACTCTATGGTTGATGATGCAGTACACAGGGTGACCCCATAAACAAATTTGTGCTTGAATTATTTTTGGAATCGTGTAATTGTAGACGCGTGAAGTTCTCGGCATATTTGTAATTTATCAGTTTTGTGTGGTGTATTTTTTTCTTGCAAAAGGTTATTTCCTAGGATTGTGTAAATGTAGGGCAGTTTATCGTTTATTTTTGTTATCAATGTTGCTTACGTTAAATCATTGAATTTATAAATTCAATGGTTAAATTATTAAAGTGACAGTTAGAATGTGAAGTCGAATTTTTATTGTACCGGGATTCAAATTCCTTCTGGGAAATTTTCAGTAAGAGAGCTAAGTAACTGTAGTTTTATGTGTATGTTTCATTTTGGCCGGACCATTGCACACATGATCATTATACATGGACAAAAGAATATACTACTGGAGTTTATTTTTTTACATATTAATTAATTAAATTAACCATTATTTATCGTCATTAAAAAAATAGAATGTTGTCAACTTTTTTCTTAATTTGTGTTACTGGAAACTGGAATTAAACTTTCAAGGAATAAAGAAAATTATATTAATTATTCGATACTTTTTTGTTTTTTGCGTTACAAGTAAGCATTGCAGTCATTGGGCATAACGGCTCTCTATTCAGTTGAAATATAGAAACCAGGAAATAATTGTTTATTTTGATTGTAGTATTTGTTTTTTCTATTAATACATACATTAGGGTTCGGATAGGTAACATCACTACTGATGACACCAAATGAAGAATTCTACAGTTTTGGGTTTCTTATTTCGAGTTTGTTTGAGATTGGGAAAATTTGTTTCCACACTGTATACTAAAAAGTACCGCCAACTTAATATGGTTGTATTTTTTAGGTTAAATTTAAGGTTTGGCGCGAAAATTTCTTCGTCCATGTAGAACAGGTGTTTCGTGTGTTATTTGTGTTTCGTTACTGGTGTTTTTAGAATGGGACATTTTAAATGGGTCGGAGGTCCAATTCAAAATGGGAATACCGAAAAATGTTGGCTCAAGTACTATCAGTAAGTTCCATTTAAAATACAACCCCGTGAATTATTACACTGTGATTTACAGAGGCTTTGTATACAAAAAGGTCCCCTTTAATGTAGGAGACTTCGTAGCGGTAATGCAAAAAGGAAAACTCCAGATTGGCAAATTAACCAGCTTGTTCCATTCCTCTGAAAAACGGCACCTACCAAAGGAACACAGGGGAATTGTGCAACTTTATAAACGAGTGAAAGATTTAGACTTCAACATCTGCAATAGCTATAAGAACTTACGAGGAAACTTTGAGGTATGGTCACATTTTACTTGCACTTATGTTCCTTCCGCGCGGTTCCTTCATACAAGAAATTGCAGATTTTTTTGTGTTGACGGACCACTCAATTAGATACTGTCTTTTTATTCAATATCAAAGGGATCTCAGAGGTAAAGGTCATAATATGTGCCGATTGATGGGATATGAGATTCATTTCTTTGGAAATGCCATAGCCCTACTGTAATATACTGCACATCAAAGAACGATCCAAGAGAGCCTTTCTTTTCAAAGACTTTGTTATGAAGATATAAACAATGGCGAAGGACAAGTAACATTTAAGAAATATTTCATTTCATCGTATTAAATAGTCTATAGTGTGATAATAGGGGTGATATATCGCTGTTTTTAAAATTATGCAGAAATTTGATCAAAAACTAATTTTTATTCCTTGCCTTATTTTACTTTATTACTGTTTTCCCAACCGAGTTTTCTGCTTTTCGTGCGCTCTGCACCACCAAGGATGGTTATAGTGTGTCTTAGTAGTTTTCAGAGGACCGCAATGGAGTTGGAGAGTAGATCTACTTTGCCCTGTAAGTCGGCAGGGCTCGAGAAACGTCCCCAAACAAGGTGCCCCCTAAGTTTTTCTCCAAGATGTTTATAAAGGGGAATATCTAATAGCTGGGTATGGATTTGGATGTAGGTTGACAGAATCTTCTGATGTAATTACTAGCTCAGCTCTGCCCTGTATGTCACAACTTACCTGTATAGCTGTGGTATCATGGCCACACAGGTGTGGCAGCAACTCGATTGAATAAAGTTAAAAAACTAATCAATGAAAAGTTGAAACTGAAGTCTTGGATAAGCTGAGCTTGACCATAGTATAGTTCGAAAGCTACTTTATTATTCTTTAAGCTGAACCTTGCACTGAATGTACTTGTACTCTATATTTTGTCCATTGGTTAATTGTCTATTGTTGTTGCAGATAATTGAGACTGCACTTAAATTAGCAAATACAATATGTTTAGAAGAAATAATAGAGAAATGTGATGTTGTTTTCCTGAAGATTGATGATCCCATATTCCAAAATGAAAAACATGACACCTACTGTTGCAGATATAAACAAGTACGTAATACGCTTGTGCCTGTTTTAAATAACTTTGATACAACTTGTCGTATACCTGCCAATAAAGAAAATATCGTATCATGCGCAAATTCGCCTACCAAACGGAAATTGTCTATATCTTGTGACACACATGTAGAACTAGATACAAGTCCTTCGAAAACTATGCATTTAACTCCGAATAAAGTTCAAAGCCCAGTTAGTCCCACAAAAACTGTTAAATTAACACCAGAATGCCAAAACATGGACTTTCTGGAACCAACATTAAGTAGATCTGTTAAACGAGTTTTGGTTGACTCCTTCGATGAAGAGTTAAGTAATGTGTGCTATTCGGTGAAAAATTTGCAATGTCACGATGGTATAAAGCTGACATTAGTTAGTGAAAATGATGTTAAAGTATTTCCGACCCAATTGACATCAGAAGTTATGAACATGAAATCGCCTATTAAAATTAACTCAGTTAAACAAGTGGACAATCAGATACAATTATCGGAAATAGGCAAAATGGAACTTCGAAAGAGAAAGACTATTGAAGAGAATAGCTCAACCCCAAAACAAACGCCTGCGAAAATTTCGTTGAGACGTTCAACTAGAACCATGGAAAGGAAGTCGTATGCTGATTTTTTCTCACCTCCTTTACAGAATGCGAGTATCACCAAAAATGATACTCCGGTTAGGCGAAGTAAACGTACTACGAATACTCCAAAGAGGTGTTTTGGTCATCTAGACGAATCAGGTGAGTTATTACTGTATGTGAAGCCATGTTAATTTAAAATGTGTTTTTTAAAGGCACACAGAAGGTAAAATCTACACAAGCTGAAAGTTCACCGAGCATTCACTTAAATGGAGAAGTAACTCCATCTACTAGATCTAAACGATTAATTAAAAGATCTACAAAGTACTCTGAAGAAACATATGAAAGTACACCCAAGAAACATTTTAGTGTCGACGTGGAGTCAAGTCCATCTACGTGGAGTACACGAGCAAGGAGAAAATCCGAAGTACGTACACCAAAAAAATATAACAGTGACATTGATTTTCTGTCTGACGAAGAGGATTTTGAAAAGAAATCGACAAAAAATATTAAAAATGTAGAACCTAAAACTCCCAAAAGATTTAACGGCACCCCTCTGACAAAGGATACCCCCACTATTAGGGCGCGAATGGTGAGAGATGGCACAATCACACCATCAGTGCAGGATAGAAAGGTAGCAATTCTCAAAAATAATACTCCATTGTCGAATGCGAGGCACAAATTGCACGTTTCGTATTTACCCCAAGCTTTAGCATGCAGAGAAAAGGAGTTTCAGGATATTACAAATTTCTTAGAGGGGAAATTATTGGACGGCTGTGGAGGGTAAGTCACATTAAATGATTGTTGTAAGTAGTTAGTTATGCGAAAATATCATTATCTCAAAAGACGGCCATTTTTATTAATATAATAAATAGTGTAATGTCAATGTGTATGGTAATTTATATCTGGTAAGCATTTATATCTGGTTAAGTAATGTTTCATAGCTCACTTTGATGGGAATAATTTTCCAAAAAGCAAGTAAGTAGCCATTGTAATTGTTTAATAACTCAACAATGGTTTAAGATAGAGGTATTGTGTGGTTTTTTTGGAATTCAAAAAAATATGGGCATTACGAAGATAAAATAAAATACACGGTGTTCTATAAAAAAATATATATTATTTTTGTACCCCTTAGCTATCCACTGTGTTTTTTTGAGGTACATTAAAACGACTCATTTTCACTGTATACCTCTATCTCTGTACATTTAATAGTGGTCTTGATGGAGTATGTAACAGATTTTCTTTTTCTAGCTGTATGTACGTTTCCGGTGTTCCCGGAACTGGTAAAACTGCAACGGTCACCGATGTGATGAAGACCTTGCAACAATCGGCCAGAAAGAAACTCGTACCAGCATTTCAGTATATTACTATTAATGGGATGAAGATCAGCGAACCTCGCCAAGCTTACGTAGAGGTTAATATAGAAAGTGGCAAAGAAATATAAGCGAATAATTTTACTGTTTTAGATCGCGAAGCAGTTGATGGGTAAAACGCTACGTTGGGAGGAGGCTCAGTCAATGTTGGAAAATACTTTTGTTAACTCCAAAAGAAAGAATGCTATCATTCTGGTTGTGGATGAGGTAATTTTTGAAACCTTGACACCGGCGTAGAAATAAATAAAGTAATAGAATTAATGCATTTTTGTCGGCTCAAAGAGTATGTACAAATTTGGATAGGCTAAACGAAGACCTGGCACACTGTAATTTCCCACTTGGAAGATAACATAAAAATTCACTTGCATGATTGCCTATCTTTGTATGATCAATAAAAAATGAGAGAATTAAAAAAAAACATCTAGGTATGGAAGGATTTTCCTTAGTTTTCTTGAACGTCAGCGGTGTATTATGACGTCATCACTAAGTATGTTTACATAGCATCATACAATCAATGGAAGATAATTCGTATGTAGGCAGCCATACAGACAGTGCTGCATTGTGGTTAGGATACCCAATACATCAACGACTATTGACCAAAAACTAAAAACATGTTTCGGAAATTATTTGTAACCAATGTCGCGATCCTTTACTAACAAGGTGGACATTATTATTTAGATTTAGACAAAACGGAAAAATTACAAAAAAATCATCTGAATTGTTTATTCTTAATAACAACACCCATAGTACTCGTGTAAGGATAAGTTCTACTCTTACCTTGCCAATTGTAGGAAAGAGCAATAAATTTTTAATATGAATTTGAGAAATTCAAAGCTGTTGTTCTAACAAATAGCAGGCATCCTACCTATCTATATCCGCCTGATGAATTTTTAAATCAAAGACATTTGAATATACCTAATGAAATTTTGTTAATAAAATGATTGATTTTCATTCGTCCTTATATCTGCTTTTCTTTTTAGCTTGATCTCCTATGTACAAAGCGACAAGATGTCGTATATAATTTATTAGATTGGCCCACTAGAACCAATGCACGATTAATTGTAATAACCATCGCAAACACCATGGATTTACCTGAAAGGTAAACTTTAATATGTTTAATTGTGTTCTCATAGTAAGCTGTTTTAGACTGCTAATGGGAAGAGTAACGAGTCGATTGGGTTTAACTCGGCTTACTTTTCAGCCTTACACTTACAAGCAATTACAAGAAATCGTTACCAAGAGAATTATGGGTACCAATTCTTTCGATCCAGATGCTGTTCAACTTGTTTCAAGGTAATATCACTTCAGTAGAGGCGGTTTAAATTTATGAGGTGTTTGGTTAGGAAGGTGGCTTCTGTTTCGGGGGATGCAAGACGAGCTTTAGATATCTGTAGAAGAGCGGCGGAAATCGCCGAAAACGAAGGTGAACATAGTCTCGTATCATTGAACCATGTTAATCAGGTTTTGAACGCCATGACATCACAACCTAAAGTACTAGCAATAAAATTGTGCTGTCGATTGGAAAAACTCCTTCTGCAAGCAATAGTTGCTGAGGTATAGTACTGTAGCCTGAGATATCCATCTTATGAAATGTGTTCTTTTATGTAGGTGGAACGTACTGGCATTGAAGAAACTAGTTTTGGCTCAGTGTATAAAATGCTGTCCACTGTCGCAATTTTGGATGGTTTTCAAATGGTGCCCCGAGCAACTGCAATGAGATCAGTTGCAAGGTTAGGTGCGTCACGATTTCTTTTAATTGATAATAAATGTAATAATATTTACAATCAACGAATAATGTTAAATATTAGCTCTGACGATGTTCATTATGCTTTGTCTAATATTGTCATTTAGTTTTGTTTTATATGTCGAGTAGTTTGTTTAATTTTAGATTGAATGTTATGGCGTTACTATTTAATTTTTATTTATTTTAATTTGTGATGACAAGACGCAGAGTATTTTAAGGATCAACAGCTGTGAAAAAAAGTTGGAAATATATTTTTAATGAATTTTATACCACTTGTAATTTATTCTTGCGCTTGATTACATGAAAGCGCGCCTGCAATGATACCTTTTTTTTCCTCTTACGAATTATACAATGCAACGTTATCCTTCTGTCCACGCCCTAAAATTAGGTAACTGAAGTATCACTGTTTCCAATCAAAGATCTATAGATTATCATTATGTAACAATTGGTCTTTTTGGGTTAGAAGTTTCTGTGTACGTTTTGCACATAGATTTGCATTGTAAATGTATACTTGCGGTTCATTCTGAAAGTTGAATTGAAGTAGGTACCTACTCCTGATAGTTCTGGGAGTACCTAGCAGGTGGCGTTGTCAGGTCTTTAGGTTTCACTCGGAATTTTCGGGTTTCGATTACATTCTACAGGCGAAGGGTTTATACCCCATTCCACCTGGGAGAGTTGCATTCTATCTAGAATTCTAGTTTTCTTAAGTTTATATTATTATTAATCCTGAAATATAATATTTTTATGTGTTATTCAAACATATTAAAATCTCAATTTAACATAGGCTATGAAGCAATTATTATGAACGAAAGGCCTCTCATAATCAACCACTAAAACCGCCTGGAGAAAATAAAAACTCGTAATTTTGTGTATAATAAGTAATAACTGTTCAAAGTTTACCAGGCCACCTCTCTGGTACACCCCTAACCCTCCTGTATTTTTTCCAGTAATATAATTTCAAAATTTACATCCACCTTACCTTTTATAAATGCGAATAATTTAAAATATGTAAGTATCAAAAGAATACAAATTCTACGTAGAATCCTAAAATGTAGTATATATGTACTACTGGTAGTGCTATTAAACTTCTGATTGAAGCTTCCAAAAACACTATAGTAAACTAAAAGTAATATGTAATAAAAGTATATGTAGGTACGCGATTTGATACGGGGGGGTCTACGACGAACGCCGGTTGCTTATATCTCGATACCTCCAAATATTTAGAAAATTTCATAATATTGATAAAAAGAATTTATCTAAACTATGTAAAAGTTCATCTTTTTGAGATATACATCTGGCGACATTTGTCGTGGGACACCCTGTGTAGTAATAGCTACTTGGTCTGGGCATTGATTATACGGGGTGTATAAACAATGGTCTGGGATTAGGCATGAGGATGTATACCTGTATAGTTCGCATAAATAAGTACCATAGTTAAACACGCCGCATTAAAATCTTTTTGACCAGCCTGTAGGCACAATGTAAATTTCCCCCTCCTGTAGAACGATTCTAACCTAATTTTTAAATGTAGAAATTTGTAACAAATTGACCTCAATCCATTTAATTACCGATCTTATATGGTTCACTTTAATCATGTGTGTTTAAAATGACTAATTTTCCAAAATTATTATAACTAGGTAGTGGTAAATCAATTAGTTTAGCATACTAAAGATGAAACTCGAAATGAAACTGTTGAAGAAATAAATAGTCTAGTAAAATAGGGACAGTTTGTATGTACCAAACGGCAATGAAAATGAAAACCGAGGCGTTGGTGTCCAGCAACATTATTTGGAATTCAAGCATGGAGTTGTCTCCAGTTCCTCATGAGGTAAACGTCAACTTTATATATGTCTACACCTGTCAGGTCTATGGTGTTTTCTACAGTTTTATTAAAGTTTTTTGGCCTGCTTGAACTTGATTCAGCGGTTCCATATTGTAATATGTTGGTGTCGTTTGCTTGGAGTGGCTATGTCTTTAGTTGAGCAACCTGACAGGAACCAGCGAACCATTCATAAGCTACAAAATCTGGTGTAGTTGCAATACTTTTGTTTTATTTTATTCATTATCCCTCTCTTGTTCTGGGCCCTCAACAGGCTTGCGCCCAATTACAGAGTGACCCGCATACTGCTTTTTAGGGCATTTATGTACAGTCATTGACATAATTAATGACCCTTTGGTGTCTCAAATGCATGATGGATAGCTTTATGATTAGGTAGCTATCCGTAGACTTCCACATAACACCATCAAATGTATTTGTTGCAGTTATTTGTTACTTATGTTATTATTTATTAGTATATCTGAGAGTATACCTACACATAATGTGTTCAAAGTGAATTGTGTCTTTGTTATTATTGCATCTACAAACTTGGTTAAATTAGGAAACATCTCGGGAAACAAAACATGAAACATTTTCCTTACAATTGCAATGCTCGAATGAGAAAAACAATTGTGCTTCCCGTTATCAATACCTATATAGAGCAATATATTCAATAAAGTAACCTTTTTTTATTGAACACCCTGTATATCTTTACATATTTTGGTAGAAAATGAAAATCTGAATAAAAAATGTTTAACACTTTGACTAGGAAGTCAGGATGACGCAGAATGAGATCATGCAGGTCTATGGAAAGCGCTGAATTTCATTGAGTCAAGCTAATTAACTTACCACAATTTTTCGAAAGGGGCACTGTCGTGGCGCAAACGAGGTTCTTTAGACCTTTAAATTATTTGGGTTCATCCCACTTGTGATGTAAAATTAGAAGATAAAAAGAGTGAAGTCGCGTACGAAGTCTCTTATGTTTGGGTGCCTTGGTGCTGCCTAACGAGCCATAATAAACATGTTTTCATGTTTAACAATATTGCGCTTACATAGATTAATTAATGATTGATGATTACAGGAATCATTCCCAGTGATTGGAAGCTGTCAAATTTCGTCCATTTTATCAAATTTGGACACAAACACGTCAGAGAAAAATCTTCACACTTCCACGGATATTGGGGAAACGATGGAATTAATCGTCCTTCAAAATGGAGAGTACAAAATGTCAGATCATGCCGATTTAAATACATCGTCCAGCGATTTTATTTTAATAAAACAAAGTATCGACAACAACAATACGGAGATAGACATAAAAGGAGAGGTAAAGAAAGAAGTTAAAATAAAACGCAACGAAGAATTCGAGAATATGCTGTATTTCGTTTGTAATCTTTGTCCTTACCTGTGCATTAAAGACTCGAAAATCACAGAACATTTGGAAAGCGAACATAAAAATAAGGAATGTCCGAGGCCAACTCAGCTCAAGTGTCCCGCTTGTCCCAACATATTTTATCACAAGTTACCCTTACGATCTCACCTACTCTACGATCACAAGGTTGCCAATTCTGATTTGCGACAAATTATTCAGGCAGTAACTTATTTTTCTAAGAAAGGTATTATGACAACTGGAAAAACGTTCGATGGTGGCATTAGTAAAGCTCCTGAAATAGCTTTGAGTTACAAAAATGAAATAGATCAGACCTTAATTGAGAAGTTAATGAGTACAAATAAAGTAAACGGTAGTGCAATTATCGATACAGATTGCCACTTGGTACCTTCCAACGATTGCTCTATGCAAAAGATTCAAGTTGTCAAAGACATGCAACCAAAGTGTGATCGTTTACCTATTGATCCTTTGGTAATTGAAAAACGAAATGCGACAGATATAATTGTATCTGACTCGGTGAAAGCTACGCCCCAAGGTGTTAAAAAGAAAGTGGATACTGTGTCAAAATACTTGCAACAACAAAAATTGCAAAAGTGTACGGAATCCTCGTGCAAGATACGCTTACAAGATGAAACTAAAATGGCCTACCATATCAAGTGTCACGCCGAAGGCGCATTTAAGTGTCCCGAATGTTTACAATTATTCGCATTTTGGAAACCATTGACCGGTCATTTATGGAGACTACACAAGATTGATATGGAACTATACTCGTGCGATATATGCGATTACAAAACTTTCAGTTTAGGAAAATTAAATAATATTCACAAATTAATTCATAGTGATCTCAAGGCCTTCATTTGTGAAGTGTGCCAGAAAGGGTTTAAAAATACAAAACAGTTAAGGAACCACAAAATGACTCATAAGGAGAAAAACAATAAGTTTTCTCACGTTTGTGTAATATGCGAGAAAATATTTTCCAATCGACGACAAATGCGTGTGCATATGGATGGAGTTCACAATAAAATCAAACCATTTTTATGTAACTATTGCGGGTATAAAGGTGCTTCGAAAGGTGCATTGAAAATGCACATAAGGCAACATACTGGTAATCGCATTTCACTATGTTTTGTAATTACAATTGTATTTTGCAGGGGAGAAACCTTTTACGTGCAATTTCTGTAACTACGCGACAGCGGATCACAATTCATTGCGTCGACATAAACTACGACATACCGGACATAAACCTTACAAGTGCGAACATTGTGATTATGCGTGTATACAGAGTAGTACCTACAAAGTGCATTTAAGAACTAAACATCCAGGTTTGGAAAAAGACTATCTGTTCATATGTTCGGAATGCCAATTCAAAACTGTTAATCACGATATGTATTTGTCGCATTTATTTTTAGTTCATAGACAAAAAGCCACAAATGATGCGCAGTAGCAGTTTCCTTTGTGCTTAAGATACACTTAAAAGAAAGGTACAAAATGCAGGTTGTGTTGTAAATTACAGTGTTCTTTGGCAATTTGCACGTAACGCAATCAATCTCCTCAGAAGTTTGGTGAACATAATAGCTAACGATATGAGTTTCTGCTTTAAACATCTTTCATCTTGTCCCAACTTTAACACCAAATTATAGATCACTGTACTAACCGAGGTACTATCTGTAAAAATATTGAGTCTATTGAAAAATGAATAGCGAAGCACAGCGAAAATAATCTTGATTTTCTTAAAAACATTCTATAGAGATTTTTTCTTTCTCTAACAATGTAAGTCTTACATAAAAATAAGAGGAAAAATTTTTCCACTTTATTTTTGTAAATCTAGCTACATATGATCACTGGTTTATTTGTTGAAACAACTGAATGTATATTAGATCTGCCAAAACAGACAGAAAGGATGTAATTTATTTAGATAAAGTTCATGTCAGTTTAAAAACATATTAAACAATAAACCTAAAAATGGCTCATTTATCAGAAAAACGATGTATTGAAATTTTGGTGAGTGAGAGACAAAGAATGTATTGCGGAAGTTTGTTTTACAGATTCAATTGTTTAAAGAAATAAACTAGTCATACTGGGTATCCAGAGTAATATCCTAGGTAATATCTTCTGAGAGTTCTGAACAAAGCTATTAAAGTACAGTACAATCTTATAATCCGACATACAGTGTGTCCCCGGATGGACTGAACAAGAGGGAAAAAATTTTTAATTTTAACTTTACGCAAAAATGTCATTCTTTATAAAAATGTTTGCTTGCCTCAAAACCATCTATTCTGAAATAAAAATCTAGATATTCCTTTTAGCAGCTGAAAAAATTACAAAAAAACGCAAAATCTAGACCGGAAATTTTTCTAAGTTGCATGTTTTTGATTAAATCAGACTATCATTGTATCTTCCATGGAAAAAAATCACGGAAGCGATAAATTCTGTCAATGAAGATACGATCCACAATGTTTATAAAGAATTTGTATGTAGAGCTGAAAAGTATGTAGAGGTTGGAGGATACCACATTGAATAAAATAAAATGTTTCTCTTAAGCTCTAAGGTGTCTTTTTAACTTGATTTGCTTATGAGGTTGTCATTGAAGATACAATGATAGTCTGATTTAATCAAAAACATGCAACTTAGAAAAATTTCCGCTGTAGATTTTGCGTTTTTTGTAATTTTCTCAGCTGCTAAAAGGAATATCTAGATTTTTATTTCAGAAAAGGTGGTTTTGAAGCAAGCAAAAATTTTATTAAATAATGACATTTTTGCGTAAAGTTAAACTTAAAAATTTATTCCCTCTTGTTCAGTCCATCCAGGAACACACTGTATATGGGACCACGCAACCGCTGTATTATCAAGAGTAAGTAAGGTAAGGTCATTTATGCATGTATATACAATGAAAATGCTTACAAATTATACTAAGAAGTACAAAATATACTTGCACAAATACGTAATTTTACAGACTAATAACAACAATCATTAATTCTTTTGTTTCTTTACTGTATAGATTTGATCAAAAATGGCAGCTTGTAGTCGTCACAGAGACGCCGGATTACCGAACGTGCCAGACTAAGGAAGGGTTAGATTATCAACATTGTACTGAAAAAAATCCATAAAATTAACCCAAATTGAGTGTGCATTGCTACTCAAGAAAATCAAAATGCTTTTCGCTGTTCTTTTGTGCTATCATAAAAACAACAAATGGACATCATTGTTAGGTACACAAAAATCTGAACCCGCTTTTATTTAAACCATTTTCTGGTAGAATGAATATTACCACAGTATATAGAATATTCTATATTTTCCAAATACTCTGTATAATGATACGTAGGAATTGTCTTTGTTTTATAAGACTATAGGTTAGCTTGTATGTTTATTATTTATTATTCCAAAAGTGGGCTACTTAATTTGGCCCTACTTGACTGACAACTATCACTGAGTTCTCATAGTAGGACAAGAAAAAGGGACACTGTTGATTAAATTCAAGCACATCTTTAAGTAAATTATTATTCTTCCATTGGGATTGCAGAAGTCGCAAGATCATTTATAATATTGTATTCCGGTCGGTCCATGTGGACGATCATTGTGTTTAGAAACGTCCGATCGCTTTGAAAATTAGTACAGGATATACAAAAGGTCGTTATTATTTTTCAGCTACTTAGGCTATTGGGTCAAAAAGTTATAGCCCAAACCTATAAAGAGAGGGTTTGGTTTATAATTTTTGTTTGGCGCACGCGCAATCCAATTTTTTTATTTGTTAAGATATTTAAATGAAAGTTTGTATATAGGCACTTTGAATAATAGTACAATTAATGTAGATTATTAGTTGTTTAGTATAGAATCGTCATGTATAATACAAACCAGAAGCCATATAAATTCCGAATTTAATTTAGGCGTCAAAAATAGCAAGTTTAGGTTGTCACGTCGTTCCCATAGAAACAATTTCTGAACTTCATTTTATTTCGCCCTTCGCGTCCTATTTCTCTTATGAATGACAGATGTTATTAGAATGCACAATGATATGTTTCACTTTATCTACTCTTGCCGTTAAAGTGATCTCGTTATCTACTCTAGTGTTAATGAGAGACTTGACCTACTCATTTAAATCTATTACGTCAATTTAACATATGCTATAAAATATAAAAATTTGTTTTGCGCATGCGCAATCCAATTTTCTTATTAAGCTATTTAAATTAAATTTTGTATATTGACAGATCAAAGGTTTTTTATTTGTAAAGATATTGAAATAAAACTTTCTATACAGCATGGCAAGTTGATGGTGGGAAATAGGCAAATAACATGGGAATATTTCAACATGAAAGTTTGACATTTTCATGTGCGCTGGCATTAGGGGCGTTCAATGCATGAATTGATACATATCGATTTATATCTTTAATTTACTGTTCAACAAACTCAATACATAAATTGAATCGAACAAACATAACCCCACTTGTGAGTGAAATATATGCATAAATTGTATCTAAATGTATAGCAAAATATTTTTAGCGTTCAGCAAAACTGATTGCGATACGGAATGTAATCGCAACCGTATTTGTGATAGATCTTCATCCATTGAACGCCTCTAATGGCAGCGTATAAAAATAACGTTTTGAAAGTGATAATTTTTTTCATGAATTTGCAGTTTGATTAATGAGGGCGTTACAAAATGTCACCCAAAAGTGGGGCTGTAGCGTGAGGTCCGTTACAATAGGTATAAAGGTTTATTATTATTATTACTCAATTGGTGCAACAGGTAGTGCATAGCAACTTTTTGCCATTAATTTTTGCCAAGATGAAAGATCACAGCTTGAATCTGTGTAAATAAACGAACATGTATTACACGAAGACAGTTTTTATTAAGGATGTAAAAGATCTAATTAAATAAATAACTAGAAAGGTTCAAAATTAAAGCGTCAATACATCACAAAATATTACATAAACTCCCATTCTCACAACCTTACTTCTTACTTTTCTTCGCCTGCACAATAGGTTTACCTGTTGCCAAAGCTAGTTTCTGTTTTAATTCCAATAACATGTTAACCTGTGGCTGCCATTCGGTTTTTGGAGCACCACTAGATTTTAAATTACGTACCAATGTAGCCTAGAAGCATTGTTTTAACTTGCGATCAACTTCACACTCTTTTAACATTACCTGCTCCTCTACTTTTTGTTCTAATGCTAAAGCATCCTCTGCAGAAACTTTTACCTCCGTACTTACTTTCTCAGTTACGGTTGTTTTAGCAGCTTCCAGTTGCTTTTTTAAATCTAACAGAATATTGACTTCAGGTTGCCATAGAGTTTTAGCAGCTCCACTTGATTTCAAAGCTCTAACTTTGTCGGCCTACAATTTCATTAGTTCTACATACATAAATGTGCTAAGAACCCTACTTGTTGATTGACAGAGGCTTCTAATGCAGATACGTCCCCGACCTCCTTCTTAGGGGAAGTTTCTTGTTTGCCACCAAATTGTTTCTTCAACTCGTCAACTTTTGCCTGATCAATTTTGTCAAATAGTGGTGATGGTTTTCCCAATTGATGACCGGCTTTAAGCAGGTTTGTTATCTCAGGGTTGCTAAAATACTCAATGTACATTCAGATTTCACTAAGTTAAAGGTGAGTTACTCTGGATCTAGAACGCAGACGGTATCGGGAGCATTCAATTGTTTGCGAATAGTACGGCTGGTGTTAGGCATGTACGGTGATAACAGTACTGCTAAAAGACACGTGAGATTACAGCAAAGACCGATCACGGTTTTTGTTCTGGCCCTAAATTAAATGTGGAAGATTAAGTAATTTGGAATGACAAATCGTACTTTTGTTCATCTGTTCCTTTGACCTGCACCCACGGTTCAGATACTTGCATGTACTGATTGCCATGCCGCGAAATGGTCAATATGTGTCTAATACCATCTCGTAATTTACATTTCTCGACCGCTTTAACATATTCTTTTACCTCCCTGGTGCACAGTGCTAGTAAAGTGTAATCCTCATCATTCAAATTCATATCAGGTACTACACCATTAAAGAACTTTTCTGCAAATACTTGCGCTCTAAAAAATGACGACTTTAACAATTACAGTTTTTGAATTGAATAAAATTCAGAAGTGGGATCAGGATTACACCAATTTTAAAGATTTTGTCTTGAGTGCATACTAACCTATTAATGAAGTTGCCCAAATTATTAAGCAATTCAGAATTATTTTTTGTTACAAGATCGTTCCAACTGAAACTAGAATCTTGGGACTCAGGTCGAATGTACAACAAATAAAATCTCCACACATCGCTAGGTATTCCTGTATCTTGAGCATTATTTCCAAAAACTCCCACACCTCTGGATTTCGAGAATTTTCCATCTTCATAATTTAAGTACTCTAAATAAACCAAATAGTGAAAGAACGGATATTTTTGTGTAATTACCGGTTGCCATTATATGTTGGACGAGAGTATACCCTTGGTTCAGGCCCAGCAAACATGCTGGAAACATGACGGAATGAAATGGTACATTATCTTTGGCCATAAATTGGTATAATGTTACTGGAGTATCTGCACTTGGTTTCCACCACTTCTCCCAGTGCTCGGTGTATCTCTTTGTTATGGATACGTAACCGATTGGTGCATCAAACCACACATAAAACACCTATTTTATTAAGAAAGTGGAAGAACACTGATAAAAAAGCTACTCATACCTTATCACGATATCCATCCAGTGGTACAGGAACTCCCCACTTCAAGTCTCGAGTTATACATCTCGGCTTCAACCCCTCTCTCACCCATGATTGAGCAATTACGCTGGCGTTATTCGACCATCCAGGGGAAGAGTTCTTCATCCAGTGATATAATAATGGTTCTATCTGTAACACATTTATGACACGAAGCCTTTACATGACAAAACATACTTTTGGCAAATCTAAAAAGAACTGATCCGAATTCTTGACAACCGGCCTTGTGCCGCACACTTTGCATCGCGGATTTATTAGCTCGCTCGCCGTGATTAGCTTGCCACAACTGTCACACTGATCTCCTCTGGCGTCGTCGTAATTACAACCAGGATGTGGACAACCGCCTTCCACAAACCGATCAGCTAAGTATCGATCGCACTTCTCGCACAACAGTTGCTCGACAGACTCTACTTGCATAAATCCATTCGAATTTAAATCCAAGAAAAATTTTTGAGTAATGCTGTTAATGATCCAATTCCTTATTTGAATCGAATGCGAATCAAGAACTCACCTTGTTTGTTCAGGAGTAGTTGTGCGCCCAAAGTGGTCAAATCCGATGTTAAACCAACGATAAATTGCATTGTGAATCTCAAAATATTTGTCACATATTTGCTGAGGAGTAAGACCTTCTTCTAAAGCTTTTGTTTCAGTGGCCGTTCCGTACTCGTCAGTTCCGCAAATGTACAATGTATTGTAATTGCACAGGCGGGAGAATCTAGAAACACATAAACATCATTTTTGATAAGTGAAGCTTTTCAGGTAAGCACTAATTGCTAAAATCGTAGTAGTAATAAACAACTGCCATCTACATAATATATCTTTTCACTTCTGAATAATACCCCTGTAATAGAACATTCCTATTAGAACATCAAGGAATGTTCTATACAGGAAGGACCACATAGAAATGGACCTTAAATACAAGAAGGATCCTTCTCATGCTATCCATATTTATATAAACCGATGTAACAGAGTATCGCGGGACTCGACTTTTTACACTGTTGGGTAAACTACGTCACTTAGACGATATTTTGGTTTCATCACTTTCAATATAATATAATATAATGTGAGATATTTCAATTTTTTTAAGCAAATCTGGAGAGGTTTTTTATGAATGTGTGATTGATTCGTTTGAATTTGTATTTCGGTTTTTGTTTTTCCTTTTAGAAATTTGTTAGATTTTTCGTTTTAATGTTGTCACTTTTGCAAATTGTTCAATTTAGATAAGGTGCTAGAAGTAAGCCACGTCTTTACGGTGACATTTTCATTTGTTAAATAGCGTGAATATTGCTAGCAACTAGTTCATCAAAAACGTGACCGTTCACACGATCTCAGAAATGCTTTGACACATTAATCTCAAAATGGATCAACAGTTGAGGGAGGAAGTGACTAGCTTTAGGGTTGTGAGGGGTCAACTTCCTCATACAGGTTCAAAAATCAAAGAAAATGATGTGTATATTTTTAGAAAGCTCGTATAAAGAGCATTCAAGAAAATATATACACATGAGGTCGGCTCTGAGACACGCATGCTCGCTCTATTTCCTCATAGCTTTGCGTGGGTTTATTAGTGATTAGTTCTTTATGGGATACTTACCCTTGTTTGGAAGTTTTTTTTTAATGGTAGAAAAACTCTTTGGATAAAAGGAATTTACTTCATTAATTTGTAATTGTTAAGTCTCATAAATTTCAGTTTGATATAGTCCGCTATAGGTACACATAATTCAGGTGCACACACTGTAATTTTAAAATCTAAGCTGTTCATTGTTGTATGATGATCCATAGTAGCTTCTATCCACAATTCCTATTGATGTCTTGCCTACTGTGACAGTATTATACCTTACTCGGCAGTAATTCAGAAACATACCCAACTTTTCGGGTATTTTACATAAGAACATCAACCAATATAGCACGGTCACCAAAAAAGCGTGAATAATTAGAAATGCAAACACATCCTTGCTAAAGGTACGAAGATCAAAATTGCCATCAACGTATTTACATAATTTAAATGAAAGCCATATGGTTGTTATAAAATTTAAAATTTTCATACTGTCCCACTTGCGAGATTATCAAAAATGACAATGTCAAACTACTCTCTGTACTTTTGATATTTTTCTGATTTCCATTGTTTCATCTTTTATATCTGATAAGCATGCGTCTTACATGAGGTTCGTTCGTGGGTTTCGTTGCTCTAACTTTATACGACGGTTGGGGAGTCGCTATGAAATAAAAGCAGAGGTGTAACTGCGAAATGTTTGAGAGGGAGCAACCATATGTGTATTAATCACACGGAACGTGTATTGTAAAACTGCTGTAATAAGTGCCCTCCAGGGTGAGAGAAGCGCGGGAGAATTTCGAATAGTTTCAAAAAAATATCTCTAAAACTCGCTCTAAAGTGAGAATGACATGCACAGATTTGATTTATGCCATATATCATTTGTGTTTGCTAGAAGCGTCTATGGTTAAAAATTCAAAGAAATATCTGCGCACGCGCGCTTCTGATTTTTGCTATTTATGATATGTTTGCTTTTACTAGAAGCATCTGTGGTTACCATTTCAAAAAATATCGTAAACGTCCTATTTTGGTTTTGATCCGTCACCATCTTCATGGTTGTTGATGGCGTCAAAAGTTTAAAAGAGCCATAACGGCTTGAAACATTTTTTTCGCATACACTGGCCAAAATGGCTTAAAAAACTCTACAAAAAAGTTCACTACCATTTTTTTGCGAGTTCCTTTGTTTTTGAGAAGTTTTGAATTGAAATGTTCAACTATTTATTTTATTTTTCTAAATTTGCATTTTTTTGTAAAAGTAGGCATCAGAGTGAAATATGTTAATTAAAAAAAAAATGTGTCTTGATGAGATCTACAAAAAAGGCTTTAGACTTTTTGCGTCGGGTTCAAAATAAAGGCGCTAGAGGGCAATGTTATACTATGACCAAAGATAATTGCAATGACTATTAAAAGTGGTCGGAAAGTCAAGTCAGGAGTTTACCTGACAACTAGATTTCAATGTTGTCTTCCCCACAACCGCATAAACTGAGCCCGAATAAACAATCATTCCATAATTCAAATTCTCTGTGCTGTTTAGAAGAAACTCCACCAAATATGTGTCAGGTACCTACCTAGCAAAAACATCTCCCGAAAGTACACAACCAATAATATTGCCCAAGTGAGGAACATTATTGACATACGGAAGAGCAGAAGTAATTAAAATGTTTTTTTCGCCAGGTACAGGCAACCTAAAATGTTTAGATGAATGCAGTAGTAAAGGAATAAATCGGTACTTACACAGGTACAACTTCTTTTTTAGGTAGTAGTGCACTTTTCACTTCATTCCAAGCTTTCTTTGCTGCAAGAATTTCATCGGCAGTGACAGGGTCACTTGCATGTTGAGGAGATGATACCATTTCATCATTGGTAGCTGATGCAGAAACAAAATATTTTGCACTATTAAATAATACTTGATATGCGGAACTGCCGGCAGTTACCTTGAAGTCTTGTAACGCTTTCTGAAAAGAAAAGTGTTACTATATGTCAGTACGGTAATAAGACGCATGCAGACAGTTTAATCTTATTAAAATGAACCCAATCTGAGTAACTCTAACAGGGGTGGAAAAATTTTGATTTTCATGAAATGGATAAGAACCAACATTTTGGTAGAATGTCTGCATTTATACTGATACTAGGTAAGCTATTTTCCTTTTTTTTGTAACATTTTCCACAGGGCTGCATTTTTCACTGCAAGGATCTGTTTAGGTACTTTATAAACGAGTTTACAAATGTTCATGGAATTACAATGTTATATGCACACCTACCTTAAATTCTGGCATTGACTCCAAACTTTTTAACCATATGGACACATTTTTTAACTCGGATAAATATTCCGTTACAAGACCTGCATCTTTGTATAATGGATATAATGTGGACCATATAGCAATATCGCACACAGAAATTGTATCCTACAATTCTAAAAATTAGTCAAGTACTTTTATAAGATGTATAGTTAGCCAATCACTTAGTAAACATTAAATGATTGGCGAGCTACACATTTTGGTCATAAGACGGAACTTACACCACCTAGAAATCTTTGACTAGCAGATATTGCATCATTGAGTTTCTTCAAGTTGTTAATTAAATTCTTTTTCGAGGATGGATTCTTGAATGAAGTTCCTAAAGTAATAGCTATATTAGGAGATAATACAGTGGATTCCCATTCTAACCACTCGTCAGTCTTTGATTGATTTACAGTAGGTGGAAATAAATAATATGCGGCGGCATTCGGAATAAATATTAAATTATCATTAATTGTAAGTGAAGGTAGACGTCGACATTTTAACACAGTCTCTAAAATTGAAATTACAAATTAAGTTTACCAAACGAACTTTGCAGACCTACCGCGACTAGGTATTTCGAGTGTAGCCTTAACACGAATGAAATTCGCTGCGATCAAAATCTTGAGAGTCGAAGGATTATTCTCATTGGTTTGAATGACGAGCATTTTAAATGATTTCTTCTTAGGCTCTACAGAATCTAACAGTCAATTCGTTCCAGGTTTCAAACAGAAAGGCAGAATTTTTGAGGTTACAATCTCAGAAAATCGAAAACGTGGATGTGACAGTGACAGCTCCGTTGATATACAGGGCGAATCATTCATTTCTATAATGATGAGTAATGCTCTGAGACGGCGAGATGTATCTACATATAAAAGTAAATAAATATAGTTGATATAAGTTGACATTGCAGCCTATATTAAAGAAACAACTAAGGAATTGGTTTTAATATATAAATAAAAAATATGTACACCGCATAACATCCCGTAACTGTTAACAACGCAACCGCACAGAGGAATAGACATGAAATTTGATTAAATGCGAAGACTGGTCAAAGTTCGCAAATATTTAATTACCAACAATGCTAATTAAAGTACAAAATGCTAACAATATTATTATTTACGATAAAAATGTATACAATTGCAGCAACAATATTAAGATAATGTGGAATCCAATAACAAAAATGTCAGTCCACTGTATTTAAAGAATCATTAGAGGTTGGTTGTACAATACAAGGTTCTTCGTCGTCTGCTTGTTGTCTACTAAATGATCGTATAGTAAACATGACGCATAATCCTCCTCTTGCAGTTAAAAATGCCCATACAATAGCAGTGACTTCACTCTGATTGATAGGCATCATTGCTGAAAAAATAAATAGGTACCTATAATATCTCCGTCACATCAACAGATAAAATACTTACGTTTTTTTAGCATTATTTCTATTGTGGAATGATAACCTGTACCCATTAGTCCAAGTGTAAAACATACAAATCCAATATAGTATATTGGGGTTAATTCTTTCCTTTCGTACCATTGATTTAAAACTTTTCTCAGTTTAAGCCAATGTAAGTGACCATTAATAGCCGTTATTATTGCTAAAAAAACTGATATAAGTAGAAGCTAAGAAGAGATTGTGTGTAGGGGCTCTTTTAAAAAAGTCTCTTTTTAGCATAAATTTCACAGATTCATTACAGGTAGTTGACTCATTGGCAGATTTCTTAGGGGGATGGATGATACACTTAGGGGACCGGTTGACATAAAGATACAAACAACAAAGTATAAATTTAGACATTGAGCCAGACTAACTCCCCGATAGAGTTAACGGTATCATAAGACACTGACCGTAAATCTTTGAAATTTAAATTTAAAAGGAAATAAAGAAATACATAATGAAACGTAAATTTACCTAATGGATTCCTTCCAACTAATACATTTACTTAGCTTAGACCCTACTGAAGTTGTAAACATCTTCGGCATTCTAAATTTACCTAAGATGTTGATGTTATTTATAAGTCTTTATGATAACGACAAGTGGTATATTTGCATTTATAAAAAAAACACCTTGTATATAATAACACGACAAACACACCACATAATGAACTACTTTCTTTTTAACAAACACAGCCCGGCTAGCTCAGTCGGTAGAGCATGAGACTCTTAATCTCAGGGTCGTGGGTTCGAGCCCCACGTTGGGCGTCGTTTTTTTCGCAATTCTATTTTTTTTCTAACAAAATTGCATGATACTCACCTGTAATAATCGCCCAAACAGCGGTCGGGTAATTGCCGTATATTAAAAATACAATAAATGCTGAAATACCGGCTAGAGTATAAAGCACACTTATAACAAACGCAAACATAGCAAATAGGTTGGAATCGTAAATTACGAAAACAGTTACATTTCCGCCCGCCTACATGAATCAACACACAACAATCAGTAAATGATATGTGCGTTTATTAACGTGACGCTTCATTTCAAAACTAAATGAAACTAACAACAGTTACCAAGGATTTGTTGATTAAACGTCAGCTGATTCATAAATACAACACACCGTAAAGTACATACAGAGTAGGTCGTATTCAAATGGAGTCATTTGCAATGGATTGGGAGAGGTGAAAGGTAAATTACCATTCTTTATTCATTTATGGGTAAGTTATTCCCCTGACGGTGTAGGAACAATAGGTAAAATCAAAGGGCGTGTTCGGTAATGTGTCGCTCTAAATAGGTAACTCCACTTTACACTATGATAAGTCTTTATCTTTTACCTATTATTTTTATGCCACTAACTGCTAATCATGAATCTCACTTTTTAACTGTGGTTTATTGGTTCCATGCCGTCAGGCTGCCAAAAAAAATGAGCATTTAACATTCATAAATTAAGCTTTGAATATAAAATATAAGTACAAGAAATTCAATGGTACAAGTTATAGCATATTGTAAAGATTTTTTCTTTTTTGTTAAGTAGCATGTAGCAGTTTTCTGTAAAGTATATTTAATTGAATAAAAATCCTAACAGTTAAAAAAAAACTACCGTGTGGTGCACTATTTCTTGTACTAATCTATGGTTTTCTCGTTATAATTTTCATTATGTTACGGTTTTGTCAACTTTAATTATTTTTTTCAATTGGATATTTGAATGCTCAATAAATACTGAAACGGCGAAGCCGGCGTTTATATTTTTTCCGTTAGAAGCATGTGCCGGTAAACATTATGCAACCTTCTATGCTGATAAAGGGGATCTCCGGAAATGTGGATAATGCTATTGTGTGTGATTTTTCTAAATACGTCCACTTTTTAGCGCATTTTCCAACCAAGTTGGGTGCGCTATTGCAGCCACTTTCTCTGTCCATCCGTCTGTCGTCTGTTTGGCTGTCCCTTAACTACTCATACAGTTTTCAATATATTTATATTATATATTCAATATACGGTAGCGTATAGCTCTGGCACCTGAGCCAAGGAAAATCTTGACGCTGCGCAGTGTCCACGTTCTTAATATTAATATATCTTGTTGAAATTTTAACCACAGATACTTCTAGTAAAGTCAAATACATTGCATATAGTAAAAATCAGATGTGCGCATGCGCAGACTGCGCAATGCCAACTTTCTTATTTATGTCTATGGCGGCGGGCGATCGACCATCCCTGAAAGCTCGCCTAAAATCGACGGTTTTTTCCCACTCCCATTTGTCAACAAATCAGGTAAGGTGATTATTCTAAATGAGGAAGTCGTACTTACTCTATACTAAAGACATGAATTATCTCAGTTTTTCAAAGAATTGCATACGCCATCCTCGCAAAGAACTGTTTAGCCATATTTAGAACATGTTACCATCTATCTTTAGTTTACATTCTCGTCGTAGAGACTTTCTCTGACACATACACCTGGTTGCAGGTTGAACAGGTTGCTTACCCAGCAGGCGCAATGGGCCACAACTTTAACTCTTCAAAACGGCATCCAAACAATAGATTTCCAGCTCACATGTCCACCATCTTTGAAAAAACTAAACTCTTTTTCAAAGTAGCGTCTTCGTACTAAATACGATAAAAATCAATTAAATTTAGATAATAGACCGCCTCAAAAAACGTAGACATGACCGAGATATGATTAAACCATTCCCAACATATCATTTCAATAGAACCTTCCACTATTATAGTGGATTATAATAATAATGACATGCACAGGCGGGCAGACTGATGTAGTAGTTTTAGTAAAACGTAGTCGAAGACATGGTCAAGAAGAGGGAGGTTCTAAATCAATAAAATTTTGCAGTAAAAAGTAGTTCGACGAACGGACGGACAACGTGTCCTCAATTGCCACTTTTGCGGTTTGAAAAAATGCTTTAAAAATTGCAAGCATCGATTTTTAGATTCATAAGCGGTAATTGCTTAAGAAAATTTATTTATTGTTAAATTAGAATTTCTACATTAGGCAAAGATATTATGTCATGTGTGGCTAGCTAGTATATTGCACGCAAACCCCGCGTGGTGTACGCAGGTACTTCTATTGATTGGGTCTACAGTTGGCATGGAAATTAAAAACACACACCAGCAAAGTTGTGTACGGAGAGATGTCCGATCATAATCGCGCTGTGTTTAATAATACATGCCTAAAGGTCCCAAGAGACCCTATTAGCCATCAACCGTCCCCTATTTACGAACAGAAATATGTGAGTAACATGAAGAACGAGATGCTTAAGATGGACATCGAAAACAAGCACAATTTTTCCAACGCCAAGTCGTCTCCTAAATCGGATAAAGCCGTTTTAAAATCGCTCATTGAATTTTACGACAGCATTCCTGAATACGACGATATTAACCACTTGTCCAATAAAGACTTTTATCGGAAATTAGAGAACCTAAAAGAAAGGCAGCGATGTTTTTATAAATTTATACAAGCGAATCAAAATGCCGATAATAAGGATATGATTTGGATGGAAGATTATCAAAATTTTAAACAAAGTCCAGAATTACGCTCCAAGCTGCGATCTAGAAGACTGAAGCGAGTTGAGGATATGGATTCACTTACATCTTCTGATAAGGAACCGGCAGTTAAACCCCCATCTCGACGCTCGGTTAGAATTGAAAGTCCCAGTGATAAATCCGACAGCTCCATTCCCCGTTTGCGAGCCAAGTACCATCGCAATATTTCCTCCGGCGGATCGAGGTACGACAAATCCAATACCTCTTACAACGAATCACCATGGGAAGATATAAGCGTGATTGACTTTCGGTCCGATTCCGACAGGGATATACAGACAAGGAGCGCACCAAACAGCCCAACGAAAAGGAAATGTGGCATTGGGTGGAAAGATAATGGAATCACGATTCCCAAGCCGTTTCAAATGACTGTTAGGTATGTTGAATCTGATTCGCGTTTTATTAATGTCTCCAATTTGTAGAGATGAAGAAAATAAAATAGTGGATGACATAATGTTAACCGTTCAAAAACCGCAAGAAGAAAAACACGAACTCTTTAGAGCAAATCCGGTTCCGATAGAATCGAGGATTCCGATGTTTAATCAAATTATAGCACAGCAGGAACGCAGGTGATAATTTGTTTGCTGTTCTTGTGTAAATAACTCTTTTAGAAGCGAGATTGTAAAGCAAAAGAGCAAGGAGACACTAAAATCCCAAATGCGCCCATTTTCATTTACTCGCAGAGAAGAAGAGATACAAGCTTTGACTAAGCGATTATCAAAGTCTTCGCCTACAATTTTCTTAGATGACGACGTACCAATAAAAATGAAGCAGTTCAAAGCGAAACCGATACCAAAGGGTTTGTTCAGTAATTACGTCTATCAGAAAATGCACGAAGACGAATTTTATAGGTTGTAAGTCTCATATTTACTATTGCATGAACAATTTTTTGTCCCCAGAGCTCTACAAAGGAAAATTAGAGCCGAAGAAATGTTGCAACGCGCTTCCCTTCCACCATCGATGGCTAGGAGAGAGAAATTGAAACCGAAACCGATTATATGTTTGAGATCGTTTAAACACTTAGAAAGCGACGTTTCATCTCCGAAATCTTCCGAAGTCCCTAACTACAAAGCTAGTCACGAGCGACTAGAAAAAGAATTAGATGATCTGAAAAATGACTTTATAACAACTAGTCCTGTTGCGTTTAATTTTAAAACTTCCAAACGACACGCTGAAAGACAGGTAGGACATAACACTATTAGATGTACTTGCAAAGGGTGTGGACCTTTTTAAGTTGAAACGTTGCTATGGAAGTCGCCTAAATTCGTCAGGTAGCAGTAGAAATGCCGAAAATTACAGAGGGCCTTCTGCGGCCGATTTACTTTCTGTTAATAAATCAAATCTGGCAGCGGTACTGAGAATTCAAGCGGCCAAGTACGTACCTAATGTAAGGTTTAGAAATAAATCGCAATGGTTAATCGTGTTTCAGGAAAAAAATGCAAATGGAAATGTGCCGAAAGCTCGAGGAGACGAAACTGAGAGAAGAATCTCGTTGGAGAGAGAAAGTTTTGAGGAAAAAGCCTGCGTGGCAGGCTTTGGCGTACAGCCACGAGGAAGATCTAGCTATGCGTTTGCAACTGAGAAAAGATGAGGAAAGACTGCGCAGTGAAGAACATCGACATAAAATGGAGTTAATGTTTGGAAGGGTGAATAAAATGCCAATGCTTTTTGAAAGACAATCTCATGTAGGTGAACTATCTGAAAAACTGTACCTTAACAATGTGTGTTTAAGTATAAAGATTATCCGGTAACAAAACGACAGCTGATTCAGTCACTCGCAGAGAGCTATGGAGACTATTGCAATAAATACCCAACTGTAAGTCCTTTGGAGTTAGGTGACGACTTGGATAAAGACAATAACGAAGGTGGACGTAATCAGAAGGCATCTTGTGATTTAACGTAGTTTTTTACGATACCAATAAAAGGCATTTTCATTTATTCTACATTATCAACAATCCATTTCTCGTAAGAATCTAGTTTTGTGTAAATAGTTGGTAGTTCCACGTTTCCACAAATCATAGCGGACGAAAATGAAACTATTCCCACTTGAAACGTCTTGTAATCTTGTCCAATGACGGTACTGTTGACAAGAGGTCCGCCACTATCTCCTTTGCACGAATCCTGCTTCTTTTTTCCATTTGCGCATATTTGTGTTTCCCTTATGGGTCTTATTTTGGGAGGAACGGAATTGTTACATTTTAGATTATCCCACACGTTAACTACTGTATACATCAACTTTAGCGAGCCCCCAACATTGGCTGAAACATAAAACAGAATTAACCAAATTGTTAGAAAGTATACTATAGTGGAGTCGATTGAAAAACGGCGACATTTTTAGGAAAATAATAATGTCATCAATGCTTCGGTTTGTAAAACCAAATTGACAAGATCCCATCTCCTATTCCACATTTTGGTCTTTTCAGATCATAAAACGAACGGTTCTGTTAGTTCTTATATTTTGACTAAATTTGTATTTGTCCACGACTCCACCACAATCGTTAAAGGTAATAGGCAGTAATTCCTTGAAATACCTGAATCAGTTTTGCCCCAACCGCTAACCGTCAATTTTCCACCCGTAGGTATGGAGCGGTCTGATATACCATCAAATGGAAGGCAAATTGCACGAATGTACTCTAAAAAAATCATTTTAATAAGTTCAAGAAACAAGTGACTTTACAAACCTGTAAAGTTAATACTTTTTTGAAGTTTAATTATTGCTATATCATTCTCTAGACTCTTATTGTTGTATCCCTCATGCACAATAATTCGTTCCACCTCAATCTCTACATACGTAGTACAAACAGTTCCTTCGCAATCCTTTTTGGTTTCGAGATTATGCTCACCGAGACGAACCACCTGCCTACAATCAAGAAATTTTATACAAGCAATAATTACGGATACTTTAAATAAAATTACCTACAATTTAAGTGAGGGATCGATCGAAATACAATGAGCAGCCGTCAAAATGTGGTTGTTGGTGATGATCGATCCTCCACAAAGGAACTGCATAAAGTTGATACCTCGTTCTGTAACAAAAATATGTAATGAATTCTACGGAGCAAATCATACTATTACATCTCACGTGTATAGCCAAGAAGCGCCATCCAGGGAAATTGGCCCATGGCGGCCAGTTCACCGCCAGTGATTCGATCGGTTACACTGACGATTCCGCAGTCCGACGGAAATACGGATATTCTGGATTCAATTCCGCCAGCGGCCGGTACAATTGTGTTTGATGATGAACAACAGACGTGGGTATAGTTTTCGTTGCAAGGGTAAAGTATGTCACCAGTTTCGCCACAATTGGCTGCTGGGACGCAGATATGATCGGAGGGGCATAACATTTCGTCTGCATCGATGTGTATCGAATCTAAAAGAGAAATTCACGGTAGTAAGCGCATAACTCATATTTGTACGATGTGGTCTAAGAACCTATTGACAACACATAATTTTCAGAGAAAGATAGCTACTGTGACAGTGTGACGTACCTTTTCAGGAAGTTTAAGGACCGCAGGAATAAGACCGTATGACATAGGAACTTATGATACTGTCACAATGGAAGTTCGGCACATTAGCTAAGCATTTTGAGGTTTGAGGTTTGTTGACCAATTTTTCAGAATGATAATTTGAGAATGGAAAGAATTTAGTAGGTAGCGCATGTCAACATCATTTGATAGGATTGTGTCGTAGATTTAAGGTAGGGTTTCGCTAGAGCGTCTCTCAGTTGCGACCATTGAGTTAGAAAACTGTTGCGACTGCGACTTGCGATGAATCGCAGTTGCAGCCGCAATAGAATCTACAGTTGCACGGTAGTGGGTTTCTCTTCTGAGCTGTGTATTCGCAAAATTTTTGTAGAAGAGGCTCTAATAAGTTCAAAGTTCTTAAGGCGAAATTTTTTTTAATAATTTTACTAATATTGCAGAACTACCTATTACCATTGTTTAAATACTTTACTTTTCATTGTTTACTCCTCTACAATCAATTCTTTGCATGACCTAATTCCAATAAGACTATCAAAAGGACTTTGATCTTGTTTGAGGGTCGAAATTTTCTAAAAATAAAACTTTAAATAATAATGACTTGATCGTTTTTGGAAATTTTAATACTAAAAATTAAACCAATCCAACGGAATATCGAAGGATACTGGTCCTATTCTTGAACATGTGACTTCCGTGTGACTGAGTGAGTATATGACGTCATGTCGAGCGATTTTCATCAATTTTTCCAATCTCCAGTGCCTTCCACTTCTCCTGTATATCTTTATTCGTAAAATTAGTGGATGTTTTCCCTATCACGAAGTATTTATTTCTTTAATGTAGAGAATAGCATGAGTCTTTGATCTTCTAAAGTGCGAGACAGAATTTACTTTTAAATTTGAATTGATTGCAGTAAAGTCACTGTAGTTTAGATGTAGTTAGTTAAGTATTATAGGTTTCATTTACAATACTTATTTATTTTTGCTGCTAGAGGTCATGCTATGTACCTTTCTGCCTCTATAATTTTATCTAGCGTACAAACTGCACTTGTTCTTTTCAGGAAGATTTTGCTTTCCTAGTGGTTACTTGTAATTTTTTCTTAATGCACCTTTACTTCTTTTTGGCATATGTCTACCTGAGAAAGGGCTCTTTGCAGTGGGTATTATGTGGAGTGTTTCTTTCTATCTCTGATGTGTTGTCGCTGCTCCATTGAATACGCTTAGCGGGTTTATATTTGCAAGTAATTACGCTGCACAGATTTGACTTAACGCCTTTCTTAACACGTAATTTTTTGGCTATGTCTTCTCTCATATTATTGCTCTTGTGAATTGCTCCAATATTTCTGATTCTACGTACATAACTTTTATCGTTACGAAGAACACCTTCCGACACTTTACTTTTGTTCTTCCGAAGATTCATGCGTACTAGCTTAACTACGTTTCATATCCTTTATATTACTCCGTTTGCCGATATTTAGTGAATTACTTTGTAATTGTAAATTAGTTAGTAGTTACCGAGAGCTATTCTGAAACCCATAACTACGAATTACGAATAACTTGTTCGTGGTAGCTTAATTACTTTTTGAATTAATTAGATCATTCTTGTTGTATAGAAATTTAGTTATTTGTGCATCGTAAAGTAGTTTTCTTAAAGTTAACGTCACGTTTATGCTCTCTGTGTATCACCGATTTGTACAGACGATTCCTAGGACGATTCGTTGTCGATCAAAATTTTGCTTTTGTTTAGTTAACGTAAATTGAATTATTGGTTCGCAATATTTATGTGCCGCGCTATTCACTATCTTCCTTGTTTTTTGTTTGTGGTTTTATCTCTTATAGAAAAGCAGAAAAGCGTTCTTTCTGAGCTCCAAAAGGTCGTGACCGGCAGATCAAAAGCTAATCTTCGTTGTTTTCTACGGAAGCCTGTTTGGACATTGATAATAATTTTCCTGACGTGTTGATCCCTTTTTGATAAGTTTGAGTTAAATTTAAACGTTTGAGTTGCCCATAAAGCACTATTTACAGGAGGCCAATTATCAAGACATTCCAGCAAACCAATCCAATATTGGCATCGGACAATCCAGTATTGGCATCGCGCGAATAAAGATAATCCATTGAAATGGAATGTCTCGCTATTGGCTCAAGCCAATCCACTAAATAGAATGCTTTCTATCTTTTGGCCCCAATAGCTTCCCCCACCACTGGCGCATTATGTTGAGCTGGCTTGTGGAATTGCCTTGTGAGTAACTTGCTAGTACCAAGCCCCTTCACTAAGGTGCTCTCAACGCTATTCGTCTATCCATTTTTAACAACAATATGTAGGTACAGTAAAACCATCGTAACCTTAGAAAATTTGCGCATGCATGTTCGGAATCGTCCGCACTTGATCGGCGTTTCTTACCAGGTTCGGCTATAATGTACATTCGGAACAGAAAACTACAACCAGAACAGAAGTAGTATTTGCACATTACTCACGGTATTAATGTCAATATAATTAAGAAAGTTATCGATTATTTATTACTAGTTAAAAACACATTACTCAATTCTTTCACTGAGCAATAATCAATAGCACACTGAGCCTAAAAACGTACTACTTCTTACTGGGAGTGTACAATCCCTTCCCATGCCTTCTATATTAGCTGCGCAAAGCATACTTTTTCTAAGGTTACAGTGGTTTTACTGTACTGTATTAGACTACGGGTAAACCCTCCGCATCTTACTTATTGGAATGTCTTTAGTTTTTTCATTGGACTGTCTTGCTGGAATGTCTTGATAATTGGCCTCGTGTAAATGGACCATAATCTCTCTTAATGGCGCCACATTTTTCGACTAGACTGAATCATAACTGACCTCCACTGGTGTCTACACGGAGCCAGTTAATGGAACCCAGTTACTGGAGTCTAGTTATTGGTCTACTTACTGACCGGCTTTATGGTTCAGTGGTAGAGCGTTGGACTATAAATCCGGAGGTCGGGTGTTCGAACCTGGGTTGAGGTGGCAGAGATGGGAATTACCTTAGACAAGTTTCGAGCATTCTCCGAATTAAGTTTTCCTGCAGTTTTCGTAATTCGTAAGGTGAATACCGGAGTAGTAATATAGAACAACTGAAGGCCTTCTGCAGAGGCACCTTTAAAAAGAATTATGCGGGCCACTCTGTACTGTAATTGGGCGCAAGGGGCCCAGAACAAGAGAGGGGTAAATAAATAAATAAATGTCTTGAAGTTTTCATTTATGGAAATTAGGTAAATTCCATTTGTGTCCCCTTTCATGTATACCTAAGTGTATGGTCCCCGAATTTGTTAAGCATTGTTTATACGCACATATCACATCATACTTAGAGAACCTTTTATTGGGATAAAAGTACGTATAGTCAACTTCCGATGATCTCAAATGTTGCACAAATCTGTTCGAGTCCCTTCGGGGTATTCTAGGATCTCCAATAACCTACCTACTACGTTTAGTCTTTTCTCTTCGAGGACCATAACATATTAACTCATAACATAAAACCTTCATTATAAGATCTTGGTGTCAATTACGTTCTTTTGCACAGAATACTTAACCTTCGGTTCGGTTGTTGTGTATGTAATTGTTGCCCCAACCTTCACCCGAGATAACGGATACTGGTTTCCTCTTTAAGAGCTACAACTTTATACTTCACCTCTGAATGCCAACTTCCAAGAAAAATGAAATTAGCTAACCGCCAAAACGGTAACTTGTTAAGTAGAACTATATTTCATATCCCCTGCCTTTCCTAATTTTCCAAAAGCCACCTTCAAGAAAGATTTGCATGAAGTGGTCAGCTGCGCATTACCTACATATTCAATGGTAAAAAACTCAATCTGGGAAAACCATTTATAATATCAATTATGCACGCTGGTAGCAACATCCTACTTTCCCGATAATAATGAAAACAACTAAAATGTCACAATATTTACGCAGAACTAAAACATTAGGTATTAAAGTGCGAAGTCAAAGCGTTTTGAAGAATACAAGATAAAACGAATAAGCGTAACGCTTGTATTTCCTTGACCTACACTGTTTGTGTTTTTAGATTTTGACATTGGGCCAGTGTTAAAAGGTTAATGGATAACGCGAGCTAGCTTATAAACAAGCCAAAATGTGCAACTGTATTTAGAAAAGAGTAATTTGGCAATTCCCACCCCAATTCACCTATTTAAGGATGTTTAAATCTTATTAAAAAGTGGTGTATTCTTCTGAAAAACCAGTAGAACCTGTCGAAGAATTTTAACGATTTCAACCCCTCAAATTCTCTGAGAGTGGTTTTGAGATATTTTCCGAGGTTATTTTGTTGGCCACATTTTTGAAATTTTGAGCATAGACTTCTTACAAAATCAAGGAATAAGCAAATAAGATAAGTAATTTAAATTCCGGACTTTCAACATGAATGTTTTGGAAATGAAGTATTTAGAAATTTTGGTTGATGAGTTAACAGTTCACCTTGAGTGCTAATGGCCTTAAGGTTACATTACAGAAATTCTTACCTAATATTAATATAACCGCAGTTATTATTTGTAAAACACTCATAATTATGGGAAAAACTTAAACACTAATTTATGACACTGATCACAACACAAAACTAATCACTGAATTAATTATCTATAACTTTAATTAAATGCAAAATTTGTACGCGCAGGCGTATCTTGTGTTGAATTTTTAATACCCAAACCATTTTCCGAATGACAAATTCAGAATTCTTATCTTCTTTCTTCTTGCTCGTTGCCTGACCGGTTACTGTATGACTAAAATTTGTCCGTTCTCATGACCATGGTAGAAGGAAATAATTATCAGTTAATGAGCATGTAGCTGTAAACAAATTAGATTCAAGGTGTATTAACAAAATCAATGATTGTAGTAACTTCATAATTGTTTTATTGAACTTGTACGGATATAGATGTGAAGGTTAATAACACGTAAAAGGCAACTTTTCAAAACCTGTGGGTTGAAGTAAAAATGCGGTTTGCCGCACTAGATTTAGTACTTCCAGTTCACAGGTAATCCCATTTGCTACGTTACGTAGTCATTTGGGACAACGCCATGAATCATCGGATGCACTCTCGAGAATATTTTCTGGTATTTTGGGTTCTAGTGTAAAAGTCACTTCAAGGTTTTCAGAACTACCTACTAATGTTACTAAACGCTTTGGTTGTACTCTCATACTGATACGCATGATGAAGGTACATAAATTGACAATTTTCCCCTTTGTAGCAGATTCAGTATCCCTACGTTCAGTTTAAAGAAACAGGTCAACCTAATAATGGGCGATCAAAAAAGGATTGACGTCTAGGTCAAGTTAAATATGATTTCCCATGTAAACAAAACTTCCCAAGGTAACTCGACAGCAACTCTTTTTTGATCGCATATTTATATAACAAATGAATAAATCTGTTCCTATCCATTAGGTTTAATTAAATATTTGCACATTATTCTCATTTTAGCGATTTGATTGGAAGATAATATTTTATAAACTGATATATAGGTACAATAGCAACAGTCGCTTTAGAAAAGTGCCTGATATCAAATTAAATAAAGTTGTAACAAATATAGCAAACGATCTCCTGGGTCACTGAACATTTAATCAGTTCTTCCTTGGGCGATGATAAACAAAATACTGTAAATAGGATTGGAAAGTTCGGGAGTTATCTTGTCCACAGACGGACGGACAGAAAATACAAAATCATGAACTCGCTATTAGGAGCTCGTTAGTAATTAAAAGGTAGTTCAGAGAAGAAAAAGTAGAACACTATGGCCAATTAAGTCGACGTGTTTTTTTTTAAAGTGAGCATAGGGATAATTACTAGGCACCTTCGCAATCTTTTTAAATAAAGTACGTCCTATCACATTTGCCTATACCGTCTTCAATTACAAGGCGACACGGCGGGTGAATTTTTTTGCCAGGGACTGTTGAGGTTCTGTTCTAGCTATCTTTGGAGGTTCAAATGCATTACAAAATCCTTTAAAATCATACTTCATTTATCTGGAAACTTTCAATCTATCAACGAGAACGATTCTAGTTCTAGTGAGGAACAGGTAACAACATTAAACAACGGTACACACAAAAATAAAAGTTGAAAACTATTGGTTTTAACAGGATGGTGCACCCATTTCCATCGGAGAAATTTCGTGGAAAATAGAAAATATATCCGTCGCACGATTAGGGCGTTGTGACATAAGTGTCTCAATTTTTTAGACGATCACAGTTTTGCTTATGGAATGCTACTTTTAAACTTAAACAAAATGAGTTTTGTTTGAGACAAATCACAGAGTAACTGTCTATGAAGTTGGCGTTCATTCTAAGGCATGAAATAATAAACCGATACAGGGAAATATCGAAGGGTCCTCAGTAATACAATAATTTTTAACGACAATTTATTTTAATCTTACAGCATACATTTTATAGTTAACAAAAATAGATCAAATTCATGTTTTGGTCATTGAGATAATGCTCTTGGTCTTTTTCCCAACGATCTTGGTGCATAAATAACTCCAAAGAGAAGAGTTATATTGAATTGTTACATTTCTAAGAGTCTTAGAGAATAATCTAGCGAAAGTCCGAACTCGATACATGACCTAGGGCAGTGTTTCTCAAACTTTTTCTTCTGGAGGCACACTAAAATTATTTAACAAAATTCGCCGCACCCCTAAGTATTATTTTTTTGCTTTTTTTTACAGTTAGTAAAGATATAAAGGATGAGAAATCTTGGTTAAGTATTGTGTTGTGTTTTTGAAAAGTATACCCTCATCACATTCTCAACAACCTTTAATATTTCTCTGTTCTCATTCGTAAAACTTGGCAGAGATCGACTCGCTCGCCTTGCTCACAATTATTTAATGCGCATTTGTCCATTTAAAGGGAAATATGGCATTAAAATCGTTGATGAGTCTTTGAAATTGACTAATATACGCATTTCAAGCGTATTTAATAGTTTCGGAATACATACAATGATTTTAATATTATTGTTAATTATACATATTGTCGCTTAATAAGCGCCACTTAATATTAAATAGGACGGTGCGTAGCGCAAACTGCAAGTGCAATCTCGCCGCCTATCGATTATGATGACACGGTTTGGAACCCCCCGAGCGCGCTTAGATCGTGGTAAAGAGAAGGGGCGAACCATTGCCAGAAAGAAGTGCCATTTTAGACATACTTAACAAGATTAGTTGAAAAGATACATTGGGGGAAAGTGAGACGTAATGCAATACCGGCATATGATTGATTAATGAATTATGAACCATAGAAATAAATAAAATAGAAACTGAAAAACAGAATTGTAATCAAAAACGAATATTCATTTTTTATAATTTTTCTGAAAATCAATAGCGTCCGTCCTTAATATCCAAAGTAACTGTACACCAAATGTCAACACAATCGGACACTTTTAAAAAGAGTTATAGCGCACATGGACGGACGGACGGGCGACAATACAAAACTATAAAGGATCTGAGGATCCTTAATAATTGATCGCATGTGCGTGGTACATTGTCTGTAGCTAAGGTCAGTAGGCCCCGATTGCATTTTTTTCTTACAGCTTTATTGATTGATTTATGCCGAATAATAGTATATTAAGTATGGAGAACGGTAAGGGATTTTTACCGTTCGAAGACAATTGTTTGGAGGAGGAGCGAAGCGACGACTCCAATTATTGTCTGAGAACGGTAACCCTTAACGTTCGACGTGCTTATAACATTTTTTGCGCGATCGAAATTAAATTTATGCAACCAATATAAATATGCACTAAGAAATTAACGAGCAGAATAAATCGAAATGATCGAAGTGGTATGGTGTATATCACTAGGTAACCAGTTTATTTGTCAAAATTGAAGTTAATAATTTCATAAAAATGTGCATGTGTCTGATGTAGTTTACTAGCTTTGCACCTCCTTTATGACTTTATGAGCGTCTTGCTATAGGAAACAACAGCACAAATTGTACGTTTAATGTACCTAACAATAATTAAAGATTAAATGTAATGTAAGACTGTTGATTTTTAAAAAGGCGTCGGTAAGTATTTTTGCTGTTCTGTTTTTAGATCGGTAAGTAATTTTGACGTCGTCGTAATCATAGCAACTGGTAAATTCTACCTACTGTCATGGAAACACCCATGGTAAATAGTCAGAAATGACCGATCGCGCAAAAAATTATTAAAATAATTAAATAAATCTCTGAAATTGTAGAGAGCTGATAAAGGTTGCTGAGGTTATCGATCAATACAATTTAAGTCTTTATAGATATGTTTCGTTATAGCGGATGGCGGATGTGCCTTGGAAAATGTATAGTAGAGTGGTAGTCAAAACTTTCCATATAAAAAAAATTGTGGTAGAGTTTTAGTTTTTAATTGAGCTAGCTGGACAGGTGTTTATGTCGGTGGTTTAGTAACCGTTTGCCGATGCACATAGCAATATCGTGTCTATGGTACCAAAAATGTTGGATAGAATTGTTAGTAACCCTTAAGTTAAGGGTATTATAATAGAAGAAAAACATGGCTTTTTCTGTAATAGCTCGACCTATTAGGCCATGAACTCGACTAGCACAAACCTTAAAAATAGTTAACAATTATTTGATAGTGTAAACCATCACATTTTTGTTACAAAGCTTTTTAATATTGGTATAGAATAGCGTAATAATGTACCTATGTACAAATGATCAGATACATACCTTATGTTTAAAAATCGGTGATGGTAACATCTGGGGTTCCCCAGGGTGCAAATTTAACTCCGATATTATTCTCTATATTCATAATGAGCAAGTCGTTAGTATTAAAAACCTGATATGTTTCCCGAAATGGGTCGTGACTGTTAATATCTAATGTGACAATTATAATTTCATTATGTAAATGAAACAAATCGAAGACGCTTAGGGCGAGGTTTCCGTGGAGTTGTGGTGGTTTATTTGGGTAATCAAAATATTATCCACTAGTCGATAATGTCTAATTTTTTCCATGAATATTGAACGTATAATATCTTCTTTGTTTGACGGTTTTGGATAAAAATTGTTTTTGGGAGGCATATGCTGGTATTTCTGCGAAATAAAAAAACTAAAGCACATTAGACAAAGAAATATACGTGTAGCAAAAGCGGTAATGCCGAGAAACTTACATGGTATTCCAATAATACATATTATTTAACAGATATGCCAAAATTTAGACAATTTTGGGGATTTAGGAGTATGAAAGGAAGTGAAGACAAGTATTACTCATTTGGAAACAAAATGTACATAATTCTGTGTCTGAAATTTCATACCACTCAAATAATTATGACGAACGATACACTCTACACTATTAGTAACAAATTTATTGTATCAGTGAAACCCAGTGGTGATTTGTGTGATCAGAATACGAAGAAAATGTTATTATATGATTCATGGTGAGGTGAAAAGTCGAAGATATAAAATAGGGGGAAGTACTACGATTAAAAATATCCAGTATTCCAAATAAATTGTACAAGCGGAATTCAGTTTGTTACCACAAACTGGGGTCTCCAAAACTTCTACAGCTTCCGGAAACGGTCACACCCCTTGAGTCACCGTTGGTCAAGTTGACGACGAATTTTCTTTTTATTTATAAACCAGGTGGATATTATTTGGGGAACGTATAAAAGATCTTTTTAACAATTGGGTAAACTTTACTTAAAACATAAAAATACTGGAGAATTAATGTAAGGAATAATAATGGACTTTTCTTAAGTTCTACTACTATATATTCGTATTCTACATTAAATTAAAACTCAGATTTATCACTAACTTAAAAGACGTAATTATATACAATCAGTACATCACAGGCTTAATTTTAATAAATATTTACAAACACAAATATTGCGTATGCATGGTGCTTCGTTGTATCGTAGTGAAGCAAACTTAAGTACTATTTAGTTTACGTATTAAATTAGGTTAAGCCTATACATTAAGTTTGCGCTACTGTGCAGAATAAGTTAAATGATGATTCTAAGAAGGAATGACAATGAAAACAGTACGTGCATCAAAGGAACTACGGTCTTAAATTGTCCAAAATCCACTCCATGTATGAATCCGTTCTGGTGTAAACCCCCGGAAAACCTTCTTGCCCACAAAGTCTGGGCCCAAATGAGACTATACCATACTGCACAAAGCGGGAATCATCATACAATGTGTCTATCCTCTGCAATGGTCCTCCACTATCTCCCCCACACGAATCTCTCTTTTTATGGCCACCGGCACAAATTTGTTTTTCATTTAGAAGAGCGGGCGTATTTGCATAAATTCTCCGACAATTTTCCAATGACGTGACTCCGACTTCCACCTTTAGTAAATCTTCACTCCTTCGACCTAATTAACCTCGAGCATTAATGGTGTCAAAAAATATAGTAGTCAATTACCTGCTTCCGTAGCACCCCAACCCGTGACGATCAGTCTTCGAGAGGTGAAATTGAAGTTTCTCAAGGAGTTGTCTACGGGAAGGCAGATTGGCTTCACGCTTTCTAAAAAAATGTTTAGTTAGTCTTTCATGTATACCTCTGAGTGTATGTGGTAGTTTTTCATGGCGACGCATGTAGGAGTTTGTAAAAGTTTAATTGAAACATGAAATGCGGCATTTCGACTTGGAACAAGTGCAAGTTTTGACGTAGACGTATTTTTGAAAACAGATTTTCCGTAAATGACGTCAATTTGGTCAATATTTTAACAACATATAGGTATTGTAAATTTATTGCTAAAGCATGAATGAAAATTAGATAAATCTGTTTGCATTTGCATAACTTTGCAGTTCATTTCTGCTTTACTTTAGTCCAGTTTGACAAAACCAGTTAAAATAAGATTGAAAGTGGACAAATATGTTTGGCTATAGTTGGCCGTCTTTACTTGCAAGAAAATACCAAAAGATCAAATAAAAGGCGCATATATATATCTTTAACATGAAGTATCTTCAAAAGTCATCCTTCTCTATTTATCAAATGAGATTTTAATGAACTTTCAACGATTTTTCAATACTATGATGTCGTCTGTCCCAATGGTGGGCAGGAGGGCTGTTATGCTCCGAGGGTATTATATTGTGGTAGAGTTTGTTACTTACAAGTTAAAAATGAAATTCCTTCAACATTTAGCGGGAACATTATGTAATGTCTTTTAATTAATTGTTATGTAGTTAGTTATTCAACCGCAAAGACAGTACCATAATAGTATTGATTGCAAAATCTGTAATGTATTAAATTCAAAATTTATGGTATTCAGCTGAGATTATTCATGCGAGTTACAATATGACGTAAATGTTCAGGTGACGATGTAGGTATTTACGAAAAGTGCTCATAGTAGACCTTTTCTTCAACCTTGATCATTCTGTTCTACACTTGCTTTTAAATGCCAATGTCATTTACGATCTTGATTGTTTTTTTCTTAATTATTCAGTAATAATCTCTTAGGAGTTTTCTTAGTTGCAACTATTGGCAACAACAGTCCACCGCGGTCACAGAATGTTCTGATTTGTATCCCATGGGAGGAACTTACCCACACTGAGGTTTAATGGTGCAGCCAAACGAATTAACCCAATATCATCAGTATAAGTGGCCGGATTGTAGTCGGGATGTGGAATAGTTTCCTCAAAGTCCATATCCTGCACTGGAGGCGCGCAAAGTGTTTCCGCCTGAGGTTCGTTTTGAATTTCACAGTCCAACGAAGAACTGATGTTATATTCTCCACAACGTACCTGTACCCTAAAACAAACTCGTCAATTTCAAACTCATATTACAAAGACGAAGAAACTTACAGTTTCAGATTGGAAAGCTTCGTTATGCAATGTGCGGCCGTTAATATGTATCGGCTATTGATAATAGAACCGCCGCATCGAAAGTCCCGTCCATTTGCTGAAAGATTTATGTCAAAATCACATAAAAGAACCAGAAATTTACTTACGCGTATCATACGTCAATAAAGCCATCCACGGGAACTCGAACAGGGCGGTTTTATTCCCTCCTATAATTCGATTTCCACCAGGAAGTAGTCCGCAATTTTGCGGTAATAGATTTAGGTTCCTGTGGCCCGTAGGATTCTTTGGCTTATTGATCTGTATTGCACCATCTGGACAACAGACCTTCACCTCATTCCTTTCAAAACCGCACTGGTACTCGTTTAGTATTTGAATAACCTGGGATGTTAGTGCTGGTGCCGATTGAAGGTACTCCACCATTGGCCGACATTGCTTTATAGGTACACAAGTTCCGATTCCTCTGTATGGTGTTCGGCAACCATCGTCGTCGAATGCCCATTCTAAAAAGGATTGCTGCTAATATTATATGTATACAAGTTTTGGAGTATATTTTGGAAAGCTTTAAGTTAGACGTATGCTTAATATCTGCATATCGCATTTCATCGCTACTGGCACGAGGTTGTATCACCCAGAATTATGATCCACTACGCGATAACAAGAGACAAGCAGATCTAGAATGTGAATACCACCACAAACCAATGACATGAAAAATAGAGTTTCTAGCAAATTGAAAATACAGCCAATACACACTTCAAAAGTTCATGCAAAAAGGAATTAAAAAAAAAGAATGTCCATACAAGAAAAAAGAAAAAAACCTGCACCAGGTGAAAAGAAAATACACATAACTCAAGCAACATGGAAGCCAGAGATACCCATATGGAAAGGACTCGTGGATCAGACTTGATTAGTAGCTTCGGAAATTTTAAATTGCCCTTTTTTGGGAGGCTAAAAGAACATCCTTTCGCACCGCAGAAGAATTATATCTTTTTTAACTTCAAGTAAAATGCAAACCAGGGCCGTAGCTAGAGGTACGTCTGTCCTGAAAAATTTTAAGCCTGCCCTAGCCAGATTTCAAAATTTCCCATTGTAATTTAGGATATCTATACTATGTTTTTTTAAAACCTGCAACGTCACAATGTCTATCGATATAGTAGTTGTATTACGAGAATTTATATTAACATCTCAAATGGCGTCTCACCAAGTCAGTGGTTTATCACACAGATTTTGTGAAGCTTAGCTTTGACTTTTTTATCTAATAGATGCCACTCGGCCAAGATTGTACTTAAAATTTGGTTCCACTTGTTAGTATAAATGTCTGAACACATTTTTATGACACTTTATTAACTGTACCTCATCTTGGCAAAAATGGAAATAAGATTTAAAGAAAACGACAAACTTCTATAACCTGTTTCCAGTACCAAAAAAGAAAATATTCACTTAAAAAAAAACCAAATATTTTAGCTTTAGGCATCCTCAGAATAAATTATGGTAGTTAACAGATTTATTACAAATCAAAAACAAGAGAACCCCGACTTGGGTGCGAGAGTGAAGAGTGTTTGTATGTAACACGAAGTCGAGTCTCTAATTTCCCAGTTCTATAACTAGAATTAACCGTCGAACCAACGAATGTCCAGTCTGATCCTTTTTGCATACGAGTACGAACAAAATTGTTAAAAATCCCTAAACTTGACTTACGATTGAGAAAATTCAATGCAGTGAAGAACCAGTGATTAAACTTTAAAACACGATATACAAAATATGACTTTATGTTTTTTTGTATTTTTTTCGAGCATGTTAGGTATGAAATATAAAACGTAGAGGATTGCAATTGCATACCGTGAAAGAATAAGTACCTAAAAGTAAGTGACATTTTGTTTGATGAGCACTAAATTCGTTCCAGGGTACATTTAATGCACTAGTAACTAGTAGGTCATTTTGAGAAATTAAGGTTTCATTTTAGATTTAAAATTATTGTAATGGTTTTTAAAAAAATTGCCACGTGTGTTCATAAACCCAGTAGATTTTGAATTTTTTGTTAGTTTAGGCAAGCCTAGTGATTATTTGCAAAATAACAATTTTAAAAAATGCTTGCCAAGACCTCGTCTTTGCTTCTTTTGTCATAGTTTAAGAAGCTACCGCCTGTCCTGAATTTTTGTGAGCCTGTCCTGATTATACAGTCTGGCTACGGCCCTGTCTAGAAGTATTGGTATTTCAAATTAGAAGGTTCGAATCAAAAAGGCAGTGACTGTTTTGAGTACTTTGCATAATCCTATGAAACAGGGAGACATGCACAGGTTCCAACGGGTGAAAGGAAATCCAATAAAAGTGATCAGTTACTTTTGGCTTATAGTGTTCCTGGGAAAAGTCGCTGGTGGATGAGAACTGTTTATTTCTGCTATTGTGAATGATTTTAATCCTTACAAACATATTCTTCAACAGTGGACATATCAAACCTACGATACATCTGAAGCTGAACTGATAGGATATTTTTGCCGCCGAACTAAGTCTGGCTCAATTTGGCCATGGAAGAAAAAGGAATCGCCCATACAGAAAATTGACGGCACTAAATGCCCGGAAAGCTAAAAACGTGGAAAGCCAACTAGTAGTTAAAGGTAGCAGACGATCATTACTGTCATTGCAGTACAGAAGCGGTACAGCAAAGATCATAATACAGTGTGTAGAGTGTGATGTTGTCCTGTGCGTTTTGTTACATTTTACAAAAATCGTGAATGATCTCTGTTTAATATACAGGTTGATTCAAATTCGAGGGCCCCCAGCCACTGTAAGAGATAGGTGGATAGGTACGTAGTTAAAATTTGGCGAAGTTGAGTATTTTGATGCCGTTTTGAAACTGAAAAAATTTCGACCACTTTCGTAGCCAGTTTTAATGTGGAGGGTATACTCCTACCACCACCCTAAAATTTAACGCGACCTGCAAGTCGTATGCCGCAATTTAAAATGTTGTTGGGATCACGAGGAAATACATTATAGTTTCAGGTAAAAGATACTTGTACATTTATTGATCCCTCATTAAATTTACCGAAAAGGTTTACTATTGAAAGTTTAATGTCACCCTGTGAGGGATGAGATGTTGCCAAAGAGAGAACGTCTTACAAGGAGAAATGTTCTTTTTGATTCGAATCATACTCATACAGTTTTTGATTCAAATGTAACTATTACCTATTGTAAGAAAAATTACTGCACAAACGCATTGATTTAATTTAATTACTTAAGGCCAATTGCACCGTCAAAATTAAGTATCCCTTAAAGTTAAGTATAACTTAAATACCATAGCAACGATTGTCTTAATAATAAATAAATAAATAAATAATCATTTAATGTCCTACAGAAAAACATTCCAATTACAGGACATATAAACGTTAATTACCTGGTAAGTGCACACAAAGTAAATTAAATCAAATAAATTTGTAAACTAAAGATAACTAAACATAATAATAATGAGATTTAGAAAACATACCTTAAATTAGCACATGAATAAGGGAAAAAGAAACTAAAGATTGTTCATTATATTTATAATATCAATCAGTCTATGAAAATGGATGTCGCCGAGAAAAGATAAATTATAATAATCGTTGCCATGTATTTTAAGTTCGACTTAACTTTAAGCAAGGCTTAATTTGTTGATGCAACTGGGGCTTAGGGAGATGGAATTATTGTTTACAATTTCTTTATTATTGTTATTTGGATTTGCGGAAATAAAACATTCCAAGATATGTTCTACCACATTTTGTCGTTGGCGCATATCCACAACCGAATGTCGCTATTTCCTATATTAGGTATATGTACTCAACTTGTGTATCTCTTATTTTCTCATATTGTGTACTTTCCCCACATGTTTGCTTATATTAGCCACTTCTGATCGAATGATATGTCCGAATCCGGAAGGCCTCCCAAAAACTGCCAAATATTCATCAAATTACCTACTCTTCATATTGTGCCCATTTAACTATGGGGATTCATTATCATCTCCCGGACACTTTGCGTTGTCGTTAACCACACCAATTTTGCGCAAATGCTTTCAAAATCATTGCCTATTCACAAATTTCTTCGGAAAAATGATAAAAAAAGTTACATCGATACAAAATGAAGTGTTAAACGGTAGCCTGATGAGTGTTGAAATAATTACTTTTACGGCATTATCAAATATCGTTTGAATTGTTTTAGTTTTTATACAGTAGTTACGGTTTTCTCAGTATACATGTGGGTAAATTACTCAGACACTTTTTAAGAATGAAGTACGAGCAAGTGCGAGTGAATTATAAATAACAAATCCTTCACATTTCAATGTAATTATATGGTAGTGAATAGTGATTGTTAATGCCGATCTAAAAAAAAATTTGACCAAGCAGTTTTAGTACAATTCTGAGTATTCCTATATTTTTACAAATCAGGATTGCGACCTCCGACCTGACCTGACGCATGTGGGGACTTGGCGCTTGCATGCTTAGAAAAACCCAGCACTAACCGAGAATTTTTTTACAGATTGTTTGCTACCGTTTTTCATTCCGCTGTATAAAAACCAAGACTCATAACACCTTTGTTGTATACGGATTAATTAGCAGACTGACAAAATTAAACACCTTGAACTTAAGCAATTAGGGGCACATGACAAAACCAATGAGTTTCAAAATTTTGGTTGCGATTGATTTTTATTTGGACGACCACAATGTACCTAAAATTTCTGTCAAGAAAATTTATGTATTTGAGGTGGATTAATTGGACGACCTACCTCATTTACATGCTGGCAAGGTAATATTGTTATTAATTAAAATTGAAAATACCTACGACTAGCACGTTTGGTTAATGAGGAAAAGCAACTTACGTGAATTAAGAGGTTTGAATGCTAAGCACCAAATAATTACACAGATCCAGTGAATTCGTATAACACCCATGACGAAAAATTAATTTTCTTTCGAAACACTAAATTATTTATTTATAACAAATTCTTGACAGACTGCAGACTTGTTACTACACTCGCGCGTAGAACCTCTATACGAGGCAAGTGAGGACTGTGAGAGTGGTTTTGCCCACGGCAGCGCATACTTTATACATGTTCCAAATATTTTGAATTTGATATAAAAATTTTAGGTTTACCCGGAAAAAATCTGCCAGTTCGGTTTGTGGTATTCCACACCGGTGCGTAGAAACGTAATTTCCAAACCGCACTGCTCTCATATCTCTATCTGGTTATCAACGCACAAACATTACAATGAAAATTACTTTCACTTTGGCCCAAATTATAAAAGTGCGCAAATCCGCCAGGTAAACGATCATTATAAGCTTGACCTTCAAGTACCTACCACATTAAAGTGCGCGATTTTTCCATTGATACCATGCAGGCTACAAAATCGGAAGTTGGTGTCCTCACATTCGACGTAGGTACTTTACAATTTCCAAAATGTATCCACATCACCCCGAAAAAATGTTGGAAAGTGACTAAGAGCTACTTCTTTGGTACGTAGGCGGATTTTCTACTGTGCCACCAAGAGTCAGTTTATTTATTTCATGTCCATGAATAGTATGTTCAGCAAATTGAAAAGAAGCTGTTCTTTTGTGAAATGTAGACCCACCCACCCCTTTTTACTCAAAACGCTATTTTTCCACCGATATCTACTTTGTGACGTCAACGAGAATCTGTAGACATCGAAATTATGTTACGCCCGCAGGTAACGTTTTGTGGGGAAATTCCTCCCGGAAAATTCCCGCCGTCAAACCGGCTCCCCAAAGATTCACTCATATAAACCCGTTTGCGAAGTTGTCATCGACAGGAAAACACGCTCCTATTTATTATTAAATGTACCAATCCCCCCAATAAAATTGGTGGCCTGTAATTTCCGCCTTGGAACAAACGTTTCTTGGTTTCGTTTCCAGTAAAATATTGTAACCAAGCGCAATGTGACAATTACCTTTTCGTTTTTCTACGAAAGGTATATTTTTTTAAATATGGTTTTCGTGTAACGTATAACCTTTATGTTTGATCAATGGTTCTTAATAACTTTTTTAATCCTAGTGGCCAATTATGACCTCTTCCGATTTTCAAACTGTTTTAGGCCATGGCATTGAATGTACGATATAACAATTAAATCTAAAAAAATCGGTTGATAAAGGGGATCAAATAAGCATTCTTTTCTAATAAACTGAGGTCGAAAATGTTTCTTTGGGGATTATCATGTTTTTGTGGCGCGCATTTTATGAAAATTGTTACAAAATCAGGAGAAGCATACGTATTATACAGTTATACGGCTGGAGGTCCATTTTTGGCTTTCTATTTTGCGAACACCGTTTCAAGTTTTGGAAATATATGTTAGTGCTTGTTCACAATGGACATAAGCGTTACAAAAACATAACAGATACATAAAACATAATATTGACATAAGACATAATTTTACGCAGGTGGAGAAAGTGTTCACAGTGACCGTAAGATTATAATTATCTGCGTAGGCGCAAATCCAAAATTTAAACTCGGCAAAACGTCAAGAACATAGCAATATTATTTGTGGTGTATATGTGTGTGTCACTGAGATGGATGGAAATTTCAACAGTTTTATTGCTTTTACTGTTAAGAAGACAGAGAGACAAAGTTGTTACAAAACAAAAACGGCGTTGGTGGGTCAGACCTATAAATCGAGACCGAGAGAAAAGGGGAGAATTTAAGAATTTAAGCGTGTCTAGAAATGAAGCTGCATGATGAAGAATGGTTTTTTTCATACACCAGGATTATTCGATCACCTTAATAGGTCTTTTGTCCCCTTTATTAAACAATTAGGGTTTTAATCGCACCAAACTAATCAGTAATTCGACGTCTATATGTTTTCCATGCCGTGTTGATATAATCAAAGAACAACACACGAAGGACCAAACAACACCAAACTATGAAATAATGCGCCAAAAACTATGTACCAATTTAAAAATAACCAGATTATGTTGGCAGAAGAGATGTCATCGACGTTAGACGTAGTAACTGAAATGTCAAACCAACAGCGCAGTGCTGCATCTTTGTACCCAACAGAAATACACCTAATTCCACTAGATTTTTCATAAAACCTACGTAAAGTTGAAACCGACCCAACTTTATGTATTTTTTATGTACCCTTTCGGTAGGACATAAAACATACGCAAACATTTACAAAAAAATAAAAATTATGTAATCATTGTGAACACCTACGTTGGTTTGCTACTATTCAACATTATGAATTATGCATCTGTTATGTTTTTGTTACGCTTATGTCCATTGTGAACAAGCACTTAGACATATGGTAACGAAAATTGACGCGACGGATTTTTGAAAAAAAAAGTGTGGAGGGCCGCAGAAACGCCATTGTACTTTTTTTTTCAAATAACTCAACATTTTTATTAAATTATTCCAAAGACCTTATTTTTCTGTGCACAACCTACGAACATTGTACTCGGTTTGATTACAAAGAAACAGAAAAAAAAATGCCAAAATTAAAAAAACTAAAACTGACAAATACTTTTTATCGGCAAAATTTTTACTCTGATTTCGTTAAAAATTTTTTTTATTGTAATTTTAACACAGGAATAGAAAGAAACATTAATTCTAAGCAAAAAGTGTTCCATACATTTTTTTCGGAAAGTTAATAGGTGCTTCTACAGTTATTCGCGAAAGTATGAGTTTTTCATAGAAAAATAAATGTTTTTAATTGGTTATTCGCGAAAAATTTGAAAAGTTTGCATTTTATAAAAAACTGTGGTGAACAAAATCCTAGCTTTTAAAAAAACAAAGAAAATGGGTGTTTCATACTTGCTGTATGACCCAAACGAACCGAGTTGTGGATTGTTAAAGGTTAGCTCTTGTTCGTCAAATACTTAAATTAGAGAGATTTTACAGTCAAATAACGGTAAAACTAGGCATTTTTCGAGAAAAACGTAGAACTTAGAATATTCTTTAATTCTTTAAAAAACCTTTCTTCTTACACGACTATACAGTGCTCTCTGTCCGTGACCACCCATTTTGTATTGAAAGCATAGGGCTAATATCAGTCCATGTACTATATGGTCTAAGCATTTCCTTCATATATGACAGCATGAACGATGCATTTAAGACCTTTTTCGAAAGATGCTTCCTATTAATCAACGCCAACAGTTTTTCATAATATATTCTTTATAATAGGTTTTTGCATTTGGATTTTACAGGTTCTTCTGCTGCAGCAATAAGCCACGAATAGACGGTGTATTGTCTTCTTCAACCGAAGTCATTTTATTTACAAACACGGTGATTTTTTTTATACGCAAACGTCAAGTGACATTTCCATGGTAATCATGGAATGACAAATAATAATAATAATAAATAATAATTCGAGTATAACGTCAATATGATTTCATTTTATTTCCTTTATTTTTAAATTATAATGCAGTTATAATAAAAAATACTATAAGAAACGCGTGTATAATAATTGGTCTTTAAAGCACTTGCAACCTTTAAAGACTTGATTATACACTTGTTTCTTAATATACTATTAAAACATGTTTTAGAAACTTTACACGTCACGATAGGACTTCTAAAAGAATTCGATCTCGACGAAATTTGATATTGGGGATTTTTTCTACATCAAAATCAAGAATGTAACGGTAAGATTCGAAATTAACTTCAATTGCAATCCTTGGTTGGGCAACAAAGATGGTAAGAATTTCATTAAATTATGTAAGAACAAAACTGCCGAACGAAAATCGAACCCGGACGCCCGCGTGGCAGCTGTCAAAGTGTCTTGGAACGCCAAACAAATTGAATAAACATTTAGTTGTACATAGATATTTTGAAAGGTTATACGATCAAATAAAGTTCATGAAGAATGTGTATTTAATGTAAATAAATGTTATGATTACATTTTGGGGAACAATGATACTGGATGTTTTAAAATGATGATATCTTAATATGGAAAAACCACAGTTCAGAGCATTAATTAGTATGGCTCACGCATTTAAATTGTCCAAGATCCATTTTAAGTGCGATTCAACATTTGTGTAGACGTATGGAAAATCGGTCACTTCACAACTTCTTGGCCCAAATGAAAAAATACCATACTGCACGTGATGAATGTCGTCATCGAAAATTCTTATTGCTTGCAATGGATCACCACTATTGCCGTAACATATTTCCGCACGTTTTTGAGTCGCGCACAAATGATCTTCCTTTATTTGCATCGGTAATACTTGTGCATACGCCTTTTGGCATTGCTCTTGGGAAGCAATTTCATTTGTTATCATATGTAGTTCAGCACTTTTCACGCCTATGACAAAGCACAAGGTAATTCATTGTTACTGTTTCTATTTCATACCTGCAAGTCCCCAGCTTGTTACGGTAAGCCATCTGGTAGAGTTTTTAAGAGTCGTGTATACCGGGAGGCAAATTGGTTGTACATTTTCTAAAATACTCATTCAGCAACCATAATTGTTAAAATGTAAACGATACTTACCAGCATTGAAATTTAGCGGCTTTTCTAAACGAATTAGACCGATATCATTCGTGAAACTTTTTACGTTGTATCCAGGATGCGCAATAATTTCTTCAATGCCAATGTCTTGTACTGGGGGTGCACAAATTGTTGTATCATAAGCAGGACCATCTTCGCCTTCACAATCTATCGCCGTATTTAAATTGTATTCTCCGCAACGGACTTCCTTTCTAAAATTTACAACCTTAATATTTAAATGTTGAAAACTTGAAATTTACAATTTAATTTCACGGTTCTTCGACAGACAATGAGCAGACGTTAAAATATATCGGTTATTGATAACAGAACCACTGCAACGAAATTCTGTTCCATTGGCTACAAAAGGTCATTACAGATTAACGGAGCAGCAACAGGCATACTTACGAGTTTCATAAGACAGTAAGGCCATCCAAGATACTTCAAAGAGAGAAGCTATGGTTCCACTACGAACGCGATCTGTTACTAATACTGCTCCGCAGTCTTTGGGTAATAAATGGAAATTTTTGTGTTTTGTTATTGAATCTCCATCATTGACGTGATTTTCTATTAGACCGTTTGAGGGACAGCACACTTGAACATCTTTTCCTTTAAAACCGCAGTGATATTCATGTAATCGTTTTGAAATTTCTGGCGTTATTACTGATACCGAGGATAGATAACTTAATAGTGGCTTACACTCCTTTATAGGTATACACGCTCCCGCTTCTTGAGTTGGAGTACGGCAATCAGCGTAGTTGGATAATGTCTCTATAAATAAATATTTCATAAAGCTATTTGTATAGCAAGGTGCATTTTGACGTTTGGGTCATGCGAGTGATGTATCGAAATATGAACAAGTAGGTACTCACGCTAAGACCATGAAAGAAACGACAAGTTTCTATGTCAGATTAAATTCAAACAAATAAGGAGGAATTTTTGCAAACTTCAATTTTCCAGAAAACACTCTGAATATGCTCTGCGTCGTTTTCGTTTACAATGGGCAACTCGGAAGAATCGCGAAAACTCTACAACCTGGTTTTCGATTGTTACCAAAAAGGTTCCAAATCTCCTACTAAATTGCAACGCGATAGCATCAAAATTGCTACCTGTGTCGAGGTGACAAGAGAGCGGTTACACACACATACGTACAGACATTTTTCACGTTCATGGATCCCATCACAAACTTCTATGGCTAAAACTCGTTTAATTTTTTTCCTAATAAAGGGCTTAAAGCGTGCACGAGTGTATGAATAGATAAAGAAATACATGTATGAGAGATGCAGCATCGGAATTTAGTTGACTGAATTTGATAAGAGCAAACCAATAATACCACGCAATACTGTCAATTCGATTATTTATTACTAAAATGTAAATCTTACCTGACTTCAGATAGTCGAAGGCTAACAACCAAGTAATTATACTTAGCCAAAAAACTCGAAAGGTTGCGGTGCACATTATGGCAAAATAGAGCAACTAACTTATCCGTACAACTGGCAAAGATTTGCACGACAATCCCGTACACCACATTCTTAACCGCCAAATATTGTTGATCTGACGTAGAAAATTTCCCGGCCTCTTTCGAGGTATTCGATGTTAAGACTTTCTTATTTTGGTTCGCATCTAAAGTGGAAGTAGTAAGAATTCATTCTTTCTCTATTGCACGGATAATCCATTCCATCAGCTCTTCATCACGTGTTAAGCTTTCGGAATGGTCCATATATTTTTTTATTTTATGCGATAATCGCACTAACGTGCCGACCTTCAATTCAGATAATCTTAATTAATCAATTAATTATAGTTCATATTTTTTCTCCATTTGTATTTAGTTATTTGAAAATGCTCTTTGACACTTGAAATTCGTCAGCTTGAATCTGTGACACACTGTGTACTATTAACGCGTAGAAAACTTCAATATTACACTGATACCTAGTTCAAACTCGACATCGAGTCCGTTAACAAAGTATTTGGCGCTTGCTATTGGGGAAGAATGACTCTTCACGCGATCTTAAAGAAAATATACGTATATTGTATCACTATATACTGCTATATTTTCCAGCGCATACACAATTTGGCAACAAAACAACACATTTTACTTTAGTAAACCAAAGATTGTTCAATCCTGACCCTAACAAATGCTGAGCATGAATCATTACTTCGTTTTTCGCCACGTACTGCTTCAAAAATACCGCAGTGTGACAAGATGCGCTGTATTGAGCCTGCAGAAACCTCTTTTTCGTGATTCTGGCCTTTTCTTTAAAATCCTTCACGTAGGATAAAATCCTTCACGTAGGATTTTCAGAACTTCCAAATAGTACCAGAGATTAACAGCTTGGTCCTCTGGAACCCAGTAGATGCAGATGACGTCTTGATTGTTGTAAATAATGATCACCATTGCGCAGAATTTCGATATGCTATCTACCCGTGTTCAAGGTAAAAATACACTCTTCACAATTAATTTTACAAACCGTTTGTATCATGACCAACGGCACTCATTCTTACTGTACAGGACAAATGGAACGATGCGCGCATTGACGACCACTGTCCACGGTAACATCTACTTACGCTCGATCATGGTATAATAAAAACGCTCGATGAAATGTGCAGCGATCAATGACGGAAAACGTTACCCTCTAAAACGAACACTTCGCATTTCGTTTGTAATCCTAGAAAGTGCAGAAGGTAGCAATGGGTTAGTTAATGGACCATATACCTAAATTGAACGGTTTTTGAAGTAAATGAATTTATCAACAGCAAAAACATAAGAAGAAAAGTAATAAAATTATAAATTGTGAAATATCCAATTTTGGCAACATGCGCACGCGTAAACGTCCGTTGAACGTCAGAAGTCGAACGTTCGGGTTGAACGGCGCTTGAGAAAGACGATTTTAAATGGGGAAGGAAGTTGGGAGGGTTAACACAAATTATAGTCACATGACTGGTTCAAATCGATGTCAATTTATTACAAAAATATTAAATGGTCTCAAACTGTTACAAAATATATGAATGTTTTAAATTCAAATTCAACCTAATTTGTCAAAAGCAATTTGTAGTCAAAAAGATAGATGTCGAAATTGGCACAACAACTAACGAAGCTTGTAATGTATAAATTACTATCCAAATAAACATATGAATTACAATCCAATCTCAACAAAATTTTGATCGCATCGATGGAACGCATCCGTTAATAAGAGTTAAAGCTTGAAATGCGAATATCTCGAGAGTGACATATCTAAAGACGACCTTGCAAGGCGTCACATTGACTGCATTTTCCCGATCCGTTGCTATAGAGTGCGGTTTACCACACATTACTACATTTGGCTTTGCGGTTTATTAATCATAACAGGTAAATGTGAAACAAAACTTTCTGCAGAGGCACCTCTAAATAGCATTATGCGGGTCACTCTGTAATTGGGCGCATGCCTGTTGAGGGCCCAAACCAGAGAGGGATAATAAAATAAAAATAAAAATAAAATAAAACATTATAATATTTTACCCGAAATCGTCATGGAACCCTACTTTATGTCAGGAAATTTTAGTTTCCATGACAGAGGCAGTAAAATTTTACCACACAACTTTTCCTACAGCCTATCACTTTACCGACAGCACCTGTCACTTTTCCCACCGCACCTGTCACATTGCTAAACGTCCATAATGACCCCTGTCATCACTGACAGATTGACATTAATCATATGTTATTTTATATTACAATACAACCGGTGCGGCCGGTAAAGTGAGAGGTGCGACCACGGCAGGAAACGTAGTCTGCTTTGCCTCTCTTAAGAAAACTAAAATTTCCTGACAGAAAGTAGGCATGCGGTGCCAATGAAGGTTTCATGACGACCTTGGGTAAATAACTATTAAGGTAAGGTCGGCGGCCGCCGTTGACGGTCGCTATGGAAACCGCGTCCATAATAGGCCCGCCGTTGACACCTGACAGCGACCGTCAGCGGCGGCCAGCGACGCTCCAGCGAAACCGCGAGGTAAGTGAGTTTTTACTGGCGATGGGAGAAGTTGACCGGCGAGTCGTTAGGCTATATTTAGCTCATCTTCATCATTGTTTATACAAATATATTTACCCTTAATATAAATAAATAAAATATAAAGCGTTTAAACTTATTCAGACTCAGTTGAACGGCGTTAGATTAATGACGGTGGTACTGTAATTAGAATCCAAGATCGTAGATGTGAAACAACGTTAGATACAGATTGATTTATAGCTTGTGTACTAATTAACCGCGGGATATGGATATTTGTCAAAGAGTCTTGGAATGAAACAAATTGAATAAACAGTTGTAGGTACATATTTTGTATCAAAGGTGCTTTGCCATCAATGGTACTGTTTTAGCACCACAAAGAAGACATGGGTGTTCATCTAACGAAACCCAGTCAAGTACAGTCAAGGTAGGTAATACGATAAAATAAAGTTGATGAAGAATGTGTATTTCTTGTAAATAAATGTGATGATTACATCTTGCGGCAGAAAGATGGTGGATGTAAAATGATGATATTAACAAGTGCAGACAAGTGCATTATGTATGTATTTAAAACCACTATAAATGCTTATGATGATTATGATTTATGATTATGCAAAGACCACAGCTAACAGCATTAATTAGTATGGTTTACGCCTTTAAATTGTCTAAGATCCATTTTAAGTGCGATTCAACTCTTGTGAAGACGTATGGAAAATCGGTCATTCTACAACTTCTTGGCCCAAATGAAAAAATACCATACTGCACGTTATGAATGTCGCCATCTAAAATTGTTTCTATTTGCAATGGATCACCACTGTTACCGTAACATATTTGCTCATGTTTTTGAGTTGCGCACAGATGGTCCTCATTTATTTGCATCGGCAATACCGGTGCATACGCCTTTTGGCATTGCTCTTGCGAAACAATTTCATTTGTTATCTTATGTAGTTCGGCACTTTTCACGCCTAAGACAAAGCACAAGGTAAATTCATTGTTATTGTTTTTATTTCATACCTGTAAGTCCCCAACTTGTTACGGTAAACCATCTGGTAGTGTTTTTAAGAGTCGTGTATACCGGGAGGCAAATTGGTTGTACATTTTCTAAAATACTCATTCAACTGCCTTAATTGTTAAAATCTAAACGATACTTACCAGCAACGACATTTAGCGGCCTTTCTAAACGAATTAAACCGATATCATTTGTGAAACTTTTTAGGTTGTATCCAGGATGTGCAATAATTTCTTCAATGCCAATGTCTTGTACTGGGGGTGCACACATTTTTGTATTATAAGCAGTAACATCTTCGCCTTCACAATCCACCAACGTATTCAAATTGTGTTCTCCGCAACGGACTTCCTTTCTGAAATTTGCAAGCTTAATATTTAAATGTCGAAAACTTAAAATTTACAATTTAATTTCGCGGTTCTTCGACAGACAATGAGCAGACGTTAAAATATATCGGTTATTGATAACGGAACCACTGCAACGAAATTCTGTTCCATTTGCTATAAAAAGGTCATTACATATAAACGGAGCGGCAACAGGCATACTTACGAGTTTCATAAGACAGTAAGGCCATCCAAGGTACTTCAAAGAGAGAAGCTATGTTTCCCCCAAGAAGGCGATCTCTGACAGATAATCCGCAGTCTTTGGGCAATAAATGGAAATTTTTGTGTTTTGTTATTGAATCTCCATCATTGACGTGATCTCCTATATATATTACACCATTTGAGGGACAGCACACTTGAACATCTTTTCCTTTAAAACCGCAATGATATTCATGTAATCGTTTCGAAATTTCTGGCGTTATTACTGGTACCGAGGATAGATAATTTAATAATGGCTTACACTCCTTTATAGATATACACAAGCCCGCTTCTTTAGTTAGAGTACGGCAATCGGTGTAGTCGGATAATGTCTCTATAAATAAATTTGTCATAATCCTATTTGTATAGCAAGGTGTATTTCAACGAACATTTAGGTCATGTAGTACGTGATGTACTGAAATATGAACAAGTAGGTACTCACGCTTAAACCGTAAAAGAACCGACAAGTGCCTGTCAGAATTAATTCAGGCAAATAAGGAGGAATTTTGCTTATATCCATAAAACTTCAATTTTCCAGAAAACACGCTGTATATGCTCAGCGTCATTTTCGCTTAAAATTAATAGCGCTCCAAAAAACTCGGAAGAATCGTGAAAACTCTGCTACGTGTTTTTAGATTTTTACCCAAAAAGGTTCCAGATCTGCTACCAATTTTCAACTCAATTGCATCAAAATTGCGAGCTGTGTCGAGGTGACAATAGAACGATTACACACAAATAGGTACATACAGAAATTTGTGACGTCCAGGGTCTCCATCCCGAACTTCTATGGCTAAAAGTGTTTTTAATTTTTTTCTAATAAAGGGAGCTTAAATAAGCGCCTAGCCTAGACTTTTCGCTTCGATAAAATTAAGATATGCTTTATGGTTTCTTACGGCTTGACGCAGGCCTAGGGGATTGGATTAAACAATCGAAAATAATCAAAACAGCAGAAGGAAAGCGTGCACGAGTGCATAAATAGAGCAAGACATACGGCATATGGATTGTGGTCGGAATTCATTGCCTGAATTTGAATGTTTGGCAACTGGAATTTGATATGATAAACCAAATACATACAACGCAATACTGTCAATTCGATTATTTATTACAAAAATTTAAATCTTACCTGACTTCAGATAGTCGAAGGCTAACAACCAAGTAATTATACTTAGCCAAGAAACTCGAAAGGTTGCGGTGCACATTATGGCAAAATAGAGTAACTAACTTATCCGCACAACTGGCAAGGATTTGCACGACAATTCCGTATACTACATTCCTTGCCGACAAAAATAATATTGTTGATCTGACGTAGAAAATTTCCCGGCCTCTTTCAAGGTATTTGATGTTTTAGTTGCAACTTTTTTTATTTTGCTTCGTTTCTAAGGTGGGGGTAGTAAGACTTCATCCTTTCTCTATTATGCACGTAAAATCCATTCCATCAACTCTACATCACGTGTTAAACTTTCAGAATGGTCCATATATTTTTTATTTTATGTGATAATCGCACTTACATGCCGACCTTCATTTCAGATAATCTTAATTTTTTACGATAATTAATTATAGTTCAGTTTTTTCTCCATTTGTAGATAGTTAATTCGTCAGCTTGAAACTGGGAAAAACTTGTGCAAGTGATTATAGTCTTAATCGCCCGGGTGCAGTGGCAAGAGGGCCCAGGACATTTCGCCGAATGCCCACAACGCCGACACGATATTTTGATGGTACATATCGCCGACTAGGGACACTACGCCGATAGACACAAGGCCGACCGTGCCCAGAAGTGGTCTCAGCAATGGAGTGGACGCCAAAACCGTACCTGGTTTTAAACGGCGTGATGGTAATCAACTTTCCGAAAACGAAACTTATTGAGATTGATCTGCACCAAGTCCTGTTGATCCCCAGGCCCTATATTTTCCGCAATTATGAAAGTTTCAGTTGCTCCTCCATCAGCATAGGAATCTTGGAATTTCACGCTGTTACCTTCCACTCTGAGGTTATACTCACGCAGATCAATCTTTGCTTAATACCTTCCCACTAAATGTACATCGTTTATATAGTCCACATTTGAATCAGGCCAATAAATCGCGCCATCGTGTTATGTTATGTTATGTTATTGCAAAAAGAGTATTACTCTTTGGTTATTGTAACTAGGAACGCGAAATATCCCATTAGTTGGACAATAACAACGAGATAAATCTTATTACTGATAGCATTGAGTTTATAACTATATATATCGGTTATTAGTGTGTACCTCAAGTCAATGCTGATAGCTGATAGTAAGTATTTGACAACCCATCAAAATCCACTTAATCCACTCATGGGAATAATCCGTTTTAACTGTAGGACTCCTCACCTCTTCTGAGGACGATTCGATTCGAATTACAATCAAGGAAGTAAACATCTGGAACAAAATTTTACGGTTAGGGGTCGGTCGGGGGATCGGTGAAACAGGCGGTCTTCTTTCCTGTCCTACTGGGCGATCAGTTTCAAATGAAGCGTAAGCGACAAGGATATCATAGTGAGAAAGAGCGATACCAACTCTGATCAAGTATGGGGACTTTACAGAACGCTTTCGGATTTGTTACAGGGAATGGTGCAAGGTGAAGGAAGAGAACCATAATAATAATAATTCATTGGCGTAATTAGAAAATGTAGATTTCAGATATAATGGTTTAATAATGCTTATGGTTTTAAATTGTCTAAAATCCATTCGAGATACGGTCCAATTTTTGTATAAACTCCGGGAAATCCATTATTTCCGCATCTCCTAGGCCCAAACGAAACTATACCATATTGCACAAAACGATCTTCGTCAATAAACGATTCTATTCCTTGCAAAGGCCCGCCACTATCGCCGCCACACGAGTCTACCGTACCTCCACCGCACAATTGCGTGTTATACAATCTTAGTCGGGCGCGTGCATACATCATCTGGCAATATTTCTGTGAAGAAATTCGAAAATCTCCCTTTAGTAAGTCCGCGCTTCTGGAACCTGTAAACGAGAGGTGTTTTACTTGTAGCTCTACACGTCTTGTTACCTGTTTCTGTCAAGCCCCAACCGGTTACTGTTAAAACTCGGAAAGTAAGATCGGCTCTTAGTAGATCGTTGTCTGTTGGTAGACAAATCGGTTTAACATTTTCTGGAAAATTAAACACTATTAATGATAAATGAATTACTCCAACTAAACCAAAATTTGCTTGTATATGCCATGTGTATACTAGTAGTGCTGGGACCTAGTAATTAAGTTATTGGAATATTTCGACCATTAGGATACTCCACAAATCGATACCACATTCGACTTTTACAAAATGACTGTAAAGTTATTAAAAAAGCTGGGCACTTTTTAAGTTTCAGGAAAACACCGAAAAGTGGTAATAAATTTATGGTCACAATTTTACTTACCCACGCTGAAATTTAGGGGAGCAACCAAACGAATTAAGCCAATGTCATTGCTCAAAGCCATTCGATTATAGTTTGGATGTGGAATAACTTCTTCGATGGCAATATCTTGTACCGGAGAGGCACAAATTTGAAAAAGGCCGTTGTTATAGTCTTGACAGTCTATAGAGGAACTAATATTATATTCTCCACTACGTACGAAGACCCTAAAATTAGATTGCTGTTAATCTTGAATCAAAAGGCTTATTTACAGTTGTAAAGGTTGAAGCTGCGTTATGCAATGTGCAGCTGTCAAAATGTATCGGCTGTTAATAATAGAGCCACCACATCGGAATTCAACAATATTCTCTAAAAAGGAAAACGGTAACTAGTATCTAAAGCGAAACACACTTACGTGATCTATAAGCTAAAAGGGCCATCCACGGAAATTCAAATAGGGTGGTTTTATTTCCACCTATAATTCGATTGCCTCCAGGTAGTTCGCCGCAATTTTCGGGTAATAAGTCTATATTTCGATGCTGCACAACATTTCGACTGAACATTTTTCTCACTTCGTTGATTATGATTGGTTCTTTTGGACAACATACCATAATATCATTTTGTGTAAGATCACATTGAAATTCATTTAGCATTTCTGATATTTCTTGCGTTATTGAGGGTACACGTTGAAGGTAATCTATCATGGGGAGGCACATTTTTATAGGGACACAAGTTCCTATTCTTTTGTGGGGTGTTGTACAGCTCTTTGGCTCGATTGTTTCGAGTTTTTGCGTTGCGTTTATTATTATTGGGCCATTTGGGCAGCAGACCATAATCTCTTGTATTGTAGGATCGCAGCGATATCGAATTAACATGTCAGCAATTTCGTGAGTTATTGAAGGTGCTTGTAGAAGATAATGGACCATGGGTTGGCATAGTTTTACAGGTATACAGGTTCCCGTTCTTTTATCTGGTGCTGTACAGAGCCGTGCTTCAAATGCATTTTCTAAAAAAAATAACAGTAGGTAAATAATAAGCATTTTAAAGTTAATTGATTAAGAAACTTACGTGCGTTAAGCGGTTTTAGTGTTAAGCACGATATAAGAAAAATTAACCAAATCATTGGTACCTTTAGCAATCACATCTATTGACTTCTATAAAAACGGGGCTACTGAACTTTTTGAAGTTTTTAATTATTACATAACGACTTAAATACATTTTATGTTGACCTCTAACAAGTATTCCACATTGGTATTGGTCTGTGGAAATTTGTACCGACATGAAAATTATCACGCATTATCACCACAACTTGTATCCGCTGTATATTTATTCACCACAGGTTTAGATAAAGTTTCTTCTGAATTAAGGACTAAAATGTAAAAGGACCCTATGTACGAGGTTTGGGGCTAAAAATATAGTTACGTTTAGTTTATTAATATACTTTCAAAATAATCAACAGATTGACGAATACAAAATAAACTCGAACGTTAAGGGTGGTTGATCTGAGACGAAATTGCCAAATCTTCGAAGACGAACCTTTGCATCTTAGTACGTTCAGGTTCGTTTGGCATTTACCCGTGTAGGAGCAGGAAAGAATAACCCTAAGTACTCTAGAAACACTAAATGACTTTTAGGAATAACATGCTAATCACAAACTTGATTCAATCCGGAAAATAATATAATTGAACCAATTTCGTTAACCCCGCTCCAAGGATTGTTTAACTGTAGGTTATCTCAGTTAACGGAGAAACTTGGAACAACAAAATTCCTTTCAAACTCACCAAATTTAACCTACCTCCGATTACTACGAGGGTTATTTGGACAATAATTCATTTGATGTTAAACAGAAAGGAAGTTTAAAGCTAGCTTAGCATGCGCATTTAACCTCTCGTATTTTTTTTATATTAACAATGCATTAATAGAAATTCGCTAAATAAACTTGGAAAATACTGTGGTTCTTAAACCAACTAGAATTTAAATGTACATGAGAAAATCAAAATGTTACAATCTATAGAGAATCTCGGCTTGAAAAGTGATTTTAAAAACCGGTTTCACAATTTTGCTCCTTAGCTCATCAAGTAGTTACACCTCAAATTTCGTGGAATTATCTCAATTTTCGTCGTCCGACCAAGAATTGGAGTGAATTTTTTTCCAATGTTCATGAACTAATTTCATATTCGCGATTTTCACGTTCAAAAACCTCCAGATACCAAATTTCATTGAAATCACAATTTTTTTATTCAAAGACGTGTCACCAGTCTTATTATATTAGATAAAATTAAAGAATAAATGCAAATTTGACCACTCCAAACCAAACACGTTAGACCTTCGGTTTATTCATAAAAAGTGCTTGTTTTGATCCCCTCTACCCCCAAAATTTTCTTATATACTTATATGTAACACCCTTTATATTACTTGTTCGTGCATGAATTTGGTGATTCATATCGCCACAGTCGGTCGTTATGATATGATAGTAGGACTCGAAATTGGGAACGCGTGCGAGAGCACATTATCCACAAAGATCCCACGAGGAGAATGGGATGTATAGGTGATCGGATCAGGGCCAGGAGCATCGGTTACGGCAAGGGATGTGGGCGATTAGCCACGGATAGGACGGTCCTATATACCGTCTACTTTACTCAGAATGTAGAAGAAAAGATCACCGAGCGGGAAGTAAAGGTCAAGAATACACCTAAGAGCAAAGCTTCTGGCCCAGACGAAATGCCGGGTCTGGTCGTCAAATCGGTGACAGAACGTCAGTTGGATTTGTGGGCCCCAATCGTTACTTCGTATTTTAGTAGTATAGTGAGGAATTTTCCGAAGTGTTGAAGTGCGGTACTTTAGTGCTAATCCCGAGGAGTAGCCTGTCCTTTAGATTAGACAAATTTACCTGCTTGACTTTGCCGAAAAACTACTGGAGCACGTCGTGCAAGCGAAATTGCTGCAGCAGGTGGACGGTAAGTTGTCGAGCAGGTAGTGTGGATCTAGGAGGGGGAATCAACGATCCAAGTTTTGGAGACAATTACAGGTGTCGTGGCAGAAGTCAATAGGGGTGAGTGGCGAACGAGGAGGGTCTGTTTGGTAGCCTCTTTAGACCTAAGAAATGCATTCAACCTCACTCTGGTGCCCGAAAAGATGGCTTTGGTGCTCATGACGTACAGGGCTCCGTCAGAGTGGACATTTTGAGTCAGGATCGAAACCGGTAGGTCCCTTAACGTCCTTGGGATACGCTTACCGATGTAAGTATACACGTGTGGCGAAGGAAAAAGTCATGGAGCAATCGGGGGCATTAGGACGGGTCATGAAAAACTCAGAGGGAGTAGCAAAGGGGTCTAAAAGAAGTTGCTGAGCCTGCGCTAAGCGTGCGCACATCAATGTTGTTAAGGCTCATGGCAATAATGATATGTTTCGCCTGCCTACCAGACGGTGACCCTGCATGGCGTGTCATCGCGGGTTACCCTCGGCCAAAATTCAAAAGGTGGCGCAGGCTGTGAGAAGTAAAAAATGAATAAGATCCTGGAAGAGCAACAACAGTGTAGTGTTTTAAGAACGATCTTTAACTTAAATAACAATTTTATTAACGGAAAAGCAGTTATACACATCTTGATATTTCATTTCCATATTATACAGGGAATTTGTATTAAATGTAAAGATATGGTCTATGCATAATTAAAAAAGAAGCCAATCAATGGTATGGTTTCATTGATTAGCGACGCATAATAAGCCTTTGTTTCTATTGTCTATTTCTTAATGATAGTGAACTAATGATAATGATTGTATACATACATCAACCATAAGTATTGCATAGTGAAGGGCGAATCTGTGCAAAACTGTCATAAATTCAGCAATTAAGATGAAGATGCCATAACATGACCATTATTGTGACTATATCTTTGCTCATTTGAATATTAAACATGTTATTTTAATTAATTCATAATTTACAAACCGCAAATTAATTTGCATAATGTTCTTCTGTTTTCATAATATCAATTACTCACACTTGTGCTCATGCAATCAGTTACATGTAACGAAATTGTGCGAAAAATGACAATAATTGATAACGCAGACTAGGATTTTTATGGATCAAAAATCGTCAGAATTAGTAGATCACTGACAGACTACAAAGCACTTGTATAGGCAAATCCTCTGAAGCGTATACCTACACTCGAAGGTTAACCACTCTTCTTCCTTTGAAGAGTTTGTACGCCTGTGACCTGGCACATTGTTCGGCGCTCGTTCTTTCCATATTCGATAATCACCTTTGAATATAGACTCAGCGCGTTCTTCTTCACCCAGCTTTTTTAAAAAAGGGAAGAGACCTGTGAATTAAATTAACAAAAAAAGGAACCCTGGACTTAACGTAGTAGCGTAGCCTAATTCTTAAGAAACAATTTACAGTTACTGTCGATGATACCAGCGGATATGGAACCACAGTATAAATAACAGTATTGAATATACATTTACTATTAGCCACAGGAAATGAGAAATGTAAGTAGTTGGCAGCTTCAGTTGTTATGTTTGTGATGCAACAAAATATCAATGAATAATAAATTTCTTCATGCAAATTTGCACGGACGTGGCCATTCACGCGTTAACTCTATCCAAAAACCACTTTTCGTAATTACATTAACAATAACAATTCTGAATGATATGCAAGCACTAACTTATAAATAGAAGCAATGATAGTGTGAATTGTAAAGCAAATAATTCTTACATTTTAACCACCGACATTAAGGTTTGGCAGATTCGCTGCTTTTATGCTTTGTATCACCAGTAAACTATGGATACATTTGTATATTTTTGTTCATGTTAAAAAGATGCTAGGGGGAAGACCTGTGCAATTTAACATGTAAGACGTCGGTACCATGGCTGTACTTTATGTCTTGAAAACATAACAAACAGTAGAATTTCAATTCTAATTCATCCAATCCAGAATATGTTGAGCTACAGGCGCAATATTGGCTTTCAGAATGCACCCAATTTGTTTTATCTGAAATACCAATCAAGAAATTTATGTTTGGGGCCTTGGGGGGTAGATATGGAGCAATTATTGACTAGTATCATTATTACAGTCATTGTGTGAGGAATGCAAAGCAATAAAACCTTGTTCTTAAACATTAATTACAAACTTTGATAGTAATTACTTGGTAGTTGGAATATACTTTACATTTATGGACCCAAATCTCCCTCCACCCTTGTTATTGTTTTTTATAGTGGTGCGAAGATTTAATTTTAATAATTTTTCTTTTAATTTATTAATGCAATTCGCTTTTTTCATTGACATAACTGTAGGTATGTTACAAAGGATAATGTTATACTAGCTATATTTATTTGATTATAACCACTTCATTATTCTGTAGTATACTGATGAATTCTTTTAACAAATCATTTGCTTCCTTCATTAATAACGACACCCACTCAGGTTTGTCATTTTGAGTAAGTACTTCTTCTTATGAACAGCTTGTTCCTGGAGACTCTAAACCACTCATGTACTAAGAACCGTTTTTGGATTTCTTAACGTATTTTCGTCCGATTTTTGGGTGGGTCATATTGAGTATCCATTGAGTATCTTATCACCAATCACAGTTTGTAACAGGTCGTCTCTTTAGGTTTAGAAAGATTTGGTTTTGAATTTACAAATTTGCCAGTATTGGAAATTTTATAGGTGTACTGCTTCGTAGTTACAGAGTTAAAAGGCCGGTTCTAAAGACCTTTCCCACGGAGCATGAGGATCGGCGAATTACAAGGGAAAAGTGTGCCGCCATTTCGACTAAATTATTGTCGTGTGTATGTAAATTCATTGCGAGTTATCATTACGAATAGAACTAATATAAAGTGGCGAAACTTCGCTGTGTGGAGGAATCGACGGTTTGATTCGCGTGATATTTACCACGAAAGGGTTGTGGTCCTGGGTGCGGAAATTAACCGACCCGATAGCATGGAGGCGCTTAATAAGAACAACTAAAATGCGTCATTTCGTAGTAGTTTACAAGGTGTAATGCATCTCTTTTATGCTGCACCGATGGGTGCATGGGGTCGTAAAATTTGAAACCAAAATTGAAATGTAACAGCGTTATTTAAGAAAAAAAATGCTATATTCTCTAAAAAAGGGAGAAAGTGAAATTTGCAAGTACCTTCATGAAAATTAAACAAATATCTAGGATATAACATATAACAGCGCCAAATCACTGACCATTTAAATTCAGTATGACCATTGGACAACGGTTCGTTACTCATGAAACGTTCAATGAACAAATCCACTATAATTTTATTGCTAAGAGAAAATTCGAGCCTACAAACTGGGATCCCTGCCTACTAATCGTTGATTGTATTGAAAACAATTTATAACATTGGTTTTGGATTGGTTGACAACTCGCCCTACCCTGATCACTGTTAGACTACTATTTATTCCCAAATGTCGACAAAACATCTGAAGGGTAACAGATTTTCAAGAAATAACCAAACCCTATACCGTTTAGAAGTGGTTTGCATACCAAGATCAAGAATTCTTGCAAGAATTTAGAATTAGTTTTGCCAAATGAGTAACTCTAATAGAATATTATGTTGCTTAAACAAAATTTTGCTTTAAAATATTGTGGCGTTTTATATGACAGGTCAGATAGGTATCAATACCGTTGGGAAACGTACATATAACAATATACGGGGTGTCCCAGTTGGAGTGAAAATGCATGAGTAACTTTGTTAATATTATTATTATATTAAGGTACAGTTTCGCAGTTTGCTTATTACAAATCAGTTTGGAAAATTTGAAACTATTTAGTAATTGAACCATCGGATTTCAGAAAATAAATATTCATTAGAAAGGCTGTGACAAAAAGTGTCATAATTTTGATTTCCAAAGCCAAAATAACGTAAAAAAAAATTAATTAAAAAATTTAAATTGAAAATAACTGTTATTCACATACGAATATCAACCTTCTCATTATGGCTCGGTTTTCTCATCCATTAATTCGTCTTGACAACGATTACATCAACAATGATACCGACTCATGGAGTTTAAACGTAAAGTTATTGGGAGAACCGGGCCTAATTAGCGAAATATTAGATACTTTACTCCATTTTTGGGTTTGTTTTATAATAATAATCTTTATCTTTATTGTCCAAACAGGTGTAATAACAAAACCCTAGAATAGGACAAAATTATAAGTGAGAGAGTAAAAAATTAATGAAGTAACTAACTCGTAAAAAAAATAACTAAGTAATATAATTAAGAATGATAGGTAAAGGAGTGTGAAAAATATCTACATGACTTGAAATATCATTGTATAAATCCGTGAGCTTTGTCTGATATTGGTTCTACATCTTGGCAATTGAAATGTGATTTTATCAAAATGAGAAATTATGTCCTAATCTTTTATTATCTACAGAGGTATTTAATTATTTTGGGAACCGGCGGTTTTCAGTTTCTTTTTGGGTCCGAATTTTAAAATTTTGTGAACGGTATTTCAATCAGCATACATTTCAAAACTTTGCCCATATAACCTAATTTCTCCAATAACCACGTATTACACAACATTACACTATTATACCTAACTATTCCAATGTGAAGAAGGTTAATGAGTTTTTATGAAATTGAGATTCATCGTTTATTAAATCCCTAAAAACCTAAGGTACCTACACCTGAACCTCGACGCAAAAAAACTGTACCCAAAAATGTTTCAACGTTAAGTTCGCTGGAGAAACATTATTTTACTTTCGAAGAAGTAGTCATTAGTATGAACATTCTTTTACCTTTATTATTGATGACATGTTACAATAAACACTGGAAAGCACGCAAACTTTTCAATGATTTTCCCAAACCCTACTTGCAGATATCTGCATCAACTTGCATCAGCTTTGCAAAGAAATTATTTGCATATATAAAACCCAAACGTTGTGATGCTTAATATCATCATAATTACTGCACCTGATTTGGTTCAGAATCTGGAATTAAAGGAATTCTTCGCGGTGTAACTGATAATCTTTAATTTAACCTTGCTTTTGTTTTTATGAATTAAATACGATTTTTCATTCGTATTGACTTTCATAAATTATACAAAGCACTAATTGCACGTTTACAGTTGAGTCACTTCGATTTGGCGTGTGGATTCCTCGGTAAGTAAGAAGTGGCGAAGGACTTATGTACACGCTACCTTCACGACTTCCTGTTGAGTCAACGGTTGGAAAAAGACGGGTTCACTTAGTCTTTTCACATTTCAGTTTGAAATTATGATGGCATCGATCTGATATTGGTACCTACAGTTTTCTGTGAGCAACTGTTTGACCCATGGGTTCAAAGAGGAAATGATTTCGCCACAAACACTAATAAAGCAAATTGTTTATATTTTAATTAAATTATTTACAATAGAAATAAATTAAACTTAAAAGTAATCTTTTTTGGTTCATTGAGGCGTTCAAGGGCGAATAACTGACAAAATCCAGTCTGTGTAGTAATCAACTCTTGTATAAACCGAAGGCAGACCTTGACCACAAGATCTTGGTCCATACGATACAATGCCATATTGCGTGAATCTGATATCGTTTTGGTAGCTCACGACGTTTTGGAGAGGTCCACCGCTGTCACCATTGCAGGAGTCCTTTTTAATTTGACCCCCCACGCAAAATTGCTGATTTGCATCGATATTTACCGACAGTAACTTATACGTTGAGGTACAGTTGCTAATACTCAAAACGGGTAAGTCGACTTTTAATTTTTCCGGACTGGGTTGCTCTGCAACGTTTTGGGCTTAAATTGTGCGCGCGGCTTGTGTAAGTACTTACTTCGTTCGGTAAGGCCCCAACCGGTCACTATAAAATTATCATTGACGTAGTTACGGTTCCTCGATTCATTAGTGACCGGTAGACAGATTGGTTTGGCCGTTTCTGCAATGATTATTTTTAACTGCCCAGGAATACAATGCAATATTTGCAAGCATACCCACGCTCGTATTTACAGGTTGCGCCAATCGAATTAGAGCAATGTCGTTAGATTTCAGCGATGAACTAAATTGGGGATGCGGAATCAACTCCGCTATCGCAATATCCTGTACGGGAGGTGCACAAACTTTGTAAGCCTTATCCATGGACATCGTTTCGCAGTCGATGGGGGTGTCAATATTATGTTCGCCCAAGCGCACTACAACACTAAATGGAAATGATAACCAGTGACTTCCAAAATTGTTGCGACTTACGGTTTCTCCTGGAAGCAGTGGGCTGCTGTGAGAATGTAGTTTTCATTAATGATCGTTCCGCCACATCTAAATTTAACATCATCACCTGCAAACTGTGGATTAGGTCAGGTCACGGCCGAAAAAACTTACCTTCTTTGTAACCCAGCAGGGCCATCCACGGATAATCAAATATTGAGGTCTTGGAACCGCCGACAATGTAATTTTGAGTATTTAAAAAACCACAATTCGATGGCAGCAAACTTAGTTTGTAGTCTCTTTCCAACTTCGACGTTTCGGAATTTTCATCTACGATAGATCTGGGAAATACGATTGGCTCATCCGCACAGCACACTTTAACTGCATTTCCCTCAACTCCGCAATAATATTTAAATAGGGCATCGGAAATTTCGGGTGTTATTTTGGTGATTGTTTTCATGTATTCAATAATATTGTAGCAGCTGTAAATCTTTGTGCAGATTCCAGGGTTTCCGTTTGGTGTGATACAACCGTCATCGTCGATGCCCCAATCTGTAAAATAACGCACAATTACACTTTCTGAAAAATTCATGGTAACAAAAGGCTAAACCATGATAAAGTATTGATGATACTGTCGAAATTAAATTAGTTCATGGTTCCGGTGATAGCAACAATCTCTTCGAATAAACACATGTTTTTTTTCTCACATTGTGAATTAAAAAAAATCCAATTAGTATCTATTAGCTACAGTCGATTGAAAATATATTAACACGAAGGTAAGCAACTCCTACTACTACTACAGGTTATCGACTGGAAGTAAAATTTAAACTAGGCATTCGTTAATTATAATTTTCGTCACTTACGTGCTTCTGATAATTGGCCCATGACCAAAACGGCGATAACACACCAAAACAAATTTTGCGCAAATGAAGAACCCATTGGAACTGTTTCAATGGCAACTCTCAACTGAGTTATCACAACAACGTGCACGGCTTAAACGTTCCTGCTATTTATTTATTCGTCGATCGTTTAGGTTTTTTACAAAATACGGGAGTTGTGTGTAATATGCTACCTCAATCTCTTTTTTTGAAGAAATGATTCATTCTTTTACACAATCTCGCTGTATATGCATACTATAAATACCGAGCAGTTTCTAAAAATTCAGTGGAAAGGAAGTGCCGATAACCACAACGGTGGAAACTACAATTTATTTACATTTTGACGTCTCGAGTAATACGGTAGTAAAGAGAAATTTCCCTCCACGGAAATTCTAAGATTTTACGAAGATTTCCAAAAATTGTGAGAATTCTTCTCAGATGTGAGTCTTTCATAATAATTAGGTCAGTGTCATCTTTGCTTTATCGCGTTTGGTACTGAGAAGGCAAGACTACCGACGCGACGCGACGTTCTTAGTAGAGTGAGAATGCGGATCTGTTTTTTGAAATTCAGTGTAAGTACTTCAGAAGGCGTAGCAATTATCTGAATTCGTATAACGGATTTGGCCGATTGTTGAATGCATAAATATTTATCGGAATCATTATCGAAAACGTTTTGCGTTGGACCGCTGATCTAGAAACGCTAACAACTGATTGGATGACGGATGTAGACAAACCATCATAACCCCGATCTATCTCATTTGACTTAATCAGTCTCAAGCAAAAAGTGGGTTAATTTGCAATACTGATTGAAAATCTGAAAAATCAATCTCGTGTGTGGCTTATACCTCGGCTTATACGTCAATCCATTTCGATGGTCAGCACATTCGTCATATACTTTTGGTTTAGAATTCGCAATATTTCGGTCATGGTGCATAATGAGAATTGTTGCATCATGTTGCAAGTAATTTTATGATTTATAGCTGACCTACCACTTTTCCGCCCTTCCAATTTTTGGGTCGTTACGACCTTAAAACATTTTCAGAAACCATACTTAAACACAGTTATACCCCGGTGCTTTAAGCTCACCTACACATATGTAAAGATGGACACCTACCTTGATTAAGCAGCAGAACAAAGCAATGCAACCTTTATAGGGGAGTCAATGGTGGCCGTCTGTCCATCGGTCCGTGAAAACCAGAACTGTCAAACTCTTGAGCCGATTCCGTTCAAACTGTGCCCAGTTGACCTATACATATACCACATGCAACAAGCCGATTGAAAATTGGTCAAATCCAATGACTCGATAGGGTCATCCCGAGGTGCTCTGTCGTTTTTTTAGATCCGCGTTAGGGGTTCATTTTAAAGCAACGCTTCTCTCACCTTAAAAAATGGTACCGTTCAGTCCAGAATTCCAAAAATCTATTTTTAGTGGGCACCGATATACCAAAGAATTTGGAGTCATTTGGAATTGAAACAAGATACGGAGAAACGCATGGGATTTTCAGTAGGGGAATTTCTTGCCACTCAGCTCGTATCCGGAAACCAGACTTTTGATCCGGTTCATATTCAATAGCAGTGATCCTTGAACTCGTAGAAATCGATTGGCGAAGGTTTGACATCGTTGTCTCTTTTCGTTCTCGAGTTACAAGGGGAACAGACAGACGGACGAAACCATCACATAATAGGTATTAATTATGGAGTTTGGTTTTGCTACTGCCATAGCATCATAATAACTAAAAAAATTACTCGAAGTAATCCATTAATTATCTCTTAGATTTGTGAAACTTCTTTTTTATTTTTTTTCACTAGTCATTGTGCTATCGATCTCAATTAAAGCTCAATTAAATCTTTTGCAAACGTATCGAGAAGGCAACGACCAAGAATTAAGGTATTCGAAGGTATTACAATTTCTTTTGTAGCCTGATTGCATATATGTTTAATCATTAGCTTTTAATTTGATTTATGCGCTCACGTTATTAATTATAAAAAACAAAATAACACTACTCTGTGTCATTTCCTAGGTATTCGCATTTATATTGCACATTTTAAATTTCAAATGAAATTCTTTCGCAATTATTTAGAAAATTACTGGATAGGATGGATTAATTCGAGTGATTTTTTTGTCAGTACCTTATTACTCCATAATTAATACCTTTTTTTCCATTTTAAATAGGTTAAAATTCTATGGTATACCCTGCCCTTAAAGTGATATTAGTTTTCCTTTGTGGCCTTTGAGTTCCATTTTAAATGGACTACGAACACCATTGTTCCTTTCCAAAAATGTATTGCCGGAAATTCATTTTCAAATTTTCTCAATGTGCTCGGTGGTTTTCAATATTACAGTTTTGTCATTCCCATCTAGAGGAAAATCTTGGAGACAGTGTTAGTTCTGTCGACAGGTTGGAAAAAACTGGGGTTAGAAGGAAAGATGTCGAAAGTTGATGAAATTTTGGGATGTAGTTGAAGGAAGGTTAATTAACATTTTCTCACGTCTTAGACCTCGAGGACCTTGTGTGAAAAGAAGAGGGGGAAAAATTACAACATTTTTGACATACTGCCCTCGTATCTTTTCAATTTCACACGGGCAGAGATAAGTTAAAAGTTGAGTGGCGCTCAACCTTTGGTAGGTGCAACGAGGTACAAAGATCATTTTACCCAGAACGAACTACCGCTGTGAAAGATTCTCAATCTCTTATTTTGCGTTTAACTCAGAGCGAATGTTTCATGACGATTTTGGGTAACATTTTTTCGATGGGGTATCGTATTCGTAGAAGACAAGTAACAAGTGGATCGCTTATAATAAGAGGGCGTAAATAATTCCAGTGTCTGTGACATGCAGTCTTGTTTTCTACAGGAGAATCAGCACGGTGCATGGAGAGTTTGAATTTGTACTTCAGTTTGCAGATTTCATAATTCGAAGTATGATAAATGCAGTACCGTTAGTGATTTCGGAACCGATAGGTTCTGCAAGGCATAGGCATAGGCAAGTGCAGTTCCAACGCGAACATCTTTTTACATCGTTTCGGTATTTCTTAACCCATAATGACCAAAATGGAGTTTTCAGTTATACATAAACACCCAAGACGTTTAACATGAGTCTTAAACGTTGTAAACACATACCGAGAATTTCATTACGTATAGGACAAGGCCATAAAAGAATAAACCATTCAGATGAATATTTAGCCATTCGTACTATAAAAGCATTTGCATACTTGCTTGTTTAGAAACACGTAAGGATTAAAATTTATGCCACATGTGACCACTATACGCTCTCTGCTTTGCTTGTTTGATAAACGGTAATTACCATCATATTCCTTTAGCTTAGAAAATCTTGCGCAACTATCCAACAAGTAGGTTATGCCATGGTAAACTGGTACGCTGAATGTTTCTTCATCATGGTCGAATGTATATTCTACTCTGGCCTATCGCGATACACTTGGTCAATGGTCATAAAACACGGCGACTAAAAATTTTGGACATGAATCTTTACACCACAAGAACAAAATTTTCATCCCATTGACGTGAATTCACCTGGAAATTAGTAACAATCGAAAATTACCCTGTGATTCATATGTACGAGTTTACCATCAGTAAAGTCGTGTGACTAATGCCTCATGATGGATGATGCACCTTGTTTACAAGCGATTAAAGAAATTATGTGCTACCATTCAAAGTTCCAAGTGTCGATGTTGGTGCCAAACAAAATGTTCAAAAATATTCAAGACTTCTTATTTTGTTTCACAGAGTTATTTTGTAGGTGACAAATAAGAGGAAGATAGGAAATTTGAAATATTAAATTTAACAACTCTTTAAGAAAAAATAGTACATTCGTATTAAAATGGGTGTGCAAGAAAACGCTTGCACGGACTTGTGTTTAAAAAACCAATTTTTGAAATAAAAAAAAATGCTTGATTTGAATAGGGTGAACAATGCGTCGACATTGTAAGGCAATTAAAAACAAGATACGAAGAATCGCATATGATTTTCAGGGGAATTTTTGGTCACTCAGCTCGCATTCGGAAACCAGACCGACTCATATTCAGTAGCACTGATCCTTCAACTCGTAGGAGTCGATCGACGCTGTCACTCTCTCTTTTCATTTTCGAATTAGATGAGGAACAGACGGACAAAACCATCACATATTTTGAAAGAAAAAAATTCCCCTAAAAAAGAAAATTAAGGTAATGTAACTCCAACATTTTACACCTTTCCCATACAGCCACCCATTTTATTTCCAGGAGTTTTAGGTCATTTTTCAAACATGAAAGCGTTTTGTTAGTCCGTCCTTTCGTATCAGGGACAGTTTTGGGACTGGACAGTCGCAGACAGTTCGTTGATGTCTCGTTATTATAGTTATATGAGTGCGGTAAGAGACGATTTTTGGACATTACTTCGGAATCATGTCCAAGTTTACCTTTATTTATAGAACAATTACGTCGCAGGACCAGCAAAACACGTCTCGATGGAAAGGAACTCACTCTAGTGCTTTTCCTATACCTACCTGTTAACACACACCTTATAATGTATCCAAACGCCCCTCTTTTTCATGCGTTTTGCTATTGATATGTGATTTTTTTTAATTAAAAGGAATGGGTATTATGCGCCAAAATACCTCCGTCCGCCTGCTCCTTAATCTCCCATGTCTTCTGTACAGGGTGTAAATCGAAAAGTGGAACATAGGCGTTTAACATGGGAAATTACTTTTTCTTTGTGCAAACGTTTCCTAATTATTTTACGCAAAAATACTTCAAATAAAAGCCATGGACTATGTTTTTCTTTTATCATAGTCCATGGCTACTTAGACTAAAAACTCGTGAAAACAGAATCTTTATAACTAATTTTTTCTATTTCGGTGTCACAATGATGATTTTGTACAACTGTTTTCGGCCAAAAACAGTTGTACAAAGACAGTGATTATAGTCGTTTTTTTTGGTAACTCATCTCTTAAGTTGGCAGTTACTAGTTTGTACAAGTAGGTACTTCGTTGGGTACTTCCATATTTGAACTTCAAAATGTCAGTTTTACTACGCTGCCAACCTAAAACTTAACGGCATAAAAAGTGTTTCCAACATAAAACATGTTAGTTCTAATGTTCCCTATAGTTTCTGATAATGATTTTTTTTATTCAATTAAAGCACCGAAATAGAAAAAATAGTATGAAAAACGCGTGTTACAATGCTTTATTGTAATACTCCTATCTTGCGGACACTCGTGCCACAAGATAGTCGTATTACAATAGGTCGCATTGTAACACTTGTCTTTCAATATACTATTTTCGCGTACAAGAAGAGGTAGAATAATCGTTTCACATGATTTAGATGCAGAATGTATATCTCTATAACTTTTATTTGAAGTATTTTTGCGTAAAATAATTAGGAAACGTTTGCGCAAAGAAAAAGTAATTTCCCATGTTAAACGCCTATGTTCCACTTTCCGATTTACACCCTGTACAGAAGACATGGGAGATTAAGGAGCAGGCGGACGGAGGTATTTTGGCGCATAATACCCATTCCTTTTAATTAAAAAATCACATATCAATGCTGCTACTTTTACTGGGAAAGGCTATTGAGACAAACTGGAAATTACATGTCAATTACGGGTCCACCTTGACAATATTTTCCACTACAAATACTACTTGTTATTAGATTTGTATTCGTAATGGTTTCTTTTGTGATACCGAGAAACGTATCAATGGCATAGTGTTTAAAGAAGAATAAGTTACCAAAAATCTTGTCTCTGAAGCAAAATAAAATCGTTCTTTGGTTGGCAATACTACGAAAAATATATATTTTTTCACTCAATTATGTCAGCTAATGCATATTTCAAAGGTCAACAGTTTATTTTTTTTATTTTATTTTGCTCTACCAACTCATTGTTTATGTCTTGTAACGAGGAGTTCAGGGGGGTCGAGGATTTTTCAATTTTGGATAAAAGTTGGCTTAAAACGTTGCGTCAAAATTGTAGGGCAGACCATGGGTGCCAAAGTATTAACGTGGGTAGGCTAAATAATTAACAACAATTAGTTATGCTAACCAGCAGTTGACAGTTAACTAATAGTATTAATCGTTACACACTTGCATCATCAATTACACAGTCTTCTTGGCTTTAGATAAAAATTCAAGAGAGGTGCAAACGTGCTGAGAACTTCATGATGTGATAGCCGATCTTTCAAATCCAGTACCATTTTTTCGTCTAAATTGCCACTATCGTAAGTGGTTAGACGTTTTATTTTTATGCGAGGATACTCATTTGCCGTTTATTTATAAATTTCAATTGACAAATTTTGTTAATTTGGAAGCTCTGGCGCATACAATAAACTATTTTTCCTACTTTTGGGAACTGGGAAGCATACAATTACAATAATAATGCTACAGTATATTGCGTTCTTCTGCCCTGAATGTTTGTTGACTAAGGATAGTGGACAAGTATCACGCCTCTGAAATACAGAGCAATCTATATGTTTAAAATAAATATAAAAACCTCAAATAGTTTGATTTTTATTCTTAATTTGCCAATTTATAACATGAAATTACAACCACCTCCTCGAAAATTTTAAATTAAAAAGGGCATGCTGTGGTACTTGTTTGAAAGGGATTTTAATTCTCTGTTTCGCAATATACCGTTTTTTTAATTATGTGCATTAATCACATTAATTTTGAAGGCTCCATCACAAAACTCTAAGCAGAATGAAGCAATTTACTAGTTAGTATACTCGTATTTTTCAATTTATAAAAAAAATGTGAACCTTGTTTCATTCTATGTCGTCTTTGTGAAGGAGACATTATCAAAATTATTTTTCCCAGTTATGACTGCATCAAGTTTAAAAAATATTATTAAGTATATTACTGAAAATAGAATTAAAAAACCCCTTTCAAGCATTAAGAGCCCACACGACTGCCCTATTATAATTTATAGATTTCGAGAAGGTGCTTATAATTCAGAGGGGGTGTTAGAGGAGGGTTACAATTGATTTAATCAAAAATTAGGGTTTTTCCCAGTAGCACATGAGAACTCTAAAAATAAAGTTATTCCATACATATGGATCAATCTGTATGTAATGCCACATTAGTGACAATACAAAAATAAAAATGTTTGGTGGAAATTGAAACGGACATTGATGATCAACCAAGCCTCAATTGCCCGCGTTCTTGTCACTTTATACTCTTCCTCGAAAACCCTAAGACTTGTGGAATAACCAACGGTATATAAAATCGTTAATATGTATTAATACTGTGAGTGTGAATTTAATCATAATTAATATATTAGGCATTTAGGGTTCTATATTATCTAAAATCCATTCCATATATCGATCAACTCTAGTGTAGACACCAGGTATATCAGTCATGCCACAAAACTTTGTTCCAAACGACACGATTCCCTGTTGAATATACCGTAACTCGCCGAAATGTTCTGCAAACTTCTGCAAAGGACCCCCGCTATCACCTCCGCAGGAATCGCCTCCTACGCCTCCAGCGCAAATTTGGTTTGCGCCAATTTCTACGAGTGATTTGGGCGCTGCTCGTTTGTACACTTGTTGGCAGTCCTCCGTTTTCATTACTGATACGTCAACTTTCAGCAGGACCTCACTTTTCTTTGCTGCAAAGAACCCAAGTATGTTAAAATATGTCTATCGCCCTTTTTTCCCACCCCCTACGATTTTTATCCTTTCAATTTTAGATGAAAAAAAAAAGAATTTCGTTTGTAAGGGAACCTTGCGTGTGAGCTGTGTGTGAGATAAAAAAGACGGACAGAAAATAAAACTGAGAAATCAAACAATTCCATTGCAATTTGTCTCAATCAAGTATAGTAGGTAAATGATGCAATATCTACCTCCAATCTCCACATTTCGTTGTCATTGTCGCGAGCCTTTGTGGTGATGGAATAAAGAATAGTGCTTTCCAGCAAGTGTGGGTATATTTCACCACACCTCCCCCAAAGTTACATTCAAGTACAAATTCCAGTAACGTGTAATTTCTCGAATAAAACTCCATCAAATTCATTAAGCAAGGTTCCATTAAAAACGAAATTCACTTCCCTTCAAAATTAGGTAGGTATTACTCGAGTGCTCTTTCCATTCCAGATTTTAAAAGTGAGAGACCCCTTAACATTAAAGTAGTGCGGTTGAGCAATTTTGTAAATCCAGTTTGTTATTAATGATTCCCCAAGGAAAATGTGATTATATAGAGCAACGTGTATATAAACGAAAAATGTTACCTTTCTCTGTAAATCCCCAACCCGTCACTGTCAATTTGTCATTGTCGAAAACTAGATTGGTAAGTGCCTCGATGGTGGGCAGGCAAATTGGTTGTACACTATCTGGAAAAAGTAGCAATCAAAAAATTAGTCGCTATCTACCATCACATTTTTTCATGATTTTAAGAAAATTCGTCACGGTATAAATTCAATTCCGGGTCCGGGATAATCGCCGTTAGGAAAGTGTTCAACCAAAAAACAAAAATAGTATTCCCAATTTCCCAATTTTGTAGACGTGGGACTTTTGTTTTGTGCATTGTGTATTGTAATTCGTATTTTAACATCTAGTTGTTAAGCGAGACGCTTACGCTTTCTCACAATCATCCGATCGCTCGCTTGCTCGGTGGCTTCATTGGCCCTCATTATTCAAACTGCAAATTCATGAAAAAAAAGTATCGCTTTGAAAACTAGTATTAAATTTAGCTCATTATAAGATAAAAATGCGAAATTAATGCTTTTATTGAAATTGACATTGTAAGACGGTAAAGCTTGCAGGCGCTATTTCCTATTTTTTAGAAATTATTTGAAACATGGTTTGGAATAGACAAGAAAATAATTGTTTATGCGATAGTATTTTAATAGTTCGAGGAAACCAGTGGGTTTACGAAATATTGAGAATTAAAAAAAGAGGTTGTGGTTCGCGATAACGCTTGTTTTCGCCGTTTTCGGTGAAAATAGTGCGGTATCTTTGTGTGGGTCATAGAGATATAAGTTTCAAATAAGAAGAAGATTCCAATTTATGTGTCTATACGTAAGAAATACTACAAACAAACAATGCACGGTGTATATTTTTGAAAATATTAGCTTGAACAAAGAATTGTGTGAATACAACACATAAATCAAAGGATACATAGAACGTGTTACGGCTATACAAAAATTATTATAATTAGTTTTGCATTATTGCTTCTAACAATATTGCAGAAATATAATAGGTAATAAAATAAACGTGCTCATTGCGTTCAAGCAACCATTTTTTAAAATGTGGCCCTTAACCTTACAAAGCAAGGACTCTAGTAGGTCTACTTGGAAGACAATGAAAGTTAATTAGAACATCCTGCTTAATAAAATAGTGCGTCTTACCAATTGATGTGTTCACTGGAAATGCCAAACGTACCAAGCCTATGTCATTTGCCTGTGTCGTTGAGTTGTACTGCGGATGAGGTATTACTTTTTCTATAAAGGCATCTTGATACTGCTCTGCGCAGATTTTATCGCCAGGTAAGTATTCAACGCAATCGGTGGGAGACGATATGTTATACTCTCCAACTCGCACACCAAGCCTGGAAACTGAAAGTTAACTAACACCAAATATAAAGGCGATGGAAAAACTTACAAGGTGGTTTTCCCCAACTCCGTTATACAGTGGGCAGCTGTAAGAATGTACCGATCATTTATAATAGTGCCTGCACATCTAAAGTCGATTTCGTTACCTGCATAACTGAAAGTAGGTATCTATAGAGGAAACTAGAAACTCCACTGCATACCTTTTCTGTACGATAAAAGTGCCATCCATGGAAATTCGAACAAATCAGTTAACTGTCCATGAATAATTTTTATACTGGATTGCAAAAAGCCGCACTCCTGAGGTAGTAATGCCAAATTGGTGTGGTTAAAAACGGAGTTTTTGCTTGCTTGCGTGCGTGTAGATGGAAGTATTAAGTAGTTTAGAGTATCCACATCGTACGGACAGCACACCTTCACGCGGCGTGTTTCCGTCACTCCACAGCTGTACAGTTGTAACTCTTCAGCAATGTGTTCGGGAAGTGGAAAACTTTGTAGTAGAACGTTTAGGATTGGTTGACATCGTGCTATTGGTATACAGTCTCCTACTCCTTCGTTTGGAGTTCTGCATCCTCTGTCGTCTATGGCCCATTCTGAAAGCACAAATATTGCAATATGTGAAACTGTCGAAAACATTTTCACCACCAAGACAAACTCGGAAATTCTTCTAAAATTAATTTAGAGCTTTTAAAATGTGGTTGATGTACCAAAATATAAGGATTTAAATTGAAAGTGTTCAATAAAGTGGATTACATATACTTCAAATTCTCTAAAATATGTGCAAGGTGAGTTGTTTGATTGACATGATGAGAACCACCGTAAAATAAGGTCAATGTAGGAGGAATAGATTATTTGTTTTCAGAAAGAGTGAAGACTGCGTCACATTTCTATAGTGATGAAAATGTTGGGAATGAGGAAGTGGTCAGATAATTTTGATATCATTTTACGCTGCGTTCTAAATCTAACAAATAAATGTTACGTCAACGTGTCTAAGAAGCCCGTCTACTATGGGGAGAGTATAAATTATTACGAGTGGTTGGACAGTGTAGGTATAAAAAATGATAATCTTTAAGCACGTCGAATTCTTGCCTTTTGCGTTTTTGATTTGAGCATTTACGCAATAAATATATTATTTTATTATACCTGAATCACAATCTCCGTTTTAAACACTCAAATGCGTGCGAAAAAGGGCCTTTAAAACACACGTGCTTTAAAAAGTTGCTAAGTAACAATACTGCAAGTATGACTTTTGAAACTGTCATCTGGATGAAATAAAAAATCCTCTTAGGTCGCTTTCTGTAAATGCAGAACATTTCTTTGGCTTTTGTACCTATCCTTTGGTTGAAGCTTTCACAAACGCGCGTAATTTAGGGTATGCTTCCAAATCTGTTCCACTTTTTAATCGCAGCATTGCTTTAAAGTTTTGAATGAATGCACCAAAATATAGAAGATTTAAATACCTTTGACATTTCCTTCATATATGCCAGCATTATGGATGCACTTAAGACTGTATTCGTAAGTAACTTCCTATTCATCCATGGAAACAACTTTTCATATTCTTTATAATAGGCTTTACTGGAGTTGGATTTTACACCTACCAACGTTTGTTTAGATTTTACAACAATCGATTTAATGGGCGGTGTATTATCTTTTTCAACGGAAATCGTTTAATTCACAAAGACAATCAACCAGTTACTTACAGACATACAATGATTTGCGATAATCGAAACGCATTGGTGCATATAAGACCTCTTACATAATTATATAATTTATAATCACCTTACGCAAATTTAAGATTAATACTCTCTCCCCAGACTAAATGACTTTTTGGATAATCTTCATGGCAGCACTACCCTAGATTTGGTTTCCGGATTTGAGCAAATCTCAGTGGGAAAGGACAGTGTCAAAAACTGCCTTTATCTCGCTGGATGGCCATTATGAATATTTACGTATGCCTTTTGATCTAGTCAACGCTTCTGCAGTATTCCAGAGAGCTATCAATAAATTGCTAGCATGACGCTATTATCGCGTGTCTTCACCAAGGGTTAGAGCGACTGAAAAAAGTTTCAGATACGATAATATGACCTTAAGGATGGACAAAGGTTGATGTTTCGGAAGAATATCGAGTATTTCGGTCGATATAAAACGAGGAGGTCACCAAAATAAATGCCTTTGAGAACTTTCCAAAACCTGAGAATTTTCATGCACAATCAAAAGATGGCGTCTTAAAAAGTTTAACGGTTCGGCTGCGCTCTCAAGAGAATGCTACGACCAAAAGCGTGTTCCCTCAAAGACAAAGACAACAGTTTTTTCGATTAATGATATTTAATTTAATTTCCATTTGATTCAACCTGGTGCTTCGAAAATTTCACCTACCCACCTTCAGCGTCAATTTAACATGGCGTTTAATCAATTTATCATCCTGTAACTTCATCGACACTTGTAAATTTTAATGATAATTCAATTTCAGCTTTTATTATCAGCCTGAAGAATGTTAATAGGTTGTTGAAACATGTAGTTTTGGTTTACGCCGTAGGCTTAAGAATTTTATTGTTTTACCATACGCCCCCATGTCGAAATTTTATATCAATCAACCTGGACTGCAATGGAATTATGGTTCTAGAATTATGGTTCTAGAAGGGTTTATCCTGGAATATGTCCATCCGAACGTAGCAACCTACCTGTTGAAGAGTGCATCGGAAGTCCAGCGCCATCAAAAACAAGGGGGCGATATTGAGTATGTGACGACTTGTGTTTATATTAAAATACATTTCACCGTTTTTTAAATGATTACATGCCTTCTTTTTCAGTACCACACCAAAAAACAAAAGATAGAAAAGGTTTCGGAACATTTCAGAAAAATGCGATTTTACCTTATATAGACCTTGATTTGTGCTTAATTTGATGCTAATAACATTTGCTACTACTTGTAGGATCAATGGTTTAGCCGCAATAAAGGTCTGAAATTAAAATTTTAGCTTTTTGGAAAAAATAGCCTATTTTAAAACTGCCGTGATTGGTAACTAATTGACCTACAGAGGTTGGACCTAAATTGCCACTTATTTAATGCTTTTCAAAAACGTATACTGTGGCTTTCGTCGAAAAATGCATATTTTAGAAGATATAGAGCAAACACTGAAAAACGTCCGAAAATCTCGCGTTTTTTCGTGTGCTACACTTTTTCTACAACTTTTAGAGAATTGCAAATTTAGGTATAGACTAACCGAATAGACCTAAAATGGACTAAAAAATCAGAAATACATCATGTTTTATTGTCGATATTCACTGGCCTAAAACGTTTTATTTCGATTTCGTTAAAATTTTGGTATTTTGGCCATTAGGCGTAAAGGATGTAAGATTGTCAAGAACGTTTTTATTAAATATGTGGTTTGAGCTAGGAAGCTGTTCTGTCAAGAATTTGGTACCTGGTTTAAAGAAATCCTTTACAAATATTTTGAAAAGTTTTAAGATATTACGAATTGCAAAAAGTCAAAAATTCTAAATGTTTTATAATATTTTGTGAAAACATGCTAAAAATTGGATTAATGGAAATATCACCATTTGATTTTAAATTGAAACCCATACCTTTTGTGTTAGTTGTCAACTCTTACCTTTAATTTTGCAAAGTAATGGGCGATTAAAAAAGGACTGACGTCGAGTGGCCTTTGGAAGTTCAAGTTAAATATGATTTCCCATGTAAAGAAAAATTCCAAAGGTAACTCGCAGCAATTCTTTTTTGATGGTATACTAAAACCACACACTGCTTACATTTTCCAGGACGCCACACTTTCAAATACAGCCTGAAACATGATCCACAGTCGTCCGAGCATCTTAACACGTAATACGAGTCTTTTTTTCCCGAAATCTTCATGAAACCTTCATTTTCATGCCTACTCTGTGAGGAAATTTTTGTTTCCCTAACAGTGGCAGTAAAATTTATCTATCTACTTTTCCTGCCGTCTGTCACTTTACCAGACTCCTTTTCCTGCCGCCTGTCACATGTAAGTGTAATGTCTAATGATATTATGAATAATTGCCGCATTTATCACTTCGACCGTAACGTATGTCATCACTGACAGAATGACATTAACATGACAAATGACAATTCTATATGAAAATTGAAATGAATGCAAGTGGAAATGAACTTTTTGTAAATCCTTCACGATTACTTTTTAGGGGAATTTTTCGAAAGAAAGAAAATTCCCCTTATGTGATGGTTTTGTACATCTGTCTGTTCCTCGTCTAACTCAAGAACGAAAACAGACAGCGATGCGCCAGTGGATTTCTACGAGTTTATTAGTGCTATTGAATATGAGCCGGATTAAAAGTCTGGTTTCCGAATGCGACCTTAATGGCAAAAAATACCCCTCCTGAAAATCGTGAGCGATTCTACGTATCTTGTAAGGTATGCTAGAGTTAATCAAAACAATAAGAATGAGGAATTGTAATTTAAATTTCTATTAATTGCAGTTTCCTAGAATGTGTCTACCTAATTTTAATTTAAATAGGTATTTGAAAATGGTCAAAAATTCCAAAAAGAAAAACTATTAACGATAAAACAAGAACAGCTACCTAACTTGTTTAAAAGCTAAAATTTGAATCGACCTTTGCGCATCATTATCCTTGCTCCTTTAATAATTGTTATTATAGCTATTGTAAAAGTTCAAACGAACCGCGTGCGTGCCATTTGAATAATTAATAACCTTCGGCAAAATTAAGTGAAATTGAGAGTAAAATTCAACAGCCCAAATTCTTTAGAAAGCAATGATCACGACGATTAACCTTCACAATTCTATTTCTTACCTATACATCAATCAATTAAAATTGAATAATTATTAAAATTCTACGAGATGGCCTAACGCGCATTTACTAATTAACAAAGAACCAGGATAGACAAATTAAACAACTCACGTGCTAATATAAAGTGCGAAGTATCCAAAAACGAAATGACAACAATAAAGCGGATGCAGCACATGACAGACACCATGACTGGAACTGCTTAACCTCTATTTTGTATTTTAAATAAATATCCTTATAATAGCTATCTGCTCTCTCCAAATAGTTTTATTTGCGCGCCGGAAAACCCCTTATCATTCTTTTTTTTAGCCTCGTTGATTATGGTCGTGGACAATCCCTTAGTGGAATTGAAATTAGGCGACGACCCATGACGTGGTCAGTAGTTTCCGACGGCATATATTTAACTAGTTTATCATTATGTTAATAGTATTCATGTACATTTTGTTTATTCTTAAACTTGAGAAGTTGGACACATTGTTCAAACTAATGACGTAGGTAACGAATTTGTTGCGATTTTAATTATCTGATGCCTTTCCGGTTGAGAAGATCTGGGCATCATATACCTACAATAAGAACTCATTAATGTTATAATTATAACATACCTTCAATCACGAGATTTCCTTTGGAATTCCTCGATAATAACAATTTGCAATGGGCAGGTACAGGTAGTTTCATTTTTTTCTTTTCGGAGGATTAATTCGCTTCTGACTAAAATTCTCCTTTCTTGCTGGTTCACCCCATCTACATTATTGCAAGGTTCCATAACCGTCTTGTGTTCTAACGCGACTATACAAAGGAACACTTCACTTAATTTTGTACAAGCCCGACTTAATAATTTGAAGATGCGTTATTATCTACAGGCTTCCGTGATTCGACACTTCGTACTACTATAACGTCGTCTTCAAAGGACCATGCATCCTTCTCCACTAACACATACACACGTGCTCTCTAGTAGCAGCTTTTTCGCATGACACTTGCTCATACTTCCACTTCTTCATCCGTACCATCTTCTACTCTTCAAACATTCTGAATCAGGCATGCTTACAGCTTTTTGATTTGTTTTCAATTCTATTCACACACTTGGATAATTGATGTGATATTTGCTGTCTAAATTATTCGTGTGAAGTGTACCTATATCCACCTTGCCAAGTAGAACGTAACAAGTTAAATGAGTTAAAAAAGTACCTAATCGTAAATGATTTAGAAAAAACTCATTTCCACATTAACGGTTTTTATCCGAAAAATGAGTTATTTTTTGACACGCGATTATACAATTTGCTTTTATAAGAGTATCTTGCGCTGAAATTTCAGGAGAATGGGGTCACAAAAAAACAATGTAAGTCTGTGGATGCGTAATGATTTTATTGCGCCTTTTAGTCTGCGTATACGCAGTCTACTTTTTTATGTACGATTAATTAATTTTTTAAGGAAGCACTTTTCTTTAAAATTTCAGAAAAAAAGTTGATAAAGATAAAGAAAGTTGGGTCTGCTCATGCGCAATCTATATGGAAAATTGCATATAATCATTGAATAATGATATAATTGACCCAAAGACCTTGGCTCTGCGCACGTGAATCCATTTTCTGACATACGTTTTCAATAAAATTTTGTTTCATAAGAAGCATCCTCTGTTAAAATTTTAGAGAAATTGGTCCGCAAATAAAAAAGTGGACACTGCGCAACCGCGATCCATTCCTTGACGTGTGTTTTCAATTCGTTTTGTAAAAAGCAGCGTCAGTTAACATTTTCAGAAAACAGTTGTACACAAGTAAGAAAGTTTGATCTGTGCATAAGAAATTTTTCATTTTCCATTTGTATGATGCAACTTCTGCTCAAATTTCGTAAAAATTCGACCACATAAGAAATCCATTTTTGCTACTTCAATTTCATGTTATAAGAAGGATCGTACCTTAAAATTTCAGAAGGATTTGTTCATAAATAACGAATGTCGGTCTGGGCTTGCCCAATAATGGCTTTACAGTCTGCGTATGTACAATTTATTTTTTTATGTGCATTTAATTCATTCCTTCCTTCTTTTAACATTTCAAAAAAATCCGTCCACAAATAAGAAAGTTAGCACCTAGGTTAGCACTGCGCATGAACAATTGCACAACCTATTTTTTGATACGTCATTTCAATTTGATTTTATAAGAAGGATCTTAGTGTATAAACGGCAAAAATTTAATATTATCCTATGTACTTGTACATGCAAAAATTGATTTTTTACTATAACTTTTTTAGTAATTTCTTCTTTGATGCAGACCTCGACATCATATCGATCCAAATAGGGAAAGAAGGAGACCAATAGTTCTTAAGGAAAAGAACTATAGATGAACAGACGTACGAACAAAGTGGCCATAATAGAAAATTTGTTTATTTTTGTGAAAATGCGCTAAAAATGGCGGCATCGGAAAATTTTAGATTGTAGCATTTACTAAGCATAATTTATGCTTAAGCGTATATTTACTAGGTATCGTACGTAAAACAAAAACACCAATAAACCAGAATAATATATTAAAACCTCGAACGCGTTCGACAGTAGGACTATTATCATCAGCGAACAACTGCACCTGAACTATGTAGTTATCCAGTGTTATGCAGAAAAGACCTACATTACTTGTATCGGGCGATCAAAAATGAGTGACTGTCGAGTCGCCTTTGAAAGTTGAAGTTAAGTACGATTTCCCATGTAAACAAAAATTCCAAAGGTGACTCGACGGTCACTCATTTTTGATCGCAATGTACAATGTTACGTTTCGAAGATTTACTTTTCCACGATACATCACCCCGTGTACCTACCTACTGCAACAAGCATCGTGCATCCTGAGTATCCTGACAGTACACGGCATGCTACATTACATAAATTTTCCAAATATTGAATAACGAATTTCTCCAAATCTCGCCAAATAACAAAAGATATTGAGGACGGATTTCTTTTGAAAAATTCCCCTAAAAATGATTATATTATTATTGAGGTTAATACATGATGATTGATGTATTGACATCAAGACGTTTTGATTATCGTAATTAAGTACTGACATAGAGTAAACGTTATTTACTCTATGGTACTGAGTACTTATAGTACTTAGTACTCTAAGGAACAACTTGCGATTTCAGTCCCGATTTTGTGGTTATAGAAACGGATTTTTATCCTCGTGAATAAAAACTAATTTTAATTTATATCTTCTTAAATAGATATTTAGGTACATGAAAGTCCGGAAAATGGCGAGAAAATATTGGGGGCCCCGTACCTTAATTTCCGTGTCAAGTAGTATCATTTTAGTGACGAGTTTTGTATTACATTTTTCCCGAAATTGCCTTTTTTGTAAAGGTAAGTAGGTATAATTACACATTCAATGTTCATATAGAACTTTTGATTAATATCGCAATGGGTCGGTAGGGGTCATCAGACATTAACACTGTAACAGACGGCGGTAGGAAAGGTTTCATGACGATTTCTGGAAAAATGTAAAGCAGTCGGTTTTTAAAAGGTCACTTGTTCTCCGTAAATGCTAGCTACTACCAATATACTATACTATACTAAATATACTATATTTAAATCTGTGCTACTACCATGGTACCGCAGTCGATGACTAATTGAGCTTAAACGACGAATAAGGGATATTTTGTGGAACACGTAATTTAGAATGAAGAGGATTTACCAACATAATGCAAATTACACTTGTTCATGTGTTATATCATTTAAAACAAAATAAATGTGATCTAATCTAATCTACTAAAAACTGTGATTTAGGCAAGAAGAAAGGGAATACTGACAGTTCTTTTAAATAGTTAACCCTAAGGCAGAATGTAACTACTTACAACAGGTAGGGTTTGAATGTCCCTCGTTACTTATTTGTACATTTTTAGCATTGGGTATTCAGACGTTGTCTACTGTCTTGGCGAAAAATTTTAAGCTCATCCCTCGTGATAGTCGTGATTGACAACTAGAATTTGACAATCACACATCCCTTTCGATTTAATAAATAAGTAGTTCAGTTTGTAATCGGCAAGAAACCGAAACCTTAAAAAATCTGTCAGTAAAATCCTCTAGGAGTTACGTACGCTCACGTGTGAAACCCCCATCATTTTATCCATAAAATTCCGTAAACGATATGCAAATAACATAGAGACATTTCTTTTTTATGTTAAAATAATATGGTTTTTCTATGATCGTGTTAGGAATTTCTTATACTTTTTACTAAATTCAGTAACCAACGTTTATGGGGTGCTCATAATGAGCGGATTTTTATTGGACTAGTCATTTATGTGGAATCCTGGCCATTCACTCTTGATGATTGAAGCCAAAATTAAAGAAGATATAGGGGACGGTGGATAGTTGGATTAATGTAGTTGAATTTATAGACCTTTCGAACAATGTCTGACGCTCCGGGACAGTTCGTCGAATGCCCACAACGCCGACACGATTTTTTATGGTCCCTCTATCGCCGACTAGGGACACTGCGCCGACCGTGCCCACATCGTCGACAAGGGTACAAGGGACACTAACCCTAACGTGACCATAACGTCGACTCATACAACACTTTTTAAAGAAGCTGGACGGTGTGCAACACCAAGCAGCTTCTAACGTTAGGTTATTGTAGCTTTTAATAGTGGAAAGTTACGGGTGTCCCAAATTTCACACAAAACAAAAGAAAACAGATAAGCTGATAGATAGGTTAGGTTATTAAAAATGGGAAGATAATCAAAGAACAACGCGTTTTCAATGTTGCAATGTTTCAAAAATAGGTTTGGCTACAGTTCGCAATTTTGGTACAAAATATGGTCGGAATTGTGAATTTTAGCGCATTTTCATCTTGATGGCTTCGTAAATCTCCGCGCAACTTGTCACTATTTGGTGCGACCATTCTTTCTCGAAAATGCGGCTGGTCGAGCAATAATGGTTAATACTGATCGCTATACCGACATGATTTTCCAGTTTTGGAACCTAAATTGCGAAATATGAATGTGGATGACATGTGGTTTCAACAGGACGGGGGCACATAGCATACAGCCCGCGACGTCATTCAGTTACTGTATGCGTCATTCCAGGGCCTGTAATTTCCCGTTTTGACGATGCGAATAAACCGCCACGGTCATGTGATAAACAGCCCTGAATATCAATACCTAATGTTAATAAATTTCAGTACTGAACTGCTGGACGAATTCTGTGTAATAGAAACCAACTCATTGCGGATATTACTTTTTTTCTACGCCATGTTGATGATTGACTGCGGAATTAGCGTTAGTAGATTTGCCAGAAGGGATACTTCCATATCCTGGTTGTCCACGAGTTTTTTTTTCCAAGAGCATTTCCTCAAACTCAAATGCATTGCACTTCATTTTGTGAAAGAATTTCACCTTGAATCTATGAATGCAATAGTGCATCATCGGAATGACCTTCACGCTGTGTCCACTCTCGATGCGAGTTACTTCGGTCGTTTTTATCATTTTTCGAGAGGTTTTGGTTTTTAAGGTTCTGGTGTGCTATTTTGTTTGAACTTGCGATTCTGATATTATTGATTAAGTTGCAGAAGCGTTAAAGTCTGAAAAATACCATTAACCGGTATTCTGTAAGT